CTCCCCCTCCTCCCCATCCTCCCCCCCCCCTTCCCCCGCCCCGCCCCCCTCTTTCTATTCTGCCTCTTCGTCCTCCGTGGAGATGTCCCCCCTCCCGTGGCAACCTCTCCGCGCTGCAAGCGCCGTGCAGCTGTCCATAGACACCCTTGGCTTGGCTCTCCCAGAATTGCGACATCTGTGTCCCTCTGATGACCCCGTGTAACTGTTGCACATGCTGCAAAGTCGCCCCACTACCCCCATGTCCCCTGCCTTGCTCTTGTGCGATGGCCACGTTCCGAACCACCACCTCGTTGTACAGGCGCGCAGCCTCCGCAGCCACTTCTGGCGCCATCATGTGCCGTTGTGAACTTGCTACCGCTGCCGCTTGACAGGAAGCGGCGAGGTTGAGCTCGTCAGTTGTGCGGATTGGTGGGGTCTTACGGTTGGTCGGGGACGTGGGATTTTACGTGCGAATTTTGCCGCAATGGGCTCGCTTATTTCCTACCACACCCCCGGAGGCAGTGGTGACGCGGCCTGGCCGATGCCTGTTTCCTTCGGCGACGCCACCTTCCACGGAGACATCGACGTTGGATTGCAACGGGCCGAAGGGGGGCAACCAACCGGTGCTGGTGAGAAGTCTGGAACAGAGTGTAGAGTGTCGACATACCGACAGACATACCGACAAAACACAACGGCTGCATGGAAAACAACGAAAAGGATGTACGTGCCACCAAACGTTCGCCAAGATAAAATATGCCGAGATAAGCTCGAGGAGAAAGGGAGAATGCTTGATTTCGGGCCATCCGTTTTCAGACACCTACTTCTTCTACTACTTGGCGTTTGTTCGCACCTGTCCGTCGCCCCCCCTGGTCTGCTGTCCTCCTTTGCCTCAAGTCACCTTGCCGCAATCCATCGGCTTCTGGCACCCCACTTTGTAGACTACCCGCCCCATACTGCATCGCTCCCCCCCCCACCGACCCTGTTGCAGTGGGTCCGACACCCCCGGCACTGGCACCACGCACGGCAGCATCAAGTGCTGCTAGCCTAGCTGCCGCGCCTGGGCGAGTAGGAGCGGACAACGTGCTTCGACTCTCAGTCGCACAAGAGTCCGGCCTTCTTCTCAAGAGCTCGCTGCCCGGTGTGATGCTCGAGTGTGTTGTCGGGACGCTACGCATCGCACCACTGGCGGCAGAATCTCCGCGCGTCGAACCTCCTACACCCCTTGACTGCTGGCTGCCACGTACAGAGGCTCCGGGTACTCCGTCTCGCGCCGCCCAGCTACCGCGATCTGCGAGATAGTGGGTGCAACAGCGGAATCGGATTGTAGGGAATGTAGGGCACACGTAGGTAGGGTGACACGTAGGTAGAGCACCACCTGTGGACAGCACAGGAAGGCTGAACTTCGGGGTGTGGAGGGGGGCGGTAAAGCTTGCGCAAACAGACAAAAGCATGCAGCACAAAACTGGGTGAGCAAGTAAAAACGAGACAGGGTATACGCTTGACTCTGCCGGGTAGGGGGGCGATGGAACACCTCAAACTACTTGTAACAAAAAAAACAAGTGGATACTACACTTGAAAAACCTGTGTGTTCAGTACAAAAACAAGACAGCACCTGCGCGGGCGGAATGTTGGGCTGTAGAGGCGGGTTTCCGAATGGGGTGGTCAAGATTTGGCACCTCTACATCAATGTAAAAGACAAAATGTTGCGAAGAAAACAAGGTACAGCAACGGTAGAACATCAAAGTCCGACTTGAACGCTCACCTCTGGAGCGATGGGGACAAAGGTGCCAATGACGTAGAACTCCTCCAGAGCCCACAACATCTTCCTCAGCGTCCATCCATAATTTCCCTTGTGCCTTCTCGCTCGGTCTGGAGGGTGCCCGAGAGGAATGTAGGGGGCATGGTCGCCAAACCTGCGGCCAACAGCCCGCAGGGCCTGTTGCGTCAAGAGAGCTGCGTCCGCGGGGGTGTAGACTCGGAGTGTTGCTCACGGGTTCCAGGCCGCCATCCGGTGTAGGTCTCGGCAAATGACTGCGGTGTACCTCTACGACGCGCTCCACCATGCGGGAGGCGTCCTCGTTCGTTGTGGTTTCGTGCCGCTGAGGTCTTGGCTCGGGAGCCGGGGAGCGGTCAACATCGTCCGGTTTTAGCGGCGGTTGATCTCGATACAACGCTTTTGCCAAGTTGACGTTCATGTCGATGCTTGCTTGCGTCGTTCCAGGGGGGGGTGCACCGCGAGCTTTGACCGAACGGATGTGAAGCAGTGGAGCTGCTGCTGCCGATGATGGAGCTGGTGCTGTTGTTCGGAGCCTTGCTCCAGGCGCTTGCACAGGTGGCAAGGATGGAACACTACGCACACGGGAAACGACGTTCAGCATACCGTACTCGGCGTGCGGCGCGCAACGCTCCCTGGCGCCGCCAACTTTGCCGTAAAGTGCACGTCTTTCACAGCCTGGGGCAGAGCATGTGTCTCCTGCACGGAGGAGTGGCGTTGCTGGCTGGGTAGCAGCAACGAACGGCAGCAGGAACGGGAAGCCCTGAAGCTGACAGTCCCGGCGAAGATACATGTAGAGGCGCCGTTGGGTGGGGCGCAGTATTTAGTCGATAATCGCCCGGCTCCCGGCTTGCGACGCTTCCCTGCCTCAAAGTGGCCAGGGCAGAACGCTTCGAACCTCCCGCAAGGCAAGAGCCGGGACATCCGCTGCCTGCCGGCAGGAAACCACTCTCCCATCACCTTCTCCTTGTCCTCTCGATACTCGAGGTACTCCCACCCCAGCTTGCAGCGCGGCTCCGAGCACTTGAAGGGCTGGTCCGACATCCTCGTGTGCCATCCTCCAGCTGCGGCCCCTGGTGGCGAGGCCATCACGTGCTGCTCTCGGCTTTCCTGGTCGACGCACACGTCTCGATCAACACATCTAGCACGCTGGTACACGCAGGTACTCTATGCGGCGACCAGCAAGCACCCAGTACCGACGGATGTCTCCCTCTCTCTGTCCAAGGCACTTCCTCAGCCAATCAGGCAAGAGAATCTCGATCCGCGGATCCGCCATAAAAAAGTTACTTGACTGTAGAATGGCTTTTGAAGCTTTCGCCGTTAGGTGAGTTCGGCCGGGGGCCCGCCACTAGTAAATAATCGCCCTCCCCGGCGATTTTTTACTAGTGGCGGGCCCCCGGCCGAACTCCAGTCACATGATGAAGTATCCCGATCTTAAAAACGCGAATTTTCTGCAAACCCACATCTCGTCCTCCTCCTGTGTTTCCTGGTCTGTTGCTGATGTTCAAAGAGCACGTGCGTCGCAGTTAGGAGTTGGGGGCAGTGTGAGGAGACAGAGAGGGCCAAGAGAGAAGAGGAGCTGTAACAGCAGCAATCTTGACCCAGTCCAAGCAGAGATGAGCAGCGATAGGTCCAAATGCGAACAAGTTGTCTATGAGCTGCTCTGCAAGGTCGCAGAACTTGTCGTTTCCAGCAGAGTTTCGCTAATTCAACCACAGCGACGCGAAGTCAACAGCAAGGTGAGACCACTGCAAGTGCTAGAAGTGCCACACCTTGGTTTCATTCGTGAGCGTCAGCCCACGCTTGGGCTACAGGGATCTGGGAATTATAACAAAAAATTGGACTTTGAACCGAAGGTGATTTGTGTACACATGTCTGCACATTGAGACGCTGAGGGATGGGAGTCCTCCCAAAGCTTACACCCTTCGCTCGTCGATCGTATCCTCGTGCGTTGTTTCGTCAAGCAGTTCTCTCTGCACGTGCAAGAGCTAGCGTTTGTGAGAAACTCCATGAAAGCATGGGAAAACAACCTCACGCTGCCTCTTGGCATTGACATATTTTGGGTAGAGGGAGGAGGAGACGGGGCCCCTCGCCGCGAGCTGCTGGAGCGATGGGAGATCATGTGCGTCGTTGCGTACGGGGTATGTCGTCTGCCCTTTCGGAGGTTTCTTAGTAGAAGTCACAGCAAAGTTGGTCAAGCTGAGGGAACGGTGGTTCAATGTTAGCCTCGAATTAGCACACCGTTGTTATCCCATGCATCGGAAGAACTGGATTGCGAAGATTGGTGCACTCGAGGGAGGTAGAGTGCTCCGTACGACCCTCAAGAATTTTGAGTTCGTAGCAGGCGAACGCGAAGCAGGAAGGCGTGTGGGGCTAGCGGAGAATGTTCTGTGAAGACGGACCATTCATTGGATGCTGTACACGCATGATGGCGAATTTGATACGGGGGAATCTGTATATTCATCGTGTGAGTGTGCGTTTTGTCGTTCTGTCTCTCTTTTTCCCTGTCTCTTGTTCTCGTTCTCCCTCTCTCCTGTCTCTCTGTCGTGTGTTGACCCTCACATATTCTCAAGACCGATACTGCTGTAGTTACTCACACACACCCTCCACCGTTCACATCTCGATCGTAACCGGAGGTTGTGAGAACGGGGCGATACGTGCAAGAAACGCTCTTGACACTACATTGATGGCCCAAGTGATCATTTTCGGAATCGGCACACTTCGGGGCGTGAAGCAATGAATCTATTTTTAACAGCGGTCCCTCTACAGTATGGGGTGTGCGATGACTTGTGGTCTGACGGCACTTACTCAACGGGAACATAGTGTCACGAACAGCCCGCTGGTCTGGAAAGCAGGAAGCATCAAGTTGTCCGAATGTTTGCGCCGTGGCAGGTACGAGGCGCAAGATGCGGCAGAGGGCAAATCTGCTCAGCTGAGGCACTTCTTCAAACGATCCATCATCCTTCTTCGCACTCTTTACTCTCTCGTGCGGTTGCTGCCAGCTTACAGCGTGAGTGGGAACCAATATTTTCGAGAGTTATCTGGACGAATGCGTGGTCTGTTTGGGTGATATTAGTTACGATATGATGCAGATTCCCAAACCCCACAAACTGAGTACGAGGCACCTCCAACATTGGCTTTGTTCAACACGGAGGTCAACAGGTCTCCTCCTTTGTCAAAACACCAAATCCACAGCGATACAAGTCATCCGAAACACACATCTTGAAGTCAGGCAATAGCTTTGGCCCAAACGCGCCCCGTGGGCGTGGTGTCCGCACGAACAGCTTCCCTGAAAGTGGCGCCTGAAAATGGCGATATCCTGAGGAACCTGGCTGAAATATGCAGCTCGCCTCCCGCCATCCTGTTGATTTTGACATAGGTTCACAAACGGATCCAGAGCAGGGATGTGTCTTTGGCAGATTCAAGAGACGACACGGGTTTCTCCCTGTACCCTTTGCGTGATGGAGGTAGCTGCGGTTCAGGTCTGGACTTCAGCGCTAGTGGCGGAGAAGACCATGCAGGTCGCAGTGGCCGGAAGTCGACGAGCTGCTACACCTTCAAGCCTTTAAAGGCACCACACGGCAGTGTGAAGGTCATCTGTCACTACCGAAGAGGTGTGGATTCAAAGGTGCGCTGGGTTTAGAGTACGAAACGACGCGCTTTTATCCGTGTCATCCCGCACGCGTTTGTCACCTGTTGTGTCGGCATGGCGTGCACCCGTCAACCACTGTTTGTTGGTAATTTAACATTCTGACAAGCGTCTTGTTCCTTCCGCCTGTATGACTCTTCGTCAGGCTTATCAGCACGGACAAACCAACACCGTTACTGCAGCGCCCGATATGACGACTTCGCTCATCCCGGACTATGTAACGGACGAGTATGAGAGAAACGCCGCAGCCTCGAGGATGCCAGCAACGGAAGTGAACCACGACTGGCCAAAGCTGCCCAGCACGCCTGAAGACGGAGCTTCGGTGCCAGACGGTGCTGTCGATGCGTATGGCCAGCACGCCGGGAATAAAGTCTCGAAAGAGAATACTTCTATGATGCATTGGCCCTCTCCGGAACTGGGGCATGGGTACGCGGAGAAGCGAACACACATTGGACCACGCCAGGGTCCAGCACCGTTTTTGACTCCTGGGCCACATCGCGGACGGCCGCTTGGGTGAGGAAATGCTCTCTCTCTGTTTAATGTATTCGGCCAAAACCAGGTCCCATTGCTGTATTATGTCACGTCCTTCGTAAAACAATGGCATGTATCGATCTGTGATAGCTTGTGTATGGAACAGCTGTGCAAGTTTGGGCTTGAGTAGCTTGAGCAACGGAACATGTGATACATCATTCTGTGTTATCGTCACTTGCACTGCTGTTCATCGAGGGCGGTCTCTGCACTTTGGGTTCATAGGTGTCTCTCATGCACTTCGCAGTGAGATCCAGCAACGTCCATCCAGTGTAGGGCTGCTGTTAAAAATTGATGAACGTTGTTGCATGATTCATTTTCAAATTTAAGAAGGCACGACGTCATGATGGAGCCACTGGAGTTGGGACCAAACGCTGAAATCCATGCTCGAGGGCCCCCGCATTTTCCAGCTCCTCCTGTGCGGCAGGAAAACGAAGATCTCATACGCGTTTCTGCACAAACCCTATCGGGTGCCAGCGGACGCACGGAGTCGAACCATGTGGATTCTCATTGCAGCAACGGGGTAAGCTGATGAATGGCAAAAATCCATTTGTCCCCACCTCTTCTTGTATTCCACCCTGGTCCACATTACAGGGGACATGCCAAAAACGCAATATAGGCGACCTTGAGTAGATTCGCACTTGGGTGCTACATGTACTTTAAAGGTGTAGACTAGCTACAACAGCCAGACCCCAGTGGAGGGGGGGGGTGCAAATGTTTGCCAGGGGTGGACCGGAGACACCGTGATAGTGACAGCATTAGATGAACATGTTTTCCACTCTCTGGATATCGCCGTAAGCCCTTCGATTGCTATCAGCGAACAGATCTGCAATCACTGTTGCCCTCTCAGGTTCGTTAAGATTTCTCTGTAGTGTTGGGGAACGGTTTCAGCCGCAGACATGACCCCTCATGCTTTTAGAAGACAATTTCCTGCCAATTCGCGGGCGCGCGCTCCGTTAATTGTTACCCAGACGGTGACTATTGGTGATACGCGGCCATGTTCTTTCAAAATTTGGTTTGGGGGATGTTACAGAATGGGTAGATCCAAAAGTCACAGTTCCCGCACAAGGTACCACAATTTGTTGGAATGTCCCCAGTTGCTGACCAGAGTGGTACCCGACAACTTGTGCGCCAACATGCAATACCTGCGTAGACGAGCGGCACATCACGGCGAACGTTTGGCCGATACAAGGTATGACTAGAGTATCAGGCTCCTGTCAAATCCAAGCATCCTCTATTGCGAAGAGTTCTTCAACAGTGTCCCGGTTCTGCGACGCCGTGCAGATGATTCGGACAGCAGAGGGAGGAGAGGACGGAGTTGCTGATCGAGGCAGAGCACTCATGCGGCCGTACAGGCGAAATTCAATCAGCGAATCGCTGTCAACGCCGTCAGGGTCTGGTGGCTCTCGCATCACAGCAGGGCATCGGCACAGCACGGCAATCGAGTACACCCCTCCATTTTCGTACAACACCACTGGGCCTGATCTTGGCGAACGAAACATTGCCCTGGGTCAGCCCTTGGTTAGCTTCAGCCCTCCTTTTAACGCCGTACACGTCGGCCAGAGGGGTCATGACAGCACCTTCAGCATAAGGGTACATTCATCTGGACCACGTGCCCCGGTGCCTACCCTCCTGGAAGTGCTGCCAGAATCTCCTTTTGCGTTGAGGAAAGAAGGCACTCAACCCCCTGGTGTCCCGGGGACAGCGGTTGCTTCCTCGTCGCGGCCGTTCCTGCCAAGATTGGACTGTAGTAGTCAGGAACCAACGTTTGCTGCAACAAGTGCTGGCATTGACAGAACTGAGGTGAGTTCGTGCCTTCTATCCGAAGGTGCCACGGCGTCCAGTTAGACTCCTCTGGTATCTTTTCTGCCTCATTCGTTGTCAGGCCTTTGCTGTGGCATCCATCAGGTAGCCTTTGTGGTCCTTGGTTCTGAAGTGCGGGAATAACCGATTGCCTGGCGTATATCAATTAATTACCGGCTGGCGTTCCAGCTACCTTTTGCGGCAGAACTGCAAGACGATGGAGTATCAGCATCTGTGGATTCCAGCGTCTGTGGTGTGGAGGGTGGGTTGGACTCCTCTGCCGCTCCGTCGACGCTGTACGCGTTGTGCTCGGCCGCGTCCTCCAAGTATGTCGTTTGGGTTTCACTATTCTTGCGGATCGTGTCAGATTGTCCGTTGCATGCGCAGACTTGCGTTTACTACTCCTCTGGTATACGAGTCCGTGGCACGTGCCATTTTGGAACACAACCTTGAGAAAATTGCCGCCTAACGAGAAAATAACATAGTAACCCGTAGTTCGAGAATTATTTAACGAACCGGGGAACGGGAGGACTATGGTGATGGATGATGCCTCTGGTACGTACCGATTGAGACGACAGCATTTCATGAGGTGGAGCTGATGGCGTTGGCATGCGTTCCATTCTTGGTCCAGTATTGCACGTGCATTTTTACACGGCGCGCCTAATGAGCGCACAGATGTTACTGGAGTGGTATGCATACGGCGGGAAATATCTCGTGACGTCGTGCCCATAATCAGCCTTTTCGTCCTGTGCCTCGGTTCATCAATCCGTGTAGGCCACCTTCGTGAGAGTGGGCGTCAGTACATGTGCTCTTTTCGTGCGTTTTGCAGGTCTATTTTCCTGGCGGACCCATCATCAGAATATGCAGAGCAGACGGCAGTCGGTTTTTTACAGGAGCGTGATTCAAACGACGTTCCTTCCCCCGGCGCAGAGTACACCAGCACAGCCGGGAGTCTACCCCAGGAAGTTATCGTGGTGAGGAGTTAGCGGCTAAGCTCGCACGTCACGGACGTCTAGCAGCCTGCATCATGAGCATTATCAGCACTGTGGCCCTCACGCGTCTTGTGCTTCTGGAGCGCAGCTTCCTCGTACGACCCATATTTCGGTGGATTCCCTATACACTCGCTTGCCATAACGTGAGCAGCGTTTTCTGTCCTTCACTGCATACCCTCTCGTCTTGTGCCCATGCCCGTGTAATTGGTGTTTCGTGTGTCAGCGCTCATTGGAAGAAGATCTGGAGGGATTCAGGCTGTTTCAACAAGAAGTTCTTGAGCAAAGACGCTGACTATCAGCACTTCGTCGCAGCTATCGGATGGATTGTAATTAGGTGTGCAGTCTGTCGAACTTGGGCATGCGTTGCGCACATCAAACCGGTACATGCGTGAGCGTTTAGAATTAGAAGCATTTACCATTGGCGCTGTTCTTACGCACACATGAAATTAGGTTTTCGGTGTCTCGTAACCACGCGTCAGGTTGTCGATGTTGTCGAGGGTGGGGCCCAACGACGAAGGTTGAACGTGTTGAATGATTCTATCTCCACTCCCGGTATTGTACTCACCACGTGCCGAGACCTCAATTTGAAAGTTACCGGATAGCACGTGCGGTAGGGTTCGGGGGAAACGTAGTCACAGACATCCGCGAACAACCCTGTTCCACGTGAAAGCTTAAACATAAGGCTACTGAGGTTAACACTGATGTACCTGGTAAAGTTGATAAATCCATCTTCTTACGCTGCCTGGAGATGATGAGTATACGTGCTCACCCCAAGGGAAATTACTTCTTAGACGAGAATGCGAAAACAGAAGCCAAGAGTAGCAGTAGACCAGTCCGGGCTAAGTACACAGCACACAGCAACACCTCTAGGGAAATATCGAACAAAATTCGTCCCCGCGTAAAACTGGTACATATTGACGTTATTTCCCTGCTGGGTGACGTTGCTCCACCAGGTCGTCTCTCTCTCTTCCCAATTCGCCGAACCGTCGGTCAGTCCGCCAAGGCGAGCCTGTAGCTCAACACTAAACATATATGAGCATCAGCACTAATATTATGAGGATGAAGGAAAGCAGCAAAATCGTCCAGATTTGGCACTTGCCTGTGTAGCGAACGTGCAAAAGAAAGACGGCAGTGGGTAAGGAACAGCGAGTTTTGTACAGGTTAACGTCGCAGTATGCTCTTCGGCGCGTTCTTTCCAAATGCGACCTGATTAGCAACAGTTTTGGCGAGGTGTACACGGGGGGGCCTCAAAAGGAGCAGACACAAAACTGAAATGGTTACGATGAGTTACAGCTGTCGAACGACTCACTCTTAGTTTTGAGCAGCTTCCCCAGCCGTCCCATAACGAAGTTCATGCTTTCTGTGGCTTCATCCATGTCATCGTCCAACGCTGTCAGCAGCCTGTACAGGGCGGACATGCAGAGACACACGAGATTGGTCATCAAAAAGGTGAAGCGATAGACCATGTGCACGATGCGGACGCTGTCCCTTTTATTTGGCATCAACACGGAGCTAAGCATGAGCAGGTGGTGCCAGTGGTCCAAGCCTCATTCGCAGACTTCCTCTTCACAAACTATTTTTGGCCGCCTCTTCGCATTGGCCAGAACCCATGCTGCTGTACACGGTCGATCCGATGTCCGATGCAATTGTAGCAGCCTACGGAGCGTTGGACGGAAGCACTTTTGTTGGGATGCAGCAAGTGAAACATACGTCCGCCCTACAGCAGTAGGTGGCACCCGCTTTTTCGAACGATCCGATCCATCCACCGGACAACCTGGCCGGACTTTGCTCTCTTGGTCGTACATCAACGACCCGCCTACATTACAATAGCACGAATAATCGACACGCCCACAGAATCAACGCATTACAGCTTTTCCCAGCAGCGGGTCATGCATTTGGGTTCCGCAAGGCCAATGTGCCACTCGTGTTCGGCGCAGTCATCGCCAATACGACGTCACCATGGGAGGGTGCAGTCCCAAGTTGGTCTTTGCGTTTCCAAAATTTGATTTTGCCATTGAATTTCCCATCACGCGATAGCTGAGTTCCGCCCCGACGCCAAAAGCCTCATCACATTTTCCCCTTTTGGCCAATCACAGTCTAGCCCCTGACCCCGTACCCCTCCCGATTTGGATATTTCAGCGCCTGGGTGCTACTGTTTTAACAAACCGGGCTACAAGGCTGAAAATCTCGAGGGGCCCTTCCAGATAAATCTGCACCAATGACAACTCCTGACGCAGCGTTTAAATCGTTCGACTTGCATGCCGAACCCCGTCAACATGGAACACCTGAGCACTGCAGAATAAAGTTGGAGTCTATGCACAGCAAATGATATGAATTGGACACTTGATTCTTCGAGGCGAGACCTGCTTCACCTATTTTGACTCCTGAGCTCCTCGTTGATGACAGTCGCTGTCTCGCCGACCCGCTCTACGTGAGTGCCCAGCTCTTCGAGATCTTCATCTTGTCGCGCAAGTTGCATCTGGACTCGCGAACCCCCATGCGGTTGCGGTTAGATCTGTGCTGCTATACTGCATGAGCAACTCGGTAGATGTTGTAGATTCGTCACCACGTACGGGAACTGCGATTCACTCAGCCAGTGTCGAGCAGGTTATTGCCTGCGAGTCTTACGTAGCTCAATTGAAAATCGAACGTCTCAAAGAAACCCGGTTGTTGCACTCCTTCGGGACAATTGTATGTTATTATTATTGTGCCGCTGACAAAGGACCGTTGTCCCACTGATACACCTCACATAGATCGGTGCTTGCCAAATCAGCAGGAGGCCTCAAACGTTCCATGTCCTTTATCCGCAGATACTTCGACGTAGTGTTGCTTTGAGACGGACAACTGCCATGTCACCAGAACTGAAAGTGCTCTAAAGTGAGCCTTCCGTTGCTCTCAAATCGATAAAATCTACAATAGGCGTTGGGTCTGTGGCAAAAATTATAACGGAATCGCTCGGAACTTCGCCACAACGGAAGCACGTCTTCCCCGGAAAATTCCCACGGGGGGGAGGCTCCGCGCCATCGCTCAATCATGACCTTTACGACTAAGGATCAAAGCCCACGCTTAGGTCGTGGGTCGCCTGCTTCCGCATTGTTGCTTTATGCTACAACCACCTGCTTCAACACACAGTAACTTACTCGAACGCGTGACTGATGATCCAGAATGTGCTCAGTGTTGTCTCGTTCAACCTCTGTCCGCGCCCCCAAATCTCCTTTGCTCCGGTATTTCGCCATTTCCTAAGGCCAGCAGAGGAGAATACGAAAACACGAAAACTTGTCACTTGAAGTGTTGATTGACTGAAAGGTTCCGTTGCTAGTGCACAATACGTACATAGACGACATCTTCGGGTTCATGGTGTGACTTACCGACCGGTCGTCTTGTGCCATCTTCTCTTTGGTTTGCTGCCCGTCGAGCGCATCACTGGCGCGGAGTAACACTTGTTTCGAGTCGGAGAGGAACGTTTTTCGCTCAGATAGCTCAGCCTGCCACAAGCAACAACAAACAACAAGCCGCATGTCAGTAACGAAATTCATGCACCGCACGTAGCATCTATCATCCAGAACGCGAACGGACTTCACCAACCACGTCCCTATGCAAAGAGTGCCCACAAGACAAATATGATCAATAGACGGCTTTGCAGCACGATGCGGTGACGGGGCTACATGACATCACCGATACACCCACACAGCACGCGACGAATGGCAAAACCTAAACAAGTGAAACAAAATACCAGAATCAAGTACATGACATACACAGCAGTAGGCCTTCGTCCGTTCACAGATTTCGCCAACGCCTTAGAATCAAATTCCTACCCAGGGGTGTTCATGAGATGTCGTCGCACCCCACGAAAGGACCGAACTTAGTTCTCAGACCAGCTCACGTTATCGATGTGAGCGAAGGAATCTCGATTGTTCTCCACGTACTCCACAGTCCTCCGTAAATCTCTCAGTTGGGCGTCTGCCCCCTTGACCTCCTTGGTAAGCCCTAATTTGTTCAAGGAAGGACACGAAAAACCAAAAGCATTAGACCTATCGACGAGACAATGCTAGTCGACCGGAAAATTGCTGCCCAAACATTGTCAAACCAGCACGACATCGACCGGACCAAGTTGCATGATGCCGTTGGGTTGCTGCTTAATCAACGACTACCATCGAGTCAGCCGCCACGGCGGCTACATAGCCGCGACGTCTCCGCAGCATCAATAGCTAGTGCGATTGGACGAAAGCATAGAAACAACGCATCAAAACATAGGTTGGCGTATCACATCGCTCTGTCGCACGATACGACCAACAATCAAGTAGAGCACGAGACACCCTTGATACACACGGACTGGTTATTGTCCCTGCACGCACGTATCCTCCCACTTTCCTCCGCACACCTACCTTTTCTGAGATCCTGAAAGTCGCGATTTTGTGCAGTATTGGTGTTGTTGAGCAGGTCTTGAAAGCGCTCTAGTCGAACCTTGATGTACTCAATCTTTGCAGAAACCTCACTGATGTTCCAAGGAGCATTAAATGTAGGCAAGACATTGCATTATGAAGAGAACAGGGCGTTGCTGTGCAGAGTGATCGGGGGGGGTGCGTATGCAACACACGGAGATTAGTGCCCCCTGGCATCCATGCGCATCACAGCGTCACACGGACGGCTGCGGTGGACATTGTGCACCCGAAAGTCACGGGCCAAATCGTATACTCCGCTTTTATATTTCTCGATTGCATGTGTAACTACAAATACCAACCAACGAGAAATGTCGAACATGCGGCGCACAACGAAAAAATATGAATGTAGAACGGTGTGTACATGTGTACATGCCCCGGACCAGGCGAAGATGTCACCGTTGCGCATACATTCTGAAATAAAACATCCTGCGTATCTTGGTTCTTTTCAAGCAAGGATTGAGTTCCACCTCATCGCGGATACACTGGCTTTCCATCAGATGCCATGTGGTTTTGCGCTCATGTCTTGTGGTGAGGTTCGAGAGCCTGCGGCAGCTGATACAGCAGTAGTAGCTCACCCCACTAGTCGCCTTGGACGAGCAGCAGTTTGAGGGAGGGACTGGGTCTTTGATGGTGCGTAAAGCGTGGATTGTGCATAGTATGGACCAAGATGTGCGGACACTTCGGGCCGCAGCTGCAGCTGCAGCACAGCACGGTCCCAGCAACTAACAGCTCTGGGCAGCCAACGGCAGGATGTCCGCCCTCTACTGATTTCCCATAGAGCTTATATACTTCGTGACACAGAAGAGCGCGTTTAAAGCACCCGGGTGTCGCCTGCTTCGTCTTACACTTACCCTGGTGAAATCTTGTCTTGAATTTAGAGACGGTGCGGAGAGGTAAGACTGCGTGATATGCTGGTAACGACAAGTCCCAACCGCTGCTCCGGGCGACAACGGGGGGTATTCCACTTATGGAACACTTCCCAACTTGTCTTCGCATCTCGTCGTGTGATCGCTAAGACCTAAGACCTCTTTCGGTCGTTCTCGAACCAGTCAAAATCAAGGTCAGTTGGAAATTTTCCTTTCCTCTCCCCTGTACCAGGTAGTAGCGTTTTACGCCGATTCCACGCCTACCACCTCTGCATGCACACCATCACCACACTTTCAAGGTTACGAGCTGCAGGCTGCGGTTCTCAATTGTCCGACGATGGCCCCATGCTTGAGAACAATATAAACATATCTTGCTACAGTAGGTGTCCCGGTATAGTGCCGGTATGTGTCCAGGTGGGTGGGCCGGCACTATACCGGCCACCGGCACTAATCAGATTTATGCCTTTATAGTGCCAAGCCGGCACTATTCAGGATGCAAAAATTCCTCATTTGTGCCGGCTTGGCACTAGTGAGGACTGTTCGACTTCAGGGTGCAGCACTTACGTTTTGCGGGGCCGACAGAGTACCAAACGAACGGTACACGGATCAATTGTGAGGTGGGCGACGTGGGCGGTCTTCTTAAAGTTTCGTGAGGCTGCTAGCCAATCGAAAACACGGCTTTGTTCACATTCAGCTTAACTTGACCAGATACATTTATTGCACCATGGTTCTCTTCCCACCTCAGCGCACACCCTAGGGTAGTGAACGTCGCCGCTGTCTTTAAACCGTAGACGGTGCTGCCCGATCACAAGGCACCTCGCATCAAATGATGTTTTGTTGTGCCAAGAAGACCGTAGTACAATCCAGGCAACCTCAAAGGCACCCCTCGACAGCGAAAGAAAGACGGTCATGCACGTACCCGATGATTGTACACCTGGAGGTACAATATGGATGTAGTGCTCCTTACATGAGCACAACAAAAACAGATGCAACCAGAAGGGGTGAAGAAGATAAAAAAAACTCCCCTGTTACTTCGGTAAAAAGCTATAGAGAGAAGACCCAAAGCTTTCAGAAGAAGCAAGAAAAACGACTGGCCAACCAAAAGGCGTCAGTCTCAATGCGGTTGAAAACAGAAAATATATGTCGCTCAAGGCCCTGATCTGAGGCCCCGTGAGAGGGTGTCATGGAGGAGGCTGAGCCATTCTCCGGGTAAAAGACAGCATGTCTACCAAGGCTACTATGTTCTTTGAACACACGTTCGTTTTCGGGGTGTTTTCATCACTTATCCTTGTATTTTCCACCACTGCTGCTCTGGTCACTAGTATTTCGACTATTTCTAGACTCTGCCCCCCGGCGGCGGTGTTTGTTGTGAGGAAGGTCATCTGGCTCGAAACTCTTGTTCCCCTCAACGCCACATTTTCCTCCTCCATCATCACGGCTATCCTTCGGTATTCTTTCCACATCCTTCGTCACTACCACCACCTTCCTTTTCGCCCGCCTCACTACTGAAATCCCAACCTATTGGCTGAAGTTGCTGTGGTGGAATTTTGAATTTTGGTCGATCGGTAAACCATGACATTTGAAGACGCCACGTACTAACAGAACCCGAGCTATTACTTGTAGCTCAAAGGCAAACGAATCTTGTTGGTGTGGAAGGCTTGAGGCGAAAAAAGGTTGTGTGTGGGGTGTAAACCGGCGCTGCTGTTGAGGGATTCCATAGTGCCTGAACCGGCACTACAGCGGGCATCCCTCAATAGTGCCGGTTTGGCACTATTCAGGCCTGTGTCTGTGTCAAGAAAAATTACCGGCACTATACCGGACTTTGGCACTATTCAACCGGCACTATACCGGGACACCTACTGTACAGGGAACCCAGTACCCACTACATGAAGTACCAACTTCTTTCAGACCGGTGTGCCAAATACGATCAGCTTCTTTGATGTTGAAGGCCCGTGGATGTTCGAGACTGTTGTTCTTTAGTGTTCTGGCAACGAGCACATTGGATGGTCGGTATGGTTGAACATACCGAAATCAGGTGTGGTACTCCTGTGGAGCGATGGTACGAACAAATGCACGGTGGTGTTACCCTGCGTCATGATAATCAAGTTTCGTTACTGGTGTGCCGCCGGATATGATACATTGAACACAAGACATTGATCACGAGGTTGCCATGTGCAACTCTCGGAGAAGCAAGAACAACTACATGTATTACTTACTTCCAGATGTGTTTATAGTTATTAACGGACGTGGGCGGACTCGGCGTTTGTGCAACCTGCGCTCGACGCCAAGCAGCCAGCTTTCATATTATGTTGCTTTATGAGCATATTGTGCTGCTTTGAGACCACTTCACGCGTGACTGTGGAGGTCGGCGTGGTCAGTGTTCTGACCACGACGACAGCAGTGTTCCGAGCAAATTCCGGCAGCACGCACTCGTTCTTTTGTAGTCGCAGATAAGGGTCATCGTTTGCTCCAAGCACAACAGCAGTCAAACTAACGACAGGCACACCATCAATTAGAAGGATTGCTTCAAGGCTAGGCCTCTTCCCACTTCCTCTAGAACGTTCCAAGGTGAGCGTAGGCAACATGCACATGCACACATTCAATTGCCAAGAGAACCTTCGAAGTTCGAAGCGTTGCCCTCGCCGCCGAATCACTCAAAACGAAACGCGGCGTAACTTTCTTTGTTTGGACTCACTCTCGCACTGCGTAGAAGGGGTCGTGCGATGCCACGCTATTCAGCGACATTGCTCAAGACTCCAGCCCTTGGTGCGTGGTCGTGTATGTTCCGTATTTCCTGGCTGTACCGCACTGACGAGAACTTCATCTGCAGTGTAGCGAGTGACAACAGCCCGAGCAGCCGCAGCAGCGACCCCCCCCTGGCTCGACCGCTCCATTTTACGGATACCCCCAACTGCTAATTCAAATGATCTGCCCTGCTGCTCCAGGATCATCACATGTCCATGCCATTCGGTGTTTATTGCAGCTACGCGACGTACCGCAGTGAGCTCAAGCCATGAACTTCGGTGCAAAAAGCAAAGATCTGCTTGTAGAGTTGAAAAGAAGCGATTGGTTGCCGCCTTATAACGAAGACGGCGTTCGCGGCGTGTTGGCTGAGATTCAGGCTCTCTACGACGAACTCACGGATACTCTTGGAGGTAGAACAACGGTGAGGTCATGGGTTTGTGTATGCAATAAGGCTGGACAAGTCGTTCTGTAACGGCTGCTGTTTTGGTACCCGCTGTATTACTGCGACGGTACTGACACGGTTGCCAATGGCACGTTGTACATTCTTCATTTAACCAACACATTCTTCGGCAATCTGGCTGAGATGGTTTGTATTTGAAGGAGGCACCCGTTTGCCTGCCTGCTCCATCTCTGCCCCGCGTGTCGCAGAGTGACATACCAGATCCAGTGAAGGTCAGCCTCGTGGTTCATCATCAAGCGCTCCTACGTAATAAACGCTGCCTTCTTACGTACCTCAAGTGGAGAGCAGACAGGTACTGGTGGGAAATTCGTGCGTTCTTCAGTGTTTCTCGTGGTTCGTCGCCTCGAGCAAATTCAAACTTTCAAATTTTATTTGAAGCCAATCCGGCGCCTACGCTACAATGTACGTGTACAATCCGGCGCCTGCGCTACAATGTACATGTTTGCATACAATGTATTCGTGGTATTCATAGGCTCATAGGCTCAAATCAATACCCACCGCATGTTCATCCCTCAACTCTGTATTCCCTCTGCTGTGAGCCGAAGAGGTAGCACTGCAGACAACAGGCATGAGAGGGAAAGGACACATGTCGTCGGTGGCAACCAACAATAAACACGCGAGAGACGGGGAGAGTGTCGAATTGGATGGCGAGACACACATGAAAGTGCTTGTCTATTGTAGAACCCCAATGTTGAGAAACCCGCGAAAGTATTGGTGCTTGGTGTTTGTGCGTGTCATAAGTTCAAGTGTCTTCGGTCAAATGCTCAGTCCACGTTGCTTCAAGACGAAGGTTGACAAGAATTAAGAATTGAAATGTCATTGGAATGATTCGTTTCGTCGTAAAGCACGACCGGCTTCGAAAACCAACAGATGCAGTTTTTTGTAGCACCGTTTGCCTCGTTGGTGGACTACTATTTTACCCACGTGGAGAGGCAGTGGAGGATGTACCCTCATGTTGGGAGGATGCGAAGCGTTTGAAAAAAGAAGTGGATTATCTCATGGATAGGTATCTTCTTGGAGGCACAATTCGTAACCACAATGCTTGTGGGCTGGCATACCTCTGTTGATTTCCGTTGCTGGTTTGCATCGCCCTCTCGATAATCCCCTATACAGAATCACCCAATTACGGTGGGAAACAGGACCTGTTGTTCCACAAGAACTGCAGCAAAGCTTGAGCGCCAGAGAGATGGAACTGTTCAACACGTACGATCGAATTCTTACCAACTTTACGCAGGTGGGTAATGTTCGTCTCTTGTCTTCGAGTATGTGTTGATCATGCTTTGAAATCGAGGATACGATTGGTTTGTTCGCGGCACGACACGCACACCTAAAGTGAAACACGCCTTCTGTAGTTGGCCATCTGCCAAGCAAACGCCGGCATCAGCATGCCGCGTGTGCGAGCTGGCCCCGAAGGTGCTGATGATGGTGCTCAGCTTCCGAAATCCAAAATCGCGGGAGATGCATGACGCGTGAGGGTATCCCGCTGTGGAGAACGGGTCTCCTCACTCATTCTCCTACCGCCTTCGGAGCTCGGTTTCTGCGGCAGACTGCCTTCCGACCCCTTTTTTCTAACTCTAGTTTTTGTTCTGCGTCGTTTGTTCTGCGTCGCTGCAGTATTTTGCGGGCAGGCTTTCGTTCAAGGCTTCCCAAGTTGGGCTTCCACATGAAAATTGTTTGGCAATTCTGCTCTGCAAATTTGAAGGCCGTGACTAAAGACTGCGTGCACCCAACTGAAGGAGCTCCTATATCCGTCGTACTTTCTTCTCACAGGGTCTGAATTTGGATCTCACAGCAGATCTTCAACCGCCGAAGGAGTTGCACGTGGAGGTCAGGGTTCTGAGCGACTGCGGGGAAATAATGACAGATCACGTGAGACCCGAATATTTCGTCTGTAGAGCGACGTATTGTTTGTAAGCAGTGCCCATGCCGAGAGGGAGGTGGCGTGCTACGATGCGATGCTGTACAAGGTAGCCACCACGCATTTGCTCATGTTACACTTGTTTTGTTATTGTGCAGGGATCTGTAAAGCTTGACCGTGGGACTACCCACCTGTTGCGGCGATCTGACGTGGAACATCTCGTACGCCAAGGTCTTCTCCAAGAGCTAGAGAACGAGTCGACCTAGCTTCGCTTTCCCTTTGTTTGCAGGGGTGTCATACATTGTCGGCTGCTGCCGCGGTACCTGAAAGCGGTAGTTAGGTATACACCGCGTGGAGTTCAGGAGCATTGTTTGGACGATATTCTGCAAAACGATCTGCACGTATATAGGTGTTCATTGGAGGGCCTAACCTATACAACGATCCAGTCAGCGAGCCCGTCTAACGAACAATAGGTCTGCTGGGAGTTCGGATCTCACCGGATTTGCCGTCGATTGTTCTACCTGAGAAAGCGTAAGCGTTAGATAATGACAGGCGGAGCGTTGGACCAGCACACCCACTATGAGCCGGCTCAGTAGGTTGACTGAGTGGGCTAATATGTAGGTTGGCCGATAAACGAACAAGGCGTATGCTGGAGGTCGAACAATGGGTGTGTCGTGGATTGTTTTCCCTGAGAGACAGATCACGCTGGGGGGCGGGGGGTTTGGCCCGCAAATTACGATTAGCCGGCTCAGTCAGCAGCGTTTGGAGCGGGGGAGGTACATGCGGGAAGTCAGACCAACGAACACTCAGAAGTCACTCACTGCACTATTTAGTGAGATGGGATTCCCAACCAGCTTTCCCGTTAGATGAGCTAACCTGCCAGACCACTCAGTAAGCCGAACAACAGCCTTCGCCATCCTCGAACACTCATTATTCGACGAGCATAAGAGTGAAAGTTCGAAAGCGTGGAAAAAAACTTTGGCCTGGCGTGCGCTCCAACCTTCCGGTATGTGGCAAAGCTTGTTGCTGTGGCAAACGTGTTCACCGCTCGCTCAGTCGACCTTGAAAGCAAAGAGGGTCAAACATCAAAACGGACAAAAAGTATATGGTGTCGGTTTCTTTTCCCCCGTGCCTTATCCTCAACCCCCTCGACCGATCCCCGCACTCCTTCAAACGCTTCGCTATTTCGAGTCAACGTCAAGAATGGCGTAGCCTCATTGCCTCAAAGATGCGGATAGCCCCCACTCTATGGTAAATCTCCTTGCGCTCGTTCGCAATAACCCGGAGGGAAGCGCGGCTGCGGTACCGCCTAGGTGTAGACTGCATGGCACGTCGCCACGATATTAGGTCCAGCAGTACAATTATGTGGTTCTTGATTGGTCTACTTTTCAGCCCGAAAGATAAGCTTGCCCCTGGAACTCGAAAATACTTATCCTGGTGGCGAAGAGAACAGGACCGGGGGAGGCGGGTGTCTCAAGGATCACGCAAACAACATTGAACACGAATAAAATAACACTTTCTGTGTTGCGTTGCAGTGCCGGTGACTGTCTTGATGTTCGAGAGGAACAAGTGCTTCATAGAGGGCGTACTGATGCGAAAATGATCACTGCCGTACATCGGGTTTGAGATAGAGATACAGTAGTTACCGCCTTATACAGGGCCCGACCCGGTATGACCGCCTCACACCGCTTCTGGGTTGTGGGGTCGAATTTCGGCCGCCTTACATCGGGTTACCGCCTTATTCACACACCCCACCTGCTGTATCTAGGAATTGGGCCTCGACGCAAGTAAGCAACTCTAAAGATGGTACTGTAGTATATGTCTTGTGTATTCGAAGTATTCATAATGGCGACAGTCCCTCCATTTTCGTGGGGTGAGAGACGTATACTACACATTGCAATATATGTAGAGTACTGCACTTTTCGGTGTATTTCTTCGCTCTTCGTAACTATACAACCATCCAGGGTCACACAGGAGGGGGGCAAACACCGGGGCTCTTTTCTTCTATTTATTTTTATTATCGTGCCCCACCTTCCTCCTGCGGTGCTTGCTGAACTATCTATGTTTTTTATCGCGAGAAGGGTCCAGCCGTCCCTTTCCCTCCCTCGACAACGGTGCTATATAATGTCAAAGTTTGTGCAGATTGATACGTACCGGTATAGTCTAGGGGAGTTTTCAGAAAAAAAAAGTTCACGAAGAAGGTGCATGGCAGATAAGTCTCCGGGAACCTCTCGGACTGACCTGTGAGCGCGCAAGCCCGGAGGAGTGACTTGATCATGGGAGCAAAAAAACCTCCTACTACAATATCAGCGCGTCGGGGCCAGAGGAGGACAGGAGGAGGGCGGACTGTCCTTGCTGGAGGACGGTATATATCATCTCTATCTATCCGTAGCCGGTCGCCCCGGTGGTCTAGGTCGTATCCTCGAAACCTTCTAGAGGTCAGGTCAGGGATTCGAATCCCGGCGTTAGCGAGCTTTTCTTGCAAAGTGAGTTTTTCTCGCGCTTCCGCTCCTGGTCTATCTAGTGGATAGCGCTAGTTCGTGTGTACATAGAAGGAAGAGAGTGCTGAACTCTTCTCGCATTAAAAATCGAAGGCAAAGTACCGCAGGAGGGGAGGGTAGAGAGGGGCTCTCCTGTGTGACCACGGGTTGGAATAAACGGCACTACAAGTGGTGTGAGCGCTGATTTGAAGTGAAAAAAAAAAAAAACGCACATAGATATGATCCTACAGCAGCAGCAGTAGATACGAGTCCAAGATCAACTAGCAATGCATCGTGGAGTTAACATGACCTACAGCACCTGTGCTTGTACTGATCCCCGGGTAGCATGCAATGATATCTACTGGTGTTCCCCTGTGGGTGCAAAATGAAAGGCACCACAGCTGTAGTGTAACATATGTGTACATATCTCCGCACTACATGCACATCGTCTAGACCATATATATTTTTCTTTTTCTATATAAATATGACCCAACGAATCCATCTCCACCTATTTTTTTTTTTCATCCCGACGACGCCAGATGCGGCGACCAAGGACTTCCGCGCAGTGCCATTGTCCCATTGTCCCATTACACGTTTGCATACGTATCACTGCTGTATCACCATTACCGCGCTGCTCCCTATTCAAACCCGGCACAGACCATGAGTATCAAGGATGGATGGTTCTCTGAGACCGAGGTACTGTGGCCCGGGCAAAAATTTTCTCTAGAGGTGAGAGAGGCTGCACGTGTGTGCGTTTATGATCTACACATGAAATACGTCATGGCCTAATTAGTACATCTCATAACGGGCGTCCGTGTACGCGCCCCGACACTCGCTTCATCGTAGCGTGTCTAGCTCTAGAGTGCTGTGGTATCTTGAGTCCACTCCCGGGCTTTCTGTTATGATGTACAGCATATCCAATATGCAACAAGTCAGCGCTGACTCGTACCATAGTGGATATGCTGTACATCTTAACCAAAATTTCAACCGGGGTTCGAATCCCTCGAGGACCAAAATTGAGACGCCTTCTTTCCAGGAAACGCCTGAAAGACGGTATACGTTCCAGTCGTCCAAGTGAAGACACCTATCCCCGCCTGAAAGTCGACCAACCACATGGGGCAGCGCTGATTACAGGGATTACAACCCTGGGGTTGATTCCGAGGTCCAACAGCTGTAACAAGTTGAAGGACCCTGGTTGTACTTTTGTTAAGATGTCCAGCATATCCACTACAATATGCTACAAGTCAGCGCTGACTTGTAGCATGCTGGACACCTTCACAATTTCTTCCTTGACGTTAGTTCAAATGACGCATTCATGCGTACCAATCCGAATCGACCGCATCTCACGAGAATGACTTGTTCATGTTTGGTAGCTCGCCATCTTGCTCTTTTTACAGTCAGCTTCAGACGCCAATGACGCACCAGCTTGGTGTCTGCGTTTGGTGTTACGTACGGAAGGTTGTTTGCTAATGTTTCCTGACGATGACTCCTCCCTTCGTCTTAACCCTCTTGTTGTACATACCATGGTACTCGTATAGTCTACGGCAAAGTAGCGCCACCCGGTACAATATTTATATTTTGCGCAAGACTTTTGGCTTCTGGCCGCGCCAATACCGAGGTACGAAGTACTTGTATTGCAAGTTCGTACGTCAGCCAGGTACCAGGAATACGCTACTTCGACAACGATTCCCCGTGTTGGATAACCTTCATGTCTTCTGCTGTTGGTGGTGTTTCATTGACACTGCTGCAGACAAAGGATTTGATCTTGACCAATTTTGAAAACAAACGCAAGAGTACTAGAAAATGGACACGCAAGACCAGTCGGAAGGCATCGCGAAAAACAGAAATCGTTGATTCTCGCACAGGGCGGCAGTAAGGGCGGCTCAAAACATACATTTCACGCGTCTACCGCCACGCGCCTCCTTCGAAATCAAGATAAAAATGTACACCATTCTAAATTCAAGTCAACGGAGCCAAAACGGAAGGCGCCCAAATACGGTAGTGTGGAGGGTTATCTTTGGGTTTCTGCTGCTGTCATTAGTAGAGGACACCATGTAGAGGCGTCGTGCGTGCTGGCGCGTTCAGGTTTGCTACTGGAGCTGAATATCGAAGGTCACGGCAGCCTCTGAAAACAGTCCGAAATCTGCGCCGGAACCAAGCGGCATCCAACATTTGTCACAGCCGTCCTAGACGCCACTGACCCCAATCTCTGAACTGCGGGTTGTCAGCAGCTTGATCACCCGCAGTTCAGGGGTTTACGGTCCGTGGCGGCTAGGACGGCTGTGACAAATGTTGGATGCCGCTTGGTTCCGGCGCAGATTTCGGACTGTTTTCAGAGGCTGCTGCGACCTTCGATATTCAGCTCCAGTGTAGCAAACCTGAACGTGCGAGCACGCACGACACCTCTGCATGGTGCCCCCTACTGATGACGGTAGAAACCCAAAGCGAACCCTAACCCGAAGGTTGTTTTCTGTTGTACATTGGATTAAAGTATGAGAAAAGAGCCAGCGTCAAAATCCTTTTTGTCTGGACCCCCTTAAGTGTTTTCCGTTTATAGCTTTATTGTCACTGCTGTCTACACCGCTTCCGTAGCCCTATTACTTGTAGGACCCTGGCAGAGGGCGGGACAGACAGCGTGGTTCAAACACATGGGCTTTCAGGTAGTTCTCACGTAGAATTAAATTAACACCATGGAATTACTGTATCGAATAAGCTTCAACCTCCTTGATCCACATGGCGTATGCTCTGTTCTTCCTCAAGCTGCACACGGTGGAGGATCGTACCTCCGTGTTTTGGACACCATCCGTATCCAGGTCCCAGCAGTGCTACATACTGAGAACGTATTCTCATGGTCTTCTTATATGTTGAAAATTTGAGCCCTGCCTGAATTTCTGAACTACCGAGGTTTAAAGGTGGTTTGTAGAGCTATCTGCACAGCAGGAATGTGCACCCTAGTTGATTGAGGCAATCGAAGTATATTTGATGTTTTCAACCATTCGAAAGGGAACTCGCAAGACCGCGGCGACACCCTGGATAGGTTGAGATATTTTTCCGACTTTGCGAATACACACCGCCCTCTCCCTTGGCGACAATGATGGCGGCCTGCTCGTTTTCCTTCACAGGTGAAGGAGGTGCTATTCCATGAGCGATCAGACTTTCAAGACGTGCTGGTGTTTGATTCAGTGCACTATGGTAAAGTGCTCGTCCTGGATGGGGTGATCCAGCTCACTGAACGAGACGAGTGCTCGTATCAAGAGATGCTCACCCATATTCCGTGCTTCGCGCAAGGCCACCCCAAGAAGGTGGGACAATCGCTTATTGAGCAGTATCGAGCTTCAGTGTTCCTTCTCATACGCTACACTCCGTCGTCAAGGGCGACAGAAGGCTCTGGAACTCGTTACTGTCTTGATGGACCCACGGGGTCAGGACTAGGGGCTTTCCTCCTAGTGAAAGGTAATAGAATCGAGCAACAGGAGACACTGCGGCATTGTCTATTTGACACATACAATCCTAGGGAACCAACACCGAACCCCAGATTGTGTTGATCCTACGGTTTCCCTCAATAAATCTCTACTCACTCATTACAGCTACAGATCTGCGCGCGGTCCCAATCACATATTTTTGGTTGGTGCCATTGAGCGGCGCACTTGTCGGAATTGATCCATCGTAACGAGAGTCCTCCGCCACGCTCCAAACATGACAGGGATAAGATTATCTGAAATGCATGCAAAGGCTTGTTTCTGCTGGTCACCACCGTGGGCGATTGCAGTACTTCGTCTTCGAGGCCTTTGTTGACCGCCGCTGTGCAGCTAGCTGGCTGCGTCACAGCTTCCCTCCTTCACGCTTCTCTCGTCCACACCCCTGCCATATTCGAACACAACGGATCCTATCATCCAGGAGGTTCCTAGTTGGTCCAAGAAAAGCCATCTCTGCTTGCTTGCTTTCTCACAAAATACAAGACGTACCCTGCCAATCCACAATTCTATACATTTCACCGCCAGGTTCTTATCGTAGGAGGCGGGGACGGCGGGGTACTTCGGGAGATAGCCCGTCACCCCGGAGTGGAAACAATTCACATGTGCGAGATCGACTCTATGGTGTGCGAGGTGAGAACTGATGAGCTCACATGTTTTCATCGATGACCCGTGCTGAAACATCCGTGGATGAAATACTGGTATATCGCGCAATCCGCCCGCGAAGCGGGTTAGCACCAGTATCCCAAGGTGCGGAGTAGGTACTGTGGCACCGTTCTTAACCGCTAGTAAGTATGATGACGACCTTAACCCTTAGCTGCAGTTGTGCCCTTGCTGTTGCTGTGCCAAACCTGGGCCCGCTGTGACTTTTCGGTCTATATGAAGGTGTCCAAGCGTTTCGAATTTTGCACGGCGTCTGCCTTCGGCGATGCGCGCCTCAAGCTTGTGCACGAAGATGCCGCAGAATTTGTCAAGAAAGAGGTGAGGTTCGAAGCACGAGTTGAACATCGAAAAAACTATCAGATTTTATTTATAGCGATGCCAACGAATTCCTGTACCCGAGATACTTCGTCCTCTTCCGGGAGGGTCACCTTCAGACCTTTAGTGTAGAATGGTCTTGCAGTTGCGTCAACACTGTATTCCAGCATGGCGTCGCCACCAACCTTACGGCCGGCTGACGTCTCGGGCGGGTATAGTTTACCATGCCTCTTCAGTGTAGTGTTCATTTTGTGTAACCACGTGTGCAACACTCGAAAACCCTTGCTCGACTTCCGCTTGTGCCTGCTTCCTACAGGGTAACAATGGGTATGACGTTATCATCGTGGATTCATCCGACCCCGTCGGTCCTGCGGAAACCCTCTTCCAACCGAGTTTTTACCAAGTGAGAATTGCTCGTGAGACGAGACAAGTGATAACATGTCGTGAAGCAAGACTCTAGAAAACGTGGCGTACGTGTACCAAGAGAAAATGTCCGTGCACGCAAAGCACGGAAACAGTGAGCACCCGTTCTACTACTGCTCGTACCTGGCACTGAATGCTTACCATGTACATGACGGCCCTTCTCGCCATGTAGTAGCCCACGACTCTTATCTGAACAGCAAAGTGCAGGAAACCTCTTGAACACGGCATAATCTTTGTTCGTTGACGGCATCAAAACGGGGCTGTGCCGCGTAACTGGTAACACCTCGACTTCCACTGCCAGCGATAACTTGCTCAAGGGTGCCGCTTGGCAATTTATATCCTCGTTCGTAGAAGGTAGATACGTCACGTTTGATCGCCCGTGCTCGTGTTGTGTGTTCACAAGCTGTTCGCGTTTGACTACCCCTACCGCAATCTAGTAGAACATGAAGCAGGCTCTGGCGCCTATGGGGGTCATCGCAACGCAAGGGGAATGCCTGTGGCTGCACCTGCCGCTGATCACCACCGTCTTGCGTGCATGTGCTGAGATATTTGGCTCTGTGGACTATGCCTTCACAACGGTGCCCTCGTACCCATCTGGACAGATCGGATTCGTTCTTGCAAGTGTGGAAGAGCGAGGTGAGGGGTAGATATGTTGCAAGAACCTTGCTCGTACTGGAGCCGCACATCTGGATTCGCATGCGTAGGTGCGATACCGAGACCGCATGCGGTGGACAACACAAACATAACATAACCAATCTTTGTCTCTCGCAGATTTATCGACGCCAGCATCTACTCCCAATGCTGCAATGACGGAAGTGCTGAGATACTACAGCCCGGAGGTTCACCAGGCCGCCTTCGTTCTTCCCGTCTTCGCAGAAAAAGAAATAGCAGGCGTCAGGCGGCGTTCTTCTAAAGAATAAGAAACGCAAACGTGGCTCGCTAACCACGAGTACAGGATGCGCGGCACTAACGCCCAAATCCCGTTCCAGTTTTGGGCGTGGACATAGCTGTGTGTGTGCTTTTGTGAAGAAAAGGCTAAACTTGAGAGTTTTCAGCCCGTGGGAGATAGCTTAACTACTGTGCGTACCAAAGTATCTCTTTTCCTTGACGTTTTTCTCTGGCTCGATTGAAATGGCACACTCTTGGATAATTTCAGGGTATTTCACGTAGCGTTTTTTTTCCACGGAGCAGAGCGGAGCGATTAATTCCGCTCTGTGATACTTTCCCTTGAGAAAAACCGCTCCGTGACATGATAAATAAAACCGCTCCGCTCCGTGGAGCTTCCCATCAATCCGTACAAGCGTTTTTTCCACGGAGCGGTTTGAGCTAGTCCGTCACAGGAGCACGGATAAACCGAAACCGCAGTACAGTCACGGTTTTCCAACGGGTCACGGTATTTTTTTTTTTTCTATATTCACAGCTAGAGGTATTAGGTATTACAAGTAGTACTGATGAGTTTCAACGAGAGGCAAGTAAGGAACCATCTGCTGTCGTACGTGTTGCAGGAACTTAGGAGGAGTCGAGGAGGTATCGATGCGGGGAATGGTCCCTTTCTGAATAATTGATTAAATTCCAACTTTTTTTGTCTGTTTGGGCTGTCTTAGCAGCGAGGATGCATACGGTGTCACCGCCGACCTCCAACCACAGCACACGGTGCGGAAAATCGGTTTCGGTGTGCCAAACCCAACGATTTTCACGAAGCAGGTACCCCGTCGAGTTTGTAAGGATATCCGTGCGGTTTCGACGTTATTTTCGACGTCTATGCTACGGAGTAAACAAAACCGCTCCGTGAAAAAACCGCACTACGGATACACCGCTCCTCTCCGTGGGTCTTTTGCCCTAGGGTAAACCGCTCCGCACTGCTCTGTGATATTTTCAAATGAACACAACCGCGGAGCGTTTCTACTCCGTGAGTTACCCTGATAAATTTCGCATTTCGAACTGCCAGCGTCTGTTCGCGGATTGTTTATTGGAGCCCCTCGGGAACTTACAAGCCTTGGGCTTTCGCTTCGTCATGCCATTCCGCGACCTCTCACGGAGGGTTGGCGCTGACGGCAGCATTATGGTTGTTAGACCCCGATTTATGGGAACGAAATCTCGTCGATAAATCTTGATCTTGGCCAAATCTGTCAGTTTCACGATTCATGGGAGCGAAATCTTCCGATATACCTTGGCCAAGATTTCTCGAGGCCTCAAATCTGCCCTTTCGAACAAATCTGGACCCAAGATCTGTCGAAACGAGCCTTCCGACAAATCTTGAGGCGGCGTCACAAATCTTGCCTGGGTGCGGCGCGATCACCGAAGGTCAGTCAACCTAATCGTCCAAACGCCATGAAATCTGCACGTGACATACTCGCAAGGGTCTCTAACGCACCCTGGTGTCAATGTGTCGGCGCCACGGGCGCCGACACCAAACGAAAACGACCAAGGCGCGCGAAAAAAATGCGTATTTGCCCTGGCTGCGTCATCACCAGTGTCGAGGGACCGTTCAAAGAGTACTTTATTTTGAAGTAGAAAAATAGAGGAGGACGAACGTTTTGCGAATGCTGCTCTGTCGTGTGCGACGCTTCTATCTCTTCATCGAATCACCCCACACCCAACCCGTTTGCACCCGAGCCAGATCCGTGAGTGCAGATGACAGCGCCGGAGGTTTGACCTAGGTTCGCCTGCTACACAGTGAGATACGTGCACGGGTGTAATCGGCTTCGGGTTGATGCACTTTCTTGTCAGTTGGACAGCAATGGAACAATTTTGTTTCTTGGCTTGACATGAGCTCGTGGGCAACGGCTTCTATTTTGCACCCCAGGTAGGCGCCCACCGCTAGTATCCACCCATAGTGTTGAGGCAATACAGCTGGGGGAGGGACGCCCCTTCTACAACTGCGTCATGCTCACTTTTCGCCACACCTTGGCATTTTCTGTGGACCAAGTGGCCGTTGTGCCTTGATCAACTTCAAGCAGAAGAGAGGAACAACACGCCGCTTTTTCAACATTCAACATTTCCCCCCCATAAATCGCGATACTGCAAATCTTGGAGGCGATATATTGTGAGCAAATCTTGGGTCAAAATGCCAAGATACATTTGCAAGATTTTGTTTCCATAAAGAAGGGTCTTAATCCTTTTCATGCTTGAAAGCTGGAGGAGTTCGAACATGAGACTCACAACTGGCTTCCGATAAACTACCGCCCAAAAGACATGTTCTAGACTAAATCGCATCCAAAGGCCGGCGATACATCACACAGCTACAAAAAAACATCGAGCGCTGATCTGTGATTGCCACGTTCCGTCTTGCAAGGGCGCTCGTACGGCCCTGCATACTCTACTCTTCCTCCTCCTCCTCGTCCATCGACAAAACTTCATTCGTCGTCGGGGAAAGCAGTTGGCATTTCCCGCCCTTGGCCTCTATCGCCTCAACTGCGCTCTTCGTGAACCCGTGGGCCTGAGGCACGAAACAGAAGGAGAGACGGACAACACGTGTTCCGGTGGAATGGTCAACTCCCCCCGCGCGATACGTCATGGAACTATCGCAATACTGCAGGGCGCGTTCGCCTGTCGCAGCTCGTATCGAATTTCAACGTACATGCATGCCTTGAATGTTACGGAAGCAAATCTACTGGAGAACAAAACCACTGACGCCATTTGCACATTTTTTCCTCGTACCTGAACTGTCAGCCCTGTTGTTTCCAATTCCATTCCACCCACAACCTTGTGCCACCTGTGCTTGGTCTTGGTGACTTTACCTGACAATATTTTCCGGGCAGTGTACAGCGCATTCTGTGACCACATCATCCTGTATTATCGTTTGACCACGAAGTGCCTCCCGTAAAACGCCCTTCCCACATTTACCAAAAAATATCTACACTGCAGTGGGTATAGTCGGTTCCGTGGACGCCCCGACTGTTGTCACCGAGAAGGAACAAAATTGATCTCCACCAAACAAGGTGATAATGTTACCCTCTGCACATTTACTAACTAAAATACATCTTGACACGCAGCAACTACCGGAAACGAAGAGGTACAAAATAACTGAGCGAGAGGATGATGGAACAGTCACACGCTGGAGCAGTTTCGTCCGTGCGGGATCTTATGGCCCTCAACATCGGACGTTATGGTGGCGCTTGAGATGCGGATATCTTCTCGTTCTCTCTACTGGCAAACTTTCACTGACAACTGTGTGCACGATCTCTACAGACCCTGGCAGCCACGGGCTTAACCGGCCTAGGAGCTACCTTGTAGTGTTAGGATTGCGGCCAAGAACACTTTCAGTTGGGTGAGCACAAATCACATATAGCCAGTTGCGTGCGTGGGACCCTGCAGTCTGCAGCTCACCTGCATCCCCAATTCTACTGTAAAAACAACAAGCATAACGGGTGTGTGTTGTTAGAAAAGGGAAACAAGAGCAAGAGTCACGACTTCCGCTCATTTAAGGCAAGTACACCGGCCACAAATGGCACCCGATGTCTGCATTGGGATGTAGAGTAGGTTTTAGCACTGTAACTAGGGCGGTGGTCGAAGAAGCGCATGTAATGAATGGTGTGTCTTGATCTTAGCAGATGTACTCGGAAGCTCTCTACTCTGTCCGCCCTGCCCCCGCCGTCGAAGGCACCCCGCAGGCCGAAGCAGAGACGCGGTTTCTCACAATCCGACGGAGACTTGGGCACGCACTTGCAACACGATTGAGAGGTACACCGAGGGCGCAGTAATTGCAACATGACTCACCGGCCGCACGAAGCGATTCGAAGTTAACGGTGGCACCTTCATCCAGTCCATTGAGAGCGTCCAGCTTAATGAGGTTGAATTGCTATTGCAGGGGGAGGGTGGGGGGGGGCTGGGTGGGCGACAACGAGAGAGTCGAAAGCGTACCACTACAAGCAGGCAGACGAGGCAGTTGGTGTCATTCTACAATGCTCCTCGCGAACAGGAACACGTAGGTCGAAGACAGACGGCGATCTGGGAGTTTGAGGTGGAGGTCGTTTCATCAAGTACAATCACGCCCATTTCCCATTGGTCAATTGGGGTTTGACTTCCATGTCAACCCATAACGCAACTAAAACATGTTCATGATTTTTCGGATTCCTATGGAGCCAAACAGCACAACAACGTGGTCTTCCTCCCACACTTTCGAGTGACGGGGATGCGCGGAATGCAGGAGTCATGCATACCCCCAACCTGACCCTGACCGCGAAACACAACCTAAGAAATCGTTATCGGAAACTCGGCCGCAATCAACTGTTCTCAGTGTGGCATTGCCGTGATGCGCTCCTTACCTCTCGGCAGTCATACTCGCGAAGTTCAAGGACCACGAGCATTCATCCATAAAACCAACCAGTACACCCTACCAACCTTCTTGGTGTGGCCGGGGCCCATGGGGCGGCCAACTAGCTTGGGTAGGCGGCGGTAAAGAGGCTGTTGCCCGCCCTCGAAACCTGCCCGCACTCCAGGGCCGGAGCGAGACTTTTGCCCTCGCATACCGAAACCACATGATGCCCCCTGTCCGGCAGCGATACCGCGACCCTTTCGCTTGTGGCGTTGGCGCGAGCCCGGTGCAGGCTTGAGGGTGTCCACAGCGACCCTGTCAAGAACTGGCGACGTGAAACAGCCAAACGGAAACAACAGGAGGTAATTCCGTTCAACAGGCGCTTACATGTAGCCGTGGAGAACATCAGCGATGCGACTCGGGTGCATGTTCCATAAATCACATCACATGTCCACAGAATTGGAACAGGAAAGAGGTTTTATCTCCGAAGCTTCTGCTGTAATATTGAGTGCCTAACACCTACCACTGCTGTCTGCGTCGGTTGACTCACAATTTTAGTCCAACTTCAGCTTGACTCTTACAAATCTGCTTCAAATTACTGTGTCGATTCAGTCAAATCTGTTGTTTTAACACCACCTGGTACGCGGCAAGAGCGGATATTCCGACTAGTGTCCAGCACTGGATGCCGTATCGACTTGAAGCAAACCTCAACATTCATATTGCAACACCATCCCCTGCTGGGAACGGTGTTATCTGGAATTTCATTTTATGAGCCCCGTGTGCATGGTAGACTACTTCGCGAGACACGTGTACAACAAAATTGATGTCGAGCGGGTTGATTTTTATATTGAGAAAATGGTTACTATGGAGCGTACGACATATGAAACTGAGGTTCTGTTTACAGCACACGATAACGTTAGCTTGTTCAATGAAGCGCCATACTCAGAGCTACCCACACCAACGACTTGAGTGTGCCTTGGGTCTGTAGGCTATAAAAGTAGAGCAAAACCAACTATGTACATTGTAGCATAAGGGAATCGGCTTGTACAAGCAACAACGTTGAAAAAAAAAGGGTCGGTTACTGCCACGCTTTTCCTACGATCCCAAGGCAGACGAAAGCGCTTACCTAGGCCATCCTCGCTTTCTCTTCTTTTCCAGTCGAAGATTTTCATGGTCACACCCGTCGTCGTGCGCGATGGTGCACTAGTCCCCGCTGTCAGTTGCTGACCGGTGAAGGCAGTGGGAGCGAAGAACGCATCTGCTCGCCGGTGGAAAGGGTTCATGCAATCACACATGTGGCGTGTTTGTGAGTCACCCGCTGCCGCACACACCCTCGTTATTGCCGCTAGGAGGTTTCAAAAAGCACAACACCTTACAATATCGCACTGGGTGGCCATCTCTTACCAAGTTGAACCAAACTGCAATCGATACGATCGGTAGAGCCCAGAGGTAAGAAGGTGAGGCAGAGACGACATGCGTCTTCAAGGCTGTCGGGTGGTCCTGCACGTCAAGCCCAATCAGCGAGCTGACGCTCCCAAGCGATAACACAAAAATCACGCATGTACTCACTCGCTACCCCCACGCAAAAGAGTGCGGTCGTCGCAAGAGTAGCCTTCATGATGTGGAGTTCTCGACACGGCCTCTCCTGTCGCCTCGGTGTTGTGTATGTCTGTCTGGCTGGATGACACACATGACGGGAGGAGCGCGAGCGAGGGGCACCGCGCCGCACAACTCCCACGAGCACCAACGCGGGGGGGGGGTCATTTATTTCCGAGCCCCCGCAACCTCGCCGTTGGACATTTGTTTGTTTGTTGTGTCAGGTCGCTTCTGGCTTCGCTCAAGAGAGGATCCACCACAGGGCTAGCAATGGAGTCGCTTGGAACACTCACCTATCGAGAACTGCAGGCGTTTGCCAAGCGCCATGGTGTGAAGGCGAACGGAAGTAGGGTGGATCTGATCCAAAGACTGGTAAGAGATATGGTAGGGGGCTCAGATTTGTCTGACCGACTAGGCCGAGTTTTATACGAAGTTATGCATATAAACAAGCACTCGATCCGCGGGCTCGTACCTGTTGCGTGCATGCTTTAACTCACTATTTTTAACGGAGTGAGATATGTCCTAGCGCTAAGTAGTACCTGATGTTTTGAGCTGTCCAACCCCGGCTGCTTTCCATTTATATGCCCGGCTTCGAGCTTTAGTCCGACACACACGGAGGTGACGACGACACGCCGGTTGAAGATAACACCCAACCCGGCAGCGATGAAAGACCCGACACGGACAACAACACGCCAGTTGAAGACATCACCCAACCCGGAAGCGATGGAACAACTCTAGGCGTGCCTGACACGGACGCCGACAATCTAGCCACCCTTGACAAGCCTCATGGCACATGTGTCCAGTCTCAACATGACTCCGACCCCGACAAGTCCCAACAAGGCAAGAGCGACTCGCAGGTTCTTGTCACAGACACGCCTGCCGAGCCGGAACCATGCGCTGGGGAAGATGTGGCGGAGAGGCGCAAGAGTGAAAGAGTCTCCGCCACCATGAAGGTGGGAACACACATGCAGACAATCGCGTTGCGGCAAGAAATCTAAGCAGATGACCTACTGGGTGTGATGCGGACAAACGCCGTAGGCGACATTTTTATCCGTATGTACACCAAGATAGTACATTTTTTTTTTTCTCCCATCATTGGACTCTCTCGTCTGCCCCTCTGGCCCCCATCCTCCACTTCTACTAGCTAGACAACCCAACCGGGGTCACATAGGAGGGGGGGGTTGAACCCCCTCCTGTGGTTCCTGCCTAAGATTTTTTATGTTTTTATCGCGAGAAGGGTACAGCAATCCCTTCCCTCGCGACTTATGAAGTCGTTCTAGTTTACTAACAACGAGCTTTGCAGCGAGTCGCTTCCAACTTAGACCAGGATTTATTCAGTGAGAAAAATAACTCACTTTGCCGAGACTTGAACACATGACCTGGCCCTTATTAAGCTGCGAGGGGTACCCACTAGACCACCGGGGCGACCGGTTACATGTATCTAGCTAGCTGTCTGTCCCGGCAACTTCCGCGTGCAACGGATGGTGACGGTTTACCAAGCGCTAACGTTAGATACGCAAATCAATAATGGCAGCTCTTTTAGTAACAAATATAGCTTCGCTGGCTCTAACAAACCTAGACTATGCATACAACGCAAAACTTTTCTACCAAGCAGATGCGGCGAGTCCACGGCAAATCCATACACCAGTCTTCATGAACGCTCTCTGCGTGTATGCCGAAGAAGAGGCTCCATTGAAACATCGAATGGATTATTTGGCATAATAGAGGAAGCAGAGAGGGGAATGGTCGCACAATTTTGTTGGGACTCTGCCGACCTATGTATGGATTGCTGTGTAAACCGACAGACGCCGTTGCCGCTGTGCAAGTGGGGGCTGAAACTCCTTTTTTCGTGTGTTTGAAGCAATACATGCTTAGTCTGCCACATTTCTACGACATGTGTCTTGAGAGTGTTAAACTAAAAGTCGTAAATTGAGTTCAGCATAGCTGATACGGAGCACTAAGGGAAGGTGCTTAACCTTGCTGTACGTAGGGAAAAATCAATATTTCATTGTTTTCGGTTTCTGCTGACCTAATACCTAAGGCAACATGGTCCAGCATGCATGTGACGGAGAATATCATTTTGAGGCGCTCAAAGAAGTTAGAGGCATTATTCGCCAGCTTGGCCCCCATGCTGTGTGACACCGTTGGAAGAAATCTCTCGTAAGGGGGCAGGAATGGCTGTCCCGTTTGTGCCCGACTTGTTAAAGCCGACCTAAGACTACTGTGGATTGCCGCTCATGTCGCAGGAAACACGAACCACGGGCGAAACACCCCAGAAGACTAAGGTCAAACTGCCAGTTGCAGGCAGGTTCGAGCGGGCGCACCAGAATCTCTTTGCGAGCCAGGCATCAATAGAACGCTATGGAAAGACTCCAAAGAAGTCAGGTATGCGAGCTTTCATGAATCTTTCCAGGTAAGCTGTTGCTTCACCTCAGCCCCCGCCATTCTCTGAAGAACACTTGAGTGTGTTTTGGTTCCCCAGGTCAGATGACATCGCAAACGCTTCCGCGCTACTCGTTCCATATGCAGCACCTGCCAAGGAAAACGCTCCTCTGTCCAAGACCAAGGCATTTGCATCCACGGCCAAAGTGTTTGCGCCGACACCTGTCCGCCCTGTCCCTTCCGGATCTGCCGCCAAATCAAGCGTCAAGCGGGGCCTGACAGTGGCCAGCAAGCCGTGCACACTGGTTGTTCAGCGAAGCACAAAAAAGCCGACGCAGGTGGGAGCTATTGTCTCTCGCAACCAGTGGCACCCTCAACAAGGGCATGTCCGCGATTCGGTTGACAGTGTTGCTATTTTGAACATTCTCCAAAACCAGTTTTGCCGACCTTGTCAGTGAAAGCACACTGCTTGCACCGAAAGAAATATTTTAGAATCTTGGCAAGATGCCAATGTTATCGAACGATTTGCATTGTACGACGAGATTTGATGATCCATCCCACACTGGTGAAGTCGGTCTGTTTAATCGCACATTGAAAGACGAATCTCCATCTCTAATGGTCGTTCGTTGCTTTAACAGGTGAAGGAATTCCGCCTGAGCTCCAACCAGACTGGTAAACGGGAAACGTTCACCTTTAAACCCTACACTGGACCACTGCGTCCCATCGTGCCAGGTGGGTGATATTGTCAATGCAAGAGCGCACGTAGCTGGTTATATTATTTATGATACCACCGTAGTCCGAGGTGCGACCGGGCTGGGAAAATGTGTAGAATTTCTTGTTCCTCTTAGGCATACTGACTTGGGAACCTCTGAGCTGTGTAAATGTCTCTGTACGCGTTGGTCCATATTCATGTGTTGTCGCATCCACGTCCCACAGACGGTGCGTCTATTTGGTGGTACGTCCTAACCTTGTTTCTATTTTTCAATGTATTGCTTCTCCACCCCTTGCGTCGCCCCGCACTTCCAGCAAACAACTCCAGCTTTAACATTGGACATGCACCCAAGAAAGGGTCCAACCCTGTCCGTGCGAAGGGAATTAAAGCAACCCTGGCGAGTGGTAAGGCGCAGAAGGCCCGGAAAGAAGCTCACGTCGAGTCTAGTAAGGCTCAACGGGACAGGAAATTGGCGGATGCACGGTTTGGTCGTGCCTAACTCGTTGCTGGCCATGACTGAGTCGCCCTAAAACTACATAAGAGAACGTACGCGTGCCCTTGGACGCATGCACGCTTGTCCGTAGTCCAGGAAAATTAGCCCGTGCGTGTTTTCTGTCCGATCATGAGAAGCGAGAAGGGATCTTCTTCGCCGAATGGTGGTTGTTGTATCTAAAATTTAGCCTTTGTTCGCTGGAAAGGGGCCATCTCTGCGGCAATGTCCTATTGAGTCTTAACAATATTGTATGCATAGAGTAGAACGTGTTTTTCTTTCATTTCTGCATGTGCTCTCGTCGGGACATGTCCTGAAAACACCGACGCAACTTTGCAGCGTAAGATTATTCGTTGTTCCAGTTTGATTAAAACTGCCTTGGTTAGCTAGTAGCTGCATGTCGAAGATGGATGAAAAGCTATTGCGTCCTTTGGGCTTGCGACCTGTACGTATGGGGTACACAGAAATGAAAAGTCACCACGTAGATTATAATATATTGCATTCACGACGTACAATGTTGCTTTTTGACTAACGATGAACTATTTCGCACAACTAGCAGTGCACGCTCTTCTTCATCAAAAAATTTGTCAACACCAGACCCCCTCCAGTTTTCACGTTCCGCCTTCACCGCTCCAGCCCCAAATACTCTTTCTGCGATAGTCGACAACGCGATACGTTTTGCTGCCTCCTTGCGAACCTCAGCGTCGTGCCTCTCCCACAGTGTAGGGGCATCGCGAGTGGCCTGCGCAGCGAAGTATGGACGGTGCATACCAGGTCGTTGTGGAGTGAACTTCTCGTTGGTGCATATTTCCTCATCAACAGCCGACCATCGTGTTTAGTCCGCACTGAGTTTTGCGTTGTCGTAAACCCCCAGCGTGTACTCGAAGAAAGCAAGCTCGGCACTACCTGCAGTCCTTACGGCGACACTGCTGGCTCATCAGCACGCACCTGTTCCAGCTTTTGCTTATTCTCTTTCAGACAGACATGATATCTTTCTTGAGATTCCCGGGCCGTTTGACGAGCCTCGGCGGCTGTCGGTCGACGAGCTAGTCTCGTTTGCTGAGAATCCATCCGCCTCATTACTTCAGAGATAGTCTTGCTCATTGCTTGCTGCCTGGTACGCCTCGCCAACTCCTCCTGTTTTTGTCGTTTGAGATCGCTCTTTTCTTTCTCTAGTCTGGCCCGTACGTGTGTCGTCTTAAGAGAGAAGCTGTTTGTGCTGCGGGGTACAACGGGCACAGTAGCTGCTAAAGGCACTTTCTTCCTCCGAGGACGCTGTCTGATTTCCTCCGGAAGAGATTTGTCTTGCTCCCGTCGAGCGCGCTCTTTTGCTCGTTGTCGGTATACATTTTCCCTCTCTTCCATGGGTAGAACCTATAGGTACAGCAGGCGAATGTTGACCAGGGTTTGAAACGGTGGAATTTGAGGTTTTAGCTGCAACGAGTGCAGCCTCGACTAGGTAATAAACACGAGAATGAGACAACACACCTGAGGTACCACCGGTTTCTTTTTCCGTCTGGCTGCAGCAAGCTGCTGATCCCATAGGCGCTGCCTTCTCGCCAACACTTCTCGGATCTGCCCGGGTGGAACCGATTTATATCTCGTGCGAGCTTCAGTCTCACTTGGGCCATCTCCCTTCTCAGGAAATTCAGCGGTGGTAGAAGCCGCAGCCTTCCGTTTCAGCGCATGCATAGCCATACGCCTTGGGAGATTGGAGAGAGACGACATCTGCCAAAGTGCGACCAAAGTTGGAGTTGCACAGACACGATTGTTGCTATGAAAACTGCCCGAAAACTGGAGCGCTACAAAGTGTATGGACCGGTGCCGATGTTTAGGACACCAAGCTGTTCACAGCAGTTCTACATCGAGGGAAAGATGGCATGTAGTTCCACTCCCTTTACTCTAGTTCGTCCCATTCACACTGCTTTCTTGTCGGTCGCTAGTCGGCTGAGGAGGGAACGATGGTGGGGCAGGGCTGACGGTGCCACACGAGACCGACGGTCTCACTCACCAAGTTCATCCGCATCTGGATCCTTTGCTTCCGCCTTAAACTTTGTCTATCCTTGATTGTTTGCCAGTCCTCATCGGCGATGTGAAGGGGCCGAGCCTTGAATTCATGACTTCGCCTTGCTTCGTCATCCTTTTCCTCGGCTTCTGTCTGGTTTGTGAAACGAGCCCCGCCGTGAGAAATTTGCTGGCTACACCCAATGGATTCGTTCGCATCAATAAATGAAAAATGAAGCATCTTCGCCACCATGTACGTCAGCTACAAGAGTGCAACTATATCAAGTTACACACGTGCCTCTCTAACTTTTTCGTATGAATGACCTTCCTATTTCCTATGCAGGCATCTGGACCGTGCCTTGGTGTCCGGGAACGATATTTTTGCCTCATCAAAGCACAAAACATTTTTCCGTGCCCACCGCATCGCAAAGTGCACCTCATCGTCGTCATTACAACGTACTACATGCATTTTCATTTGCCATCGCTCAGCGCCACTCTACGTCGAGGCCAATAGGTCTCAAAACACCAGCAATACATCAACGAAAGAAAGTCAACTCGCCCACCGCAACAACCCGAACAGAGATTGTGACATATCTGTATGGATTTGTGTGGAGTACAACTTGGGCGGGTCCAGAGGGTTCTTGTGTTAACCCACTGATGTTCCCACGGTTAATAAACGCTGGATACTCCTCGCCACCACAAAGGTGCCGTGGAACATCGGGATCTTGTGGCTCACCTCCTTTTGTCGGCGTCGCGCCATCATTTCATTTGATCGAGTAATGACGCCGGAAAATTCCCTTCCGTCATTGATGGACGTGATGAGGCGCTCGCGATCTCTGGATTTCGCTTCCTCCTCATCCCTCTTCGTTTGAAGTTCAAGCTATGGTAGATCGTTCGAGGTTGGTCGTAGGTGACAAAGATTGAGGAACAGTATTCACCTATTAGAGTTATACTGACGCAATGGCCACAGTCAACCGGATCAGCCGCATAGTGTTGGTTGTGTTGTGCATCAGGGGCAACGTTCCAGTTCCAGCCCACATCGTCCCTGATGCTTCATGTCAACTCGAGCCTAATTTCCTCACCACAGAAAGGAGCTCACCTCCTCATAGGCCCTCATCTTCCTGGTCCAGGCGGTTACATGAGTCTCCATGCCGCGGAACGGCTTGACCACTGTGGGCTCCAGCTTCTTCCTGGTCGACGAAGAATCGACAACTCTAGTGAAGACGCGGTCGGGTGGCGAGAATGAATGACGTTGTGGACAAGCACTTTTCAGCTCGTGATCGCCCTTTGGTGTTGCTCTTCTTCTGAGTTGGACAGGATTGGGGCGTCCGCTCGGTGGTGAAACGGCGACACCTTCCCATGCCGTTGTCGGAGGTGCGCTGGTGGTACTCCTCAACCTGTTGAGAGCTTGGCCGTTTCTAGCATGATGCTTGGCAAGTAGACCAATTTTGAGGAGTAATTCTTGTTCAATGTTGCCTTCACCAGTAGTATGGTCTCGTGGGCTTCCTTTTCCCGCGGATCCAGGACGCATCATCCGAATTCGCCGACGTAGTGTCGATGGGAGATGCGCTGTATGTAGATGCTCCGACTCGGCCTGAGTGGACGGCCGTTTGTCGTGATGCGGAAGTCTTCGTCGTTTTCAGCTCCTCTACTACTAATACCAGACCCAAAAGCTGCATCCAACGCAACAATTCCAGCTATTTTGCTGAAAACATTAACATGAGGCTACACAACTGCTGTATCATGCGCACCCCTTACATCCGACGGGGCATGTAATCATACGAACGGAGAGCTCTTTCTGCGATCGAAGAAGTTGAAATTGAAAGAGCTCGAGCAAGCGGTGTATGTAGTCTAACCGCCAGTAATCCTACTTCCTTTTAGATGGGCCTTTCCGAGAGCAATGGCCGGGCTGTCGTGACCGTCGTGGCATCCCTGACATTTGCAGTGGGCCTGATAGTCCCAATTCTGAATAACCAACAATAGCGGCGACCGTTTCACAATTCGAACTTCTCCGCCGAGCTACATGGAAACCCCACAAGTGTTGATTCTGCGGAGCCCCGCCTCCAGTTGACAAACCCGCTGCTGTGCTGCACACCTGCTGTCACAGCAGCGGCATCATGACCCGTAGAATGGTAACACGACGAAGGCCATTGTCGGGGCCCAGTTCGTCAGGTTTGAGTGAGGGTGCAGTCGCTATACTGTGTCTACTGATGTGCTTCGCCGCAAGAGAGGCGCTGGCTTCAGGAGCTTCTTCCCGAGGGAGGGCAGGGGGCACTTCAACAGCCGGTGCGTGTAGTTGTGTAGCCGCGGGTGGTACTTTTCACCCCTCTCAACCGGGTTAACTCATTTTCACGGCGTTGCCTGCACCTCATTGTTGTTTCAACAATACAACACCAGCCCTGCCCTCGTCTGTATTTTGAATTTGCTTGACATGTGGAAATTTCTCGAGAGTATCCAGGGCAGCAGTTATGAGAGCCAAGTGGCAGCAAGAGAGTGTTGCACCAGTTCCGGTGTGTGTATCTCATGAAGATATGTGGCACCTTGCTTTGGTCGGCGACTCGAAATGCTGCAGGTGGTTCTGGAGGGCGTATATCAGGGAACAGTAAGGACGCAGGGGGTGGAGCTTTTTCTTTTGTAAGTGGGACCGTACCAAAGGTCACACTGGACGAGACCGTCGACTCCGAGGAGCAGGACATCAGGGAAGAGCAGCGGCGCGGTCGCTGGAGCTTTGGGCAAGATCATGATCCTGTCGTTTCCGCCATCCAAAGTATGAAAGATCTGTTCCCCAATGTGCGTGTCTCAATGGACCCCACGACATCTCTCAAGCTGAGAAAGCGAATCTACCCGTTGAAAACCGTTCTCACGCTCGGAGCCGATTACAACACCCAAATAGGGGTGTGGCAATTTCGCTCTACATGGGAAGATTCCATCATCGGGGGTAGAATCAGCATCGCAGGACGGGAAGTGATGCTGACGAAATCGTGGTTACTCAAGGTCATGGACTCGGAAGACGTTGCAACGCGGTTAAAGTTCCGAGCAGCCATCAACACACGAGACTGGACGGCGTACGCCAAGTTTGGTTTCCGAACAGAGCGCATATCGCCTCTGAACATCAAGGATGGCTTCCAGCTGGCGAAGAAGTTCCCGCTTGATGGAAATAATGGTACGTACCACCGCTCCCTGCATTTATAGATGCTCTGCTGAAACGGGACAAGCTGATCTTGAACAGCTGTTTCGAAGTCCATGCAGTGTGTGTGAAGTGCCCGCGCTTAATAACCTGTAGTTTTGCCCGAGGCTGGAGTTTTTGATGCATTCCTCTTGCGGGCTAGAAACAGCCACTATATAGGTCTTAAGAGTTGGGGTTCTTAACCGGGCTCACAAATGGTGCTCAAACTGTTTTGTGTATGAGGTAGTGTTGAGCATGAAGGTCTTGGTTACCAAGTTCTTTCAAGTGCGGGCGCTTTATGCCAAGAACCGCCCGTGTGAGGAGACCACCGACCTTCGTCGCCTGTTGTATTCAACGACAAGGTAAACACCTGCTTGTTTTATCGTCACAGGCCATGCACAATCGCAGCACAATCGAAATGGCAATATACCTGCCCAATCGCTCGGAGAACCCCAATGGACATTTTTCACCTATAACCATCGTCCTCGACCTTCGTTCAACTGCCTATCTGTTCTAGGCCATGCCAAACTCGAGGTCGTGTCCAAGCTCGCACTACCGGAGCCGGAACTCCAGTTTAGTACAAATGGTGACACAAGCAAGGGGGTTGTGATCGGCATGGGTGATGTAAATCTTGGGATAGAGGAGTTCAACCTGTTGCTTGAGTACTGACGAAAGTATTTCGCAGGGCAAGGAGTGTGTGTGACGGTGCGCTGTAAAGTGTCAAGAAGATGGGACGGACCTGGCCGTGTGATTAATGTTGTGGTGTGGCAATGAGGAGGCTGGTAGTACTCAACTCTCCTGGTCAGCAGCATCGCAAGTGGTGTTTTATCTTTGTCTGGTTTCGGGCTACCGGTGTTGGGGCGGATGCAACAATTCGCCTTGGACGTATTGTCACGGCGTGCTTTTCAACGCAGTGGTCTAACCAAGGGGTCTCAAGGCACCGAACTAGAAAAGTATATCCGACAGCACAGTTTTCGTCTACAAGACCTGCGGATGAAAAGTTTTTAGCAGGCTTCCCCACTCACTGCAAAGACTTCCAACATATCCCTTCGACTGCGGTATTTTCTCGAACGGGTAGGTAGTCTTTCAGTGATTGCATGTGCAATTCTGAGAATCGGAATGGTGTTGCACGCTTCGGTGCGCTACAGTAGCCCGCGATGGCTGGAGAGCGCATATTCAGCCATGAGCGCAGCTGGCCACGGCGCTATGCATTCCGGCATTTGTTGTGCGGGAAGACGTTCACTGTCTTTGGGTATTGACCTTGAGGTCACAACACGTTCTTAGGTGAATGAGGTTAGACCGGAATATGCAGGTTGTGTCTCCTGGAGCATGCTGAATTTTTTCTCCGTCCCGTTGAGGATGATACCTGTAGACCAGAGTTTGGAGTCATTGCACCCCGCCCAGCATTGCAGTAACGCAAGGGAAAGGTGCCGTAGGAGTACGTGAACTCCCACTGTGATGCTATTTATATCGTAGTTCCTTGGCTTCGTGTAAGACAAACAACAAGTACCTTAGCTGTTCAAGGTGCGGCCATTCAGCCCGCTGCTGTAACACCGTGTTTCACGTGCGGGGGTGATACAAGTGGACATGCGTAAAGGCGCAGTGTTGGAAGTCATGAATGTGAACGCTTCGTCTCTTGTCCGTCTAAGGGAAGCCGACGCGCCTTGACGGATACATATGCATGCTTGCGAAACCCACATTATTTACGCAAGTCACGTGAGGTCGCCTGTTGGTACTACTATGTACCGAACTGCACCTCTTGCCTCCAACTCTGTACTGGGTGATAAATCAAGCAGGTTGTTGACAGAACATGCTACCACTACATGCCTTTGTGTGGACCCTCCTATTTATGTGTGTAAAATGACTGTCCCACATCGCGTCTGGAAGTAGATTGGATGGGTTATTAACATCATATTATGTCCACATCTACACGTACGTATCTTCTGCTGTTTGTTTCGGATGTCGCTTCCTTTTGTTCGTGGCGAGTATACCCATACCCGTGAAATGGGCATAGGGATCGTGAACGCCCTGTCCTCTCCCCCTACCAAGAAACATTGCGAAAAATGTAGACTAGACTAGACAGTACTACTGCTGCTGCTGTTTTACAGATCCGCCGCTGCCGAAAACAAATGTTAAGGTTAATGAAGAGAGTTTTTCTTCTGTACATCTATCTGCTGCATGCACAGCAGTAAGTAGTGAAGACTGGACTGCTGTGTAGTACTCCGGAGTATTTAGCAGCAGTATTAATGAAGACTAGTGTAAGAAAGAGCAGTACAGACTGGTAGCGACGTCTATTTATCGGGTGGCACGTGGTTTCGTGTTGTCATCCCTTTTGTGGTGTGTTGGTATGTTTGGACGCACCAACCGAGGTCACGCAGGAGCAAGTCCACGAGTATACACCGGGAGGGAGTGTTTCGTCGTGTATTCTTCCTTTCTTTGCGGAAAGAAAAAAACACGAGAACTCGATCACCTTCTGCAGTTAGAAAAATGCAGCTTTCGCCTCTGTGTTTCAACTTTGCAATGGAAACCCTGCATGAGCACGCATTTCCTCGTGCGGCAGGTGGCTGTAGGGAGAGATGTATGTAACAGGCAAGGCTAGCTATGAACACATTTGTGTTGCAGGTACGTGTGCACACCACGCGTGGAACTCCCAACGGAGGCTTACGTACGGACGGGGTGGACGATCCTACACAGGCTAGCACATCTGCACAAATATGCACAACACGGTAGCTGAGAGAAATCACACCCCGCCTTCCAGTTTCTATACCAGAATGACTCCGTCCTTCGTAGCGGCCTTCTCTTCTTTAGGATTCCTCACCCCGAGCATTGCGTTCAATCCTTTGCCGATTCCCTCGAACTCTCATGGTGCATCGTTCAACATCCAGATGTGTTGCACTGGGAGCCGAGCACACTTCGTGAGAACGTGTTCTGCAGCTACAATTGCGGTTGTCTCCACGCAAGGGCCGAGCCCTTCTGCCGCAACTACTCCTACGACTGTGGTGAGCAATACGCGAGCATAGAGGGGTTTGGATTAGACAATTCACAGGCCTTCCACCTCTCGGTGACGTTTCGAGGAAACGTAGTCTAGACTAGACATTTCCCTTTTTTTTTTTTAACGGCAGACCGCCTTGTTCATGTAGCAACACAGCAGTAGCTCTTATTTTCTTATTTTGGCCGAGGCTCGTTTCTTATTTTGTTTATGGGGTACCCCACGGCGACCACATGGGTTTTAGTGTAGGGTTCTTGGCTGAGCATCTGTTCCTATGACCAAGTTATTAGATGTTAGATTGAAGACAACTCCCTCTGACGCTGGCTCTTTTTCCATACTTCGAGTACTTTACCGTGAGGTTGCGAGTCAGCGCACAGGGGTGCGAGCTATTTTCAAAGCGTAATTTCTCCACAACTAGGAGGTAACCACTGTCCAAAAGGGCGGTTATGGAAATATCTCATCGAGAGCTTTCCTGAGAAGTATCAGTTGGCGCTACGCACCCTTCTGGTTGTGGAGAAATTACGCTTTGAAAATCGATCGCACCCCTCTGCGCTGGCTCGCACTTACGGTACTTGTCCAATAATACTGCTGTAGACTTACACGCAGAGAAAGCAACCACCGTTTAGATCTTACGCATTCTACTGTGATCAGTAGATGACACCATGAAGAGGGGTCGTGTGTGCTGGCACGCGCGTTCAGGTTTGCTGCAGGACCTGAAATTATGTAGTGGCGGCCAATAATCGATCACCGCAAGTTGTCATACTTACGGAGATTGTAGGCCGCTATACATACTACGACCCTCGATATCACCACCCAGGAAGCAGATTTGAGCGCGCCAAAACACACACACAAACCGCGGCTTTGGAGTGTCCTCTCGTGATATCAGAAGAATGCATAAGATGGAATGCAAAGCCTACCGTATATGACACAAGATAACACACCCCCTGGACCGATTTTCAAAGCTCGACTACTCCACGACGAAGAGGATGCATAAATGAAACAATACGTTTTCGAACAGCTCTCGACGAGACGGTTCCAACGCCGCCGTTTTCGGCGCTGTGACTCTTCCTGCTGTTGAGAAATCGAGCTTTGAAAATCGGCCAAGGGGGTGTGTTATCTTGTGTCATATACGGTAACTCATTTGAGCGCCTGCCGTTTTGACTCTTTTGACTTGACTGGTGTGAAATTTATCTTGATTTCAAAGGAGGCATGTGGAGGTAGACTGCATGATACGTATGTTAACCCTTATGTGACTACAGACCGATTCAGCTCCGTTCTCAGCTCCGATCACTTTGCGTGCCGAAAGATCGCCGTTGTGCCTCGGCTAAGAGCAAAAAACATACGTAGAGACCAGCAGGGAGACACAGGCAGCCCACCCCAAAAGCACGCTTATCAGCAATGCGCACAGGACTTACATAGTACAATACTATTCACCCATGCCTAATCTCTCTGACGTGGGGCAGATATCCTTTCCAGATCCAATCTACTGCCTACAGGCTGTCCAAGATTCAAACGCAAAATACCACCACTGGAGGGTACATACAGCACCCTGAACATGTGATCAACCCGGTGCCGCATCCGCGTGGGAGAGCAGAGAAAGCGCACACCGGAGCCGATGCTAACGTACTGCCTCGGTGCTTGATGTTGTTGTGATTGCGGTGCGTGTGGTTCCCAATATTGGGAGTGAAGGGTGGTTCGTCTGCTGTGTGCAAAATTTCGCTCAAAGGCAAGGGTTTTCGGGACTACAGCTCCGATCACAGCTCCGATCACAGCTCTCTATTTGTAGTACAGAATAGTTTAAATTATCACGATTTTTATGCATTTTGTGCGATAGTGGATGATGGTCTCGATTCTCTGATGAGCGGGCCGTTTTTTTGTCGATCTGGCGCTTCTGTGAGGCGGTTTCCCGTCAGCGTCTTCGCATCTAGCGCCGCTAGCATTTGCGCTTGCCGTATGCTCTGTCCAAGGATGAGGTGGAGAAGATGTGCCAACAGGTATTGCTTGCACAGGTACATCCTCTGTGCGGATGGTTGCTGTCGGAGACAGGCATGCACACCTGCTCAGAAACTACTACTGCTGCTGTACAGTCTATTTCTCTCCTCATAGCTGCTACTGCTGTACAGCAGTAGTACTACTGTGCTCCTGTTCGTCACCCTTACATATACCGCGTCCCCATCCCTGTGAGCCCCACACATGGACCCACTGCTGCACCATCCTTGCCGCCGTGATTTATGGGTGTACACGCATGCTTGGAAGATCTTTGACCGCAGAGAGCCAGTTGTGGGGAAAAAAAACAAAAAAATTAACGCGGTCACGTAAGGGTTAAGAGCAGCCTCTACTGCCACCCTGTGCGAGAATTAATTATTTCTGTTTTCTCGAAGTCTTCCGACTGGTTTCATGTGTCTTGTGTGCACTTTCTGGTGCTCTTGCACTTTTTTTTCAAAACCGGTCAACCTCAAAATAGGTTGTCGACGCGTTCTGTGGTCTAGTCAAATCGACTTCTACTACATTTATGTGCTACCATATGCTATGCTAGAAATGTTCGGATTCACAAGCACACAAAAGCTCTTGTGTGACCCCGGCTGATACGTCACATGTATACACCAAACGGCGTGTAGACTGGCGCCAGAATAGATGTGACGAACACACACGCATTGGTAAATATTCAAATTGGAAAATTCTCTATGCCGAGACGTCCCATCGAGCATCGGATCAGCCACACACCTGTTGAACATATTTACAGGCTGACAATTACAGAACAGCAGTCTGGACGCCGATGCATGTTTTATCCTGCATACGAGATCATCCACCACATAAGAGAGAAGCGCAGTCGATACTACTGCTGTACTGCAAAAGACAAACAGAGAAGCGTGCGATTTCAGTTAAGATGGTTTCTACGTAATTCACACCGATCACGCTACACATGATCAGACCGGACATACCTAATGATCGCGTGATGTGAACTCTCGAGGAGTGAACGTGGAGGTTGACGGGAAGTATAGTTGATGGCTACTGGAGAAATGAGACAACACTTTGATCCAATCAATACTGGACCGGGCTGAAGGTGGGGGTTGTGATTTTTCTCCGAAGCAGGACACAGCTTACGTTCACATATTATGTTGCCGGAAGGTGGTGGCGTTGTTTTGGGTTGTGCATCTCCATCGTTAGGGTGAAAAGTAAATTCCACCGAAGCACTGAGGAACGAGGGCCCAACTGCTAGGGTAGACCGAGATCTGGACCAAGGCAGTCGAGTTGGGAGGCATGACCCGCACTTTTTTAGTATGTGCAAGATGTTCAATAATTTTTGAAGGTCGTAGTATTGCGCAATTCCGACTATTTGCTATTGGAGTTCGTGATCTGGTAAGCATGCTAAACGAAAACCATGTTCGATTCAATCCACCGGAGGACGAAAACGATACGGAAACAATGTCTTTCTGGATAAATACGATCGTACTTGAGTTCCAGATGGTAGGAGAAAAACACTAAGTTCACAGGACTACTAGAGCAGCTGAAAGCAATGCACACGGTACAGCAACTACAACATCCCCAATGAGCTCAAGCATGCAGAAATAGGAGATGAAGGGTATTTGCCAAAAAATACCCGAAAGGAAGGGAATATTCTGAGTGGAAGTTGTCGTTACATACGCATGCAGAAGCTCAAAGAGCGTCCGAATGTTGGTCGAGTCTCTTCAACTGGCAATACGGACCATGTTTCGTCTCCAAGGGATGCGTCAGCGGTCAAATGCAAATACGTAAATATGCTGCGGTTTGGGTTGAGGTGTACACCGAGAACTCCTCTTTCTGAAGCAATAGCAGAGGACGGTTGATTTGGGCTCATGAAGAAAATGACAGAATGAAGGAGTTTCCAAGAGCACCGCACTAACATCACGTTTCCCATGTGGCAATCAGAGAAAGGGCACTTTGAATTGACTACTTGAGAGCACGAACGGTGCTCCATCTTGAACAACGTGCTTGACTTTTTGTTGCCATAGTCGCGACGGAAGAGCCTAATGAAACAAGTAAATCCATGTCACCAAAGCTTGCACGTTGATGGCTGTGCGTTCTTCTCTTCACCGTCCAGCCTCTGGGCACCCTTGGCTGTGCTCAAGGTTCTGAACTCCGACGAAAACTGTTTTTTGTCACCAGTCGTTTCTGTTTGTCACTTGTTCCTTCCCTGCCCTCTCACCCGCTAGGTAAATAGCGTGCTCTCCGCGTACGGCATACCTATGATCGCGGAAGATGGTGATTTCACCTCTTCATACGTCAAGGTGGAGGACAATGGGCAAGGGACAGTGTGTGCGTACGCTTATCCGGTCGGGTGGGTGGAAAAGAAGAAGGCGGATGGGTTTGCGACGGCTGCCAACTACCAAACAGGAGATAGCTTGAGTTTAAACATGGGTACACCAAGCAAAGCCAAGACGATAGGAGACGTGGGTGCGCTCGCCATCGCAGCAGAAGCAACGCCGTCTGAAGGAGCTGCAAAGGTAAATCGTGGTGGTGTCGCTGCCATTTTGCAGACATACCGAAAGTGCCGCCTGGAATGGAGTGGATGCACCTCCTACAACTTCGCACGACCCAAGCGTTGCCCGGGGCATTCTCTAACATGGTGCTGCGCCCAACTCAGCATTACACCTGGTACATGGTTTGATTTTTAACCTCAGGTCATGACCGACCCCGAACTCTTGCGAACCTCTATTGAATCAGGTCCTGCAGGAAAAAGCTGTGACTAAAGGAGGGGTCAACTACACATACTTGACCGTCAAGTACAACACTGTCACGAGATCAGGCTACGATGTGGAAAGAATATCATACATTGCGGCTACTGTGAAGCAGCGGAAGCTCTTCACTCTGGTCGCGACTGTCTCGAGCGAGCGACGCAACAAAATGGACTTGATTTTAAACGCCATTCAAGCGTCATTTCGAGTTGGAGATGTGGGCGTGGTTGAGACTTCTTCGACTGACTTAAACACAAAATAGCTTCCATGTGCTCTGATATCACGCGTAAGAATGAAAGCCTCGAAATATCTACACCTAGTAAAGTGGGTGTGTAGTAGTTCACGCACGGGTGTGTGACACTTTTGTTTATCCGAACTACTTGCGCAGGAGAAAATAGTAGCTGTCGGAGCGACGACCACAGTGAAGCAGTGGGGCTTGCCAATACGTCATGACTCTCGCGTAAAACCTCACCAGGGCGGGTGCCCTCGGTTTGTATATAATGGTCGGAAACGTTGAGTGATTTTTTTTCGGGCTCTAAACAACGTACAATCTGTTGTTGATAATAGCTCAGCCTCTGAGTGGATCACCTGACTCTTTTCCCCTCTTTTCTTGTTGCCGAGGTGGTTGTCTTTTTCTTTCCCATCCGCCTTTTGTTTTTTATGGACGTTCGTTTTACTCGAAGAACATTCATTTGTCGAGCGGTTCACTATTTACTTTTTTATATACCTACCTGTCTGTGTTGTGGCGGGCCGGCGTTCTTGTGATAGAACTGATTGATATGTTCGTGTTTTTGCCGTCGAAGAGTAGAGTTAGAGGAGATACGACATAGAAGTCAGAGCGCTTTGTTTACTTCTGTGGACGACGGCGACAACGAAACAACGTGCAAGATAATGTTACCTCTCGGGTACGTGGTAATTTTTCACGTAATCGTGTGCATGAGCCGGTCGCCCCGGTAGTCTAGTTGATATCCTCGAAAGCCTTCAAGTGGTCACGGTCAGGGGTTCGAATCCGGCGTAAGCGAGCTTTTCTTGCGACGTAAGATTTTCTCTCGCTTCCGTTCCTGGTCTGGGTGGAAAGCGCTCCATGGAGTAATTCGTGTGTACAGAGGGGAGAGAGTGCTGCACTCATCTCGCATTAAAAATCAAAGGCAAAGCACCGCAGGAGGGATGGGTAGGGGGCCTCAGGGAGATGAACCCTTTGTGTGACCACGGGTTAGGAGCAAACGGCGCAAATGTATGTGAGCACTGATTTGAAGTGAGAACAACAAAAAATCCCAGCGTGCGGGGAGTATTCTAATTGATTGCGGATCATCACCCAGCGTTTATCTTTCTCTTATACCAGAGAATATCCCCTTGAGGGTACAGCAAAGTCTACGGGTAAGTCTACGATGTTTGTTTCTAATGAACACACTAACACTTCAGTCTTGTCTGATATTCAAGAGAGAGCTTTGTGCGAGAACCTGCTCGTGAGTCTCTTTGGTAGACTACTACTGCTGCTGTATATTTGGATGATGGGCGGTCGATCTCGTCACTCAGCACTCTCGCTCACGCCAATAAATACAGCTTCACGTAACTCCCAGAAAATAGACCACCTCACAGAGTCTAAAGTGCACCACACGTACATATATTCGCAGAGATGAGGCTGTGTACAGTAGTATAGTAGCCGGACTCCACAAGACACAACTCAACCCTGCACAACAAAAAACTTCAAAATTTCAAATTTCGAAAAATGTGTTTTCCAGAATTTGGAGGGATTCCTCTCAGCCGGCCGTTTCATTTGTACGTGCATGCGATGACCCTTTTGCTCTCTCTCGTCGGTTTTCCCTTGCCGCGCGTCGGGGGTAATAACACTACAGCCATACCAGGATCGCTTTACGGGTCGCTTACACGCTGGCAGTACCGGTCTGGAAGCGCTTGAGAGCGAAGTCGGCGTCGATAGGTGCCATGGCGACAGAGCTTCAAACATGTGACTTCGGCGCTATCGAGGAGATGGATCCATCGATCGGTGAGTTGAAGCTCGGAGACACACACGTGACGCGTACCGCATGTTAGAGTTTTGCGACATGACAAAGCGACTGTAGTTTCCTGGAGCTATTCCAAAGGACCAGAGTATGCGAAGGTCGAACGGGAGAGTCGCTGGTGGTTTGGATCGGACAAAAGCAGCAGCACAGCAAGTACGGTACAGAACGTGCCCGCACTTGCATGAGAACCCAGGCAAATCAACCTCCAGGCTAAAACCGAGTATATAGCGACCATTCATAGCATGGCTCTAGGAACTAAGAAGCGGGCGCGTTCTGTATCGCACGAGGTACTACTCCACCACACGTACACTCACAGTAGAGTATCCCCGCTTTGCCCACACCGATAACCTGTAGTCTATAGGCGAACTTACTGCGAGGCCCGTGTTCTCGGAGAGTCTTCACACAACATTCATTCACAGGGGATCGTGTAGGACATGCAAGCGGCGTCTGTTGTGCTTCAAAGCCTGTGGTCATTGATCGAGCTACGGGTGCTGCCGATGTTTTGGAACGTTTACCGCCCACCGTCTGGGCTGGACCTCGTGTCGCAATGCGTGATACAAACGTGAAGAATTGTGCGTCAATGGAGTGCACTCTTGTCAACTTGCATCATCAAGTATGTCGTCGTCGTTACTCATCCTTCTCTCGCATTGTCATCTGTGTCGTTTAGCGGACGGGTTTCGGGTCATCTACGACCGAGAAGTCCCGTTTGAGCTGCGGGTTCAGGAATCAGCCGACGGACCGCAGCAAGTTGGTACTCTAGAGGCGATCAAGGTTAAAGTTCTTATGCTGGTGAGCAGCATGAAGTCAACCGATGCAAGTACGCATGACCTTCATGACAGATTCTCGATGCAGTTTTTCCCAAACTGTGCTACATGCATGTAGCTGTGTGGGACGCGCATAAACCTTAACTGTGAAGAAAGTCACAGAAAGAGGTGTTCGGCTTCGAACCCAAGGGTTGTCTTCTAATGTAGACTACAATAATCGCTGCGTTAATCGAACCCCTGGGAAAGAATGCCCTATGCGGAGGTGTACCGATTCTGGTAAAAGTCAATATACCCTGCGAATCGGGTCCTCCTTAACACTCTCCACCCACAGAATTTACCCTCAACTGGGAACCTCTTGTGGCCAGGACGGGTAATTCGATGGAAGTGTCACAAGGTTCTTTATAGGATCGATTCCAAGAGGTGTTCTCAGGACTGACACACGTTGTGTCCATGGGAAAATGTCCAAGTCAGGAGAAAAAAACGTGCACCCAAGGAGATTCGAACCAGTATCCAGCTGACGCCATATGCGAAGGTGTACCGATTCTGGTAAAAGTCAATCGACTAGTAGGTTGGGCCAAGGGTCTGAGCAGTTGGCGAACCCATATTTATTGTACGAGCGCCACTGACGATGCCATCCGTATCCACCCGAACCCCTGTTCCGTTGACCCCTCAGGGAGATGATGCCGCCCCTCAATCTGTTCGGGTTGAATTGTCCAGTGAGGCTGACCTCTTCTTTCATTACACACACAGCATCGACGATGCTTCGTTTCAGGTAGGCAATGTGTTGGGCCGCTAACCCAGGCATGCCTCCTTCGCCAGTGATGTCCACATGCATGCATATGGTTCACCAACACGTGTCATATCAAACGGTATCCTAAAGTCGGTACGTGTGCGTTCATGTAGCATGAGCACCACCAACGCCCTCCCTCAGTGTCTGAAAAACCAAGCACCGCGCATAAATTCCCTGGAACCTAACATGCTGAATTATGTACAAGCAAGCACGTGGTGACTCGACAAACAACCGCACCACCAGTAGTATTATTATAGTAGCCCACGCCTCGGCCGTCCGTGGTGCAAGCATCGAGTTAAAACAATGCCACCGTGAAGGGCATGCCAACCGAGAACCATGGGAGCGATCGGACTGTTGCGTTTAGTTTATTCAATAATATGTGACATATCTAGACTATCTCTGTATTCTAATGCAACACAGGTAATGCAAGAGGAGCAAAAACTGATGGTGGAGTTCCAGGACTACCCGAACGTTCTTATCCGGATGTTGAACAACTGCATCAAGGAGCCCCACTCGCACCTCGTCGTTTTCGTCATGCAGCACGACGTCAACGCTCGCCTGGATTTCATACAGGTGGTTGATGCGGGGTCGACAAGAAGAATTTACTCGTAAAAACAACCGTGAGCGCATGTGCTCATTAAGGGACTTGTTTCACCCGCACGCCTAATGGACGCCTACCTCGCGATAAACTACAACGGGTTTGTTCATAGACCCATTTAGAAGAACACATTTCGACCACCGTTCGACCGCTGAAACGATGCACATGCAATACACAGTACATCGTTTACCGGCGAGAGCTGCCATATCGTAACCTGAAGCATGCCTTGCCAACACGCATGCGTCTTCCTTCATCACAGAACATGGAGTACAAATTTGTGGAGCTGATGTCCCTCCAATACACGAGGTCTGCGGAAGACATCGTTCAACATCAAATCACCTACAGATACAACGCGATGAAAGTGAGTCAAGCATTTTTGCGGAGACGATACCCTGGCCACGCGTGGCGACCAACTGGAAAAGGAGCAACCTCGTGTCATGTTTGCTACACAACACCAGAGTTAGCGGTGGTGCTACACCCTACAAGCTGAATGTCAGCAATACCTGGTGATTCCCTTTCAATGTGCACTATGTAATCAACGGGAACCGGGTGCGTCCACTGCCCCTTACATTGCGTAACGATCGCCTCGAGGCGGCCCTACTTAAGTCCCGCAACTTGCTGCTGTTGATATCTGCGTCGAATCGAGAGACTCAATGGACGCATTCCGCGTCCCCTGTTGCCCCAACCAACCAACCGCCCCCTCCGCCCCACCCCAATCTGTTCACAAGAGCTGCGCTACCTACAGTATTGCGTCCCTGGTGTTTAATACTCAACATGTTCCTTCGCGCTTGCCTCTGTTTCTCTGTGTCTGGTCCTCTTTTCCGTGTTCTACGTTCTCAGTCAAGGCTTGCCTTGATGCAGGCACGCCTCCAGGAGGTGAACAACCTTGTCAAGTTGAAGAACCCGTCCCTCCTTCTACAGTTGCAGTCTCGGTGACGGTACAAGCAGTTTTGCGCGGCTACAGCATGTCGGGCCTTTTGGAGGACAAGATAGATCTACGTACGCGCCGACCAGCGCGTTGGTTTCGGCACCCCTTTTCGAAGGCACTTGTTTTAGGCTGGGTAAAGAGATCAGAAAGAGCGATCAACAAAATCAGCGACCACGTTTACGGTAGGGAGCAGTTTCCGTTGTCGCGGCTACTCCGACTGCTGCCCTTGTATTGACAGATGAACCACGCGACACCTACAGTAGGACAATCGGGTAGCCTTCGTGTATGTAGAGTGCCTGAGACCCGGTTCCACCTCGTAGGTTCCGCGGGACTTGGTATTGCAGTGCAGTGGACTTTCGCGAACTATCTGCGAGGTATCAGGGGAGGGGTCTCTCGCCAAACCGCTGTTACGGTGAAAGAAACACGCTTCGTGGAAGTCTTTTCAACCGAATGGGTGCGATCAACGGCTGCCAGTTGTGTCCAAACCTCAAGCACTGCTGTAAAGAAAGCGAATCTTGGAAACCTCCGCAACAGGTAAGTAGGTGGGTGCGGTTTTCTCCGCAGAGTCAGATTTCGGCGCATGGACCACGCCAGACATAAAACAACTACCCTTTCACGACGACTTCTAGCTAACGAACGCAGTGGAGTGGTGCAGAAGAGAGAAGAGCCCAGCAAAAATGATAAACAAACGGTGGCGAAGTTCAAATGCAACCAACAAGACGCCGAACCTGTCCAAAACTAAAGCGGTGTCTCAGCCACCGTCGCCTCAACGGTCTGAATGTACGTCGCCTCTTATAGCGATCGGGAAAAGATAAAGATGCAACATGACGCAATATACCAACCGCGTGGGGACGAGCGAGCGGTTCAAGTCCTGTCCCGCTGCCCAACTTTACTACTACTATACTTCACCCAGGAAAACCCAATCACACCAACAAATTGCAAGGCGCCCGTCTATGAAAACACATCGTACACAACTGGGGAACATCTTGAGCTCACAACACGGTCGTCGTCATTGTAACCCAGCAAAAACGCAACGGCAACTGGTAAAGCTACGGTTATCTACAGCAAAACTACGACCCGGGGCAATCTATCCTGTGTGGATTTCCTCGATTCACACAAAACCTGAACACTGAACGCAAAAACAAGATATACAGCGATCGAGAACCTGCTCGTGGGTGAACAAGTATACAACCCAAGAGGGATTACATGGCACGAGCACGACAAGGACCGTCGAGACGCTACAGACACACTTTTGCGCTTCGATCGAATCAAATCGTCATGTTGATCACGTTACTAGGAGTGAGTCGTCGCCTTCGATAGAAGAGCACGTAGGCCGCGTCAGAGACGATCTTGTCTGGGGCCATCTCCTGCGGGGTAGGTGAACATCAACACGAGAGCAACACAAGGGAAACACCAGATATCGGACAGTGGAAGATGACAGCACCGGCGGTGTTAGTGTTGATATGTTTGGCGTTGTTCTCTCGTGGCAACACTTCGAGGGTTGGCGTTTCGTAGAGTAACGACACGGGGATTCCAATCACGCCCGTCAGCGGTGATGGGACACGATCCTGCCGCTGGTGTGACAACAGGAGGATCCAACGCAGCAGCACAGAAAACTGAAGTGCTTTGAAGTATATATTCTAGTACCAAATGACAAAGAGGCGGGTGTATCTGTTCCATGCGAGAGGCAAGAAAGCTTGCCTTCACATATCTTGTTGGTCGTATCAAATGTGCCGAGCAAAACATGTGAACAAAAGCAGCGGCATGGTAAGTAAGCACTTACCTCCACAAACTCGTCGTCGAAGTTGAGCCATGGGTGCTCCAGGCCCCAACCAGTAACTTCCTCCACCCCGTCCTTACTGCAAGGTGAAGAGCGGCAATAGGCCGTGTAGTGCCCCCCAGTCATGCCTCCCATATGGTTCACCACGCCGAAGAGGTCATACACCATGCCTGCCTGCCCTCCGCCCGCCTGGATATGTATATAGCCGAAAGCCGAACAGAAGGACCGAGTGGGAGGCAACATCGTGTAAGAGACAATTCGGTATTGCCAATGGCTACATGATGAGCAGCCAAATTGAGTACTGCCATGCCCTCCGAAGAAGTGCATACAGTATAAAGAAGATACAACAAGACCACATTTCAATATTGTTTTGAAGCGGTTCCCTGAATTTCGTGACACAGCCTTTGCCGCAGTAGCTTCGAACCCATATGTTATTCTTCAGCAAACGCGATCACCTGACACAGGAACTCGTTGAAATCACGCCATCCGCTCCACAAGAACTGCCCGGAATACTTGAAATGGAAAACTTAAAAGTACAGCAGCGCAGCAACAGGTAGGTGAGCCCTTTCTTGCTACCATACGAGATAGACATCTCTTTCGCTGTGATCCTGTTCGGCTAACCAAGGACGGGTGGGTGTGATACACTTGCCTGATTCCGATGAGCGGAGTTGGATGACACGAAGCCCGACATGTCGAGACCGGAATGCGGGAACAGCACCAGCGTCCTGATCTTCTCTCGCCACCGGGCGGAGCAGTGGAAGCGCTTCATGTGGATAACCTAACCAAGTGTGTAATGTAAGAGGACGGACCCACAGTTAAGAAATACTTGGCTAAGAAGCAGAGGCTCAAAATTATCACGAAAAAAAAAAAAAAAAAAAGGGGTTCACAAAGACAGCTCAGCGGTGGATCCTAGACTACACTGGTACTCCTAATATAACAAAACCTGTGCTCGACAGCATTGGCGACGAAAAAAGAAACTGAGGGTCGATCCGATGTTGACGTTTTTTATCTCCGGGCCCGCTCTGTATGCCCAAACGAGCCACGTGACAGACCGTCGTTCGCGGTGCATCAACACCCAATTTTCACCATTCACACCGCCAGAGAGCTTCTCCAAAAACCAAGACCATAAACGGCAAGACAAGTGTTCACGGGTCACAAGGAACCCCGCCTGAGTAATATTGTACGGAGGTTGTTTATGCACGCTTCTGAAACATTTCGGTGCCGTCAGGGACAAACGGAGCACTTGGACACGAAACAAAGCATGACACGATCCCACCCACTTGATGGTATCACTAAGGTTTCCATGCTTCATCGTTCCAAGGGTCTGCCGTCGATGTGAAGATGGCAGGTACAGCTCTGCGGTTACCCTTGCGCATGTTGCCAAGCTCAGAATACTTCCCACTACTGTAACTCCATGGCACCTACGCTCCCAAACCGCCCGAACAGACCCCTGAACGCGAAAGAAGCCACCTTCGCGTCAGCCTTATACTGTCGTCCTGCATCGAGTCTCACCAGCACGTCAGGCATCTTCCAAAGGTCAATCTTCATGACCCCTCTCCTGTGCGCTTGGCAGCTGGAACAGTACCACGAGTCCTCCTCCTCGAATGTCTCCTCTCTCGTGTAGGCATCCAGACACTGCTCCAACGTCAGCCCGGAAAGGACAGACTATCCACAGTAGATGCCGCCAAAGGAAGCACAAAGCGGCAGAGCCGCCACAGACGCAGAATGGGCGCGTCAAATTCGATCTATCAAGAGCTCCAACACTAGGCTACGTGTGCATCCTGCGACGGCAAGAAGCACTGGTGTTGGTACATTCTTACTGGTTCAACATGCAAAAAAAGAACGTTTTTTTTTTATCTCTGTCGTTGTGACAATTGCCTGAACGTCTAGACTATCGTTCCAACCAACGGGCAATCGGTACGTGAATCCCAGGTACAACACCGCCACCATTCGTGAATTGATTCTACTGCCCTTCTTCATTCAAAATTCAAAAACAACCGCTTCAGTGACAGCATCTTCTTGACAAAACAACGTGCAACAACATTTCTTACAATATCCTGTTGCTATACAAAAAAACAGAAGGAAGGCAGCTTCGTCGTCGGCGCTGGTTGAAAAATATCACCTGCGCGTTGTTCTCCAACTCGAGGTATGAAGGGTGTTCGAAGGTGGCGGCGAGCACATCAAGGTAGTCCCTCCCGGGATCTTTCCACTCTAGCGCCAGGATGAGCTGAGTGTGAAATGACGAGCATGGCGAGAGCACACCACAAATAAAGACACTCGGTCAACACAAAACGGCCCGAAAAAAGGGGACAACGAGGTGTGGTGCCCAACAAGACCTGGTCATTCTTGTGTGTAAAAAAACGGTTGATGCAATCCTGTAAGAGTGATTGATTGAAATACACGATAAAATCACCGCACCATGATGTGCAATTCTTCGAATGGTCTCCTGGTGTGTCAGAGCTGACCGGACTCGACACCATCGGAATCAATGCAGCTAGCTGTGGTCATCATCAAAACGACGCCATGCACTCCACAAACACCCAAAGGTTTGCCTGAGCTACTCTCACAGGAACATGAGCAAAACTCCGAACTTCGGCGAAAATACAAAGGTCTAGCCCTCTCTAGGCACTACGAGAGCAAACCGAAATGTCCACGGCAGGATGCGTCGGTACAACAAACAAAGCTGCACACACCTTCGTACACAGCAAGGACGATGCCGCCCGCCACCTGTCGGGGACAAGCTCCACCGAACAGACCTCCGTGAGGGGGTTTTGCTTCAGCACGAACTTGACCGTGAAGGGAAGAAGTTGCGCCAGCTTTTCGTCCGTGATGTCACGCTCCAACCCCGCGGCCGCACGCGCTACCCAGGCAGCCGTAACGTCCGGCCGTTGAGTTCTTGGTCGCCAGTGTGCGAACGTCCCAACAGACAAAGCAGGCGGTTCACGAAATGTATTGCGTCGGTTGCAGCTATGCAGGTATGCAGGTATGCATGCATGCGTATCACTTCGAGGTCACTTTTTGAGTAGCGAGAAATCGTGAGAGACGTGGCCGAAGACAAGCCAAAACGAATCGACTTGGAGGTGACCTTGGTAGTGCAGAGCCTACGATGTACATGGTACATGGTACTTTACCTCGAGCCTGAGGAAGCCCTAGCGGTCCTGTCCTTGCCCCCTGCCTTGAAGCTCCTGCCGCCGGAAGACCCCGCGACAAACCTCGACGCTTGCTGCACCACGAGACGCCAGAGGTATCGGGTGGATCGTGCCGGAGGGCATCTAACAAGAAAGGGCAACCCGAACAAATCCTTCACGGAAGTGCAACACGCAAGAACGAGAGATAGAGGGGGAGAGAGAGGGAGAGAGAGGGAGAGAGAGGGATAGACCATTGAAGACAACAGATTAGTGACATGGGACAAGAGGCACAAATAGGGAGAGGTGTTCACGGCATGATGAACAACATGCCATGTGTGGTATTTCTTGTTGTGATACCCGACAAGCTCACCCCGTGGACAGGCCGCTTCAATACGTGTCAACCAATACCCTACGCATGAGCTGCTAGGCTGGAGAGCAGCTCCCCCAGCAGGCACTAAACCACTCGTAGTACAAGTACATGGCCTGTAGTGAGCATGAAAGGATCCTCCCGGAATAAGCCAAAATACCCAGAGCCAGTAAAGAAAATCAGTAGTTCAGTATATTCTTAAGACCATACAACACTTGTTCTGCGTTTCAACCTTCCGCACGAACAACCAGCCGACCTGCCAGCAGCAGTCGCCAAAGCCACGTGCACGCAGCACGCGACAAAAAGAATAAAAAATGCCGCGCGTGTCAAACTTTCGACAGAGATGCAGCCAGAGAGACCACACAAGCTGCTACCGTCCGTAGGCAAGCTCCACCTCCTGATGCAGAATCGAATGCTGTTCCGCAGGGGTCACCGGCAGCGCGACAATACACGGCGACCACGTTGTAACTTGTTAAACCTCGACAAGATGTCCTCCGATGAGCAGGTTAACGATATTTAACAGGCTACCGTAGGCTAACCTTTGCCGTGACAAATCCAGGCGGCGGCTCCTTGGTGTCTCGTCTGTCCGCGTCTCCCTCCGACCGCATGCCGGGGCCGTCCCTGCGAGACGACGTGTCCGCGTACGTGTGTCAAAATAGATGAAGATGATGATGATGATGATGATGATGACTGCAGAGTAGGTGGCGACGAAGCGTACTTTCCGCAACAACCTACAACCCAAGAAAACGACCGACAGCAACCCAAGGAGCCCTCATGACCTGTGAAACCGCTTGCTTCAGCATTGCTAACCCGTGACGAGACAAGGGACATCGATTTGCTTCCTGCCCGGAGAATGCCGAGATACGATGTGGTTCAACAACGCCTTCTACGCGGGCTCCGAAATATAAATTGCCGAGAGCAAAATCGGGGTGCGCACCCGAAAAGAGCATGCCACACAGTCGGAAAAAAAAAACTAATTTTGAAAGAGGGCTCACAACCCTTGGCAATGTCCATCGTGACGGCAACCTTGGTCCCGCAATCAAACCAAGGCCAGGAACAAATCACGACAGACCATCGTCGCGAGTTACAGCAGTAGGGGGTTAACATATCTTTCGTTGGACATATCTATCTATCTTCGCCTCCTACCTAGTGGAGGCAGGCTGCGGGTGTGCGCCCGAGGTCGGCACTCTGATGGTCTTCCGGTGTACCACAGGAATGTCGTTTGTACGCTCCTGACGACGAGTCTGTTGCACGTCGTAGTAATTGTTTGCCAAAACAAGAAACGAGGAGGAGCATCAAGATCAAAGGGATCATCAAAAGATGATGCTCGGAGATGGACATGCTACCCGTGCAAGCTATAGCTTGTGACAAGCACGGACGATGGTGCGTGCCTGAACGCCTGGCTGTGCATTACAAATATTTCGCTTATGCTGGTTTGGGGACCGTCAGTCGCATGACAAACAACAGGAGCAGTGGCATCCACTCCACTCCTAGCAGCCAAGCCAAATGTTTTTGTGTGCATACGTCTAAATTTCTGAGAGTAGTGTAACCGCACATCCATCAAGCACCGATCCCACTGATCGGGAGGAAGAACGAACACGACGGGCACGACAGCTTGCGCAACAACGCGTCCATTCGAAAACAAGCAGCGCTTCTTCGCACCTTGGTGAAGAGCGGCTGTAGCTTCTTCTCCCTCCACTCCTGCTCGCCGTAGCTCTCATCCCATCTGGAGGTGAAGGCGTCGAAGTGCACCCTCACCAAGTACTCCGTCTTTCGCTTCTGATCCTCGCCCTTGCCTGAAAGGGAGGCCTTGGACGGCTTGTCTCCGCCTCTATCCAATGCCTTCGCCCGCGGGTTAATCTTCATGCGGTAGAAAGTGCAGGACCGTTGCGTGAAAAACACACCAGGATAGATAACAGCGGTCATATCGTCGTGTGGTGGTGGTGATGACCTAGCTGTCTATCACTTTTGCAGCGCCGTCTGGAGTCGGAAGGGGGACGGACACCAGCCGTCTGGAAAAACAAGGACAACTTACATCACAACCAGCTATCTTCGACGGCAAGTGCTACCACCATACGCTACACCACCGCGCTATTCGGTCGGGGGGGGGGGGGGGGCTGCCTAGAAATATTGCCCCCATTCCAGAGACGAGGACTTCGACAGATGTTCGTCGAGTAAACATAGACCTTTTGGCTTGGACATAGATGGCTGGCTTTGGCTCCTTACAAAAACCTCAAGTAGTAGCCTAGGCCTGCAATTCAGCACCGTTGTGTACCACACCAACATGTGCAGCCTGCATTGCCTCACCTCCACAACCGTTGCAGCATACCAGCCCCCCTGCCCATCGAGCGCGTCTAGTCTCCAGCCAATCTCTAGGTCTCTCAGTCTAGTCGGGAAGGAGGACATGCACCTCTCATCCGGCGTGCGGTTATCTGGCGTGGACGTCGGAGGCCTGTCGAAACAAAAATACGCCAAAAAAAATGATGTAATCGAAAGAGCGTGAAAGCGAGGTGGTGTTGAGCATGCGCCCCCCGGCAGACCATGACCATGATTAATCACACCGCATCCTGGGAAAATGCTGCCAGTGATGGCAAGCGGTGTTTGATTCCGTACTACACAACCAAACGAGGCAGCGGTGCCGCGACAAGTCTTTCTGGGTGCCCTTCTCGCTCGTCGTGCAAAGAGTGGTGCCACACGGATCCCTAGGGAGAAGCAAAAAATGTCGAACAATCATTAGAAAACAAACCGCCAAAAGAAACCAAGTGTTGTACTTTCTCGAAGTACCAATACAGGACTCACAGTGATAGACCAGGGCACTGTGCGGTGACACACGACGGCGGGGTCAGCCTAAATATTCCGCAACGTCGACGTGATGTGACGTGACGCTAGACGCCATATCCCGTCTCACCTGTCGTTGTCCAAGTCCGTCTCCTCTGCCTCCTCGTCCTCGCTCCCATCCGAGCGCGCCTCGGCAGCAGCAGTCTCAGGTACCCCCAACCCCTCCTTCAGCGTTTCCTTCAGTGGCTCTGGCGAAACCCCCTGACCTTCTTCTGCGGATTCTGCGGCACCCCCTTCCCCCTTGGCGGCAGTGGTGCTGCCACCATTCTCAACTGGCACTACCACGTTTGGGGCTGGCGTCCCGCTAGTCGTGTTGCTTGGCTCTGTCGGCTCCGCCTCTGTTCCCACGGGCAACTCCTCCTCTGATAGTGCTGCAGCACCTGCCGCTGTAGCACCTGCTGCTGTTGCTGCTTCTGGTTTTGTTGGTCCTGAACTCGTGGGAGTTGGCACTGGAGAAACCGTGGCTTGTCTTGACGCGGAGGTGCTCGGTTTGGCACGTCTGTTGAGGTTGATTTCGCCCTGCTGATGACGAGGTTTTATGCGGCAAGGCAAGACGGAAAAATTACAGGACAACCCGAGCGGTAGTTGGCCAGGTGTATTAATCCCCACAATAACTACGGGTTGCAATAATACCTGCTAGACATGAGTGCTGTTGTCTCCCCATTGGCAACACCCGCAAAATCATCCAAAGTATGTGGTTGTACGCCAAGAACTGGACCATCGTCTTGACTCACCATCTCTAGAGCAACAACCCACGTGTCGTCTCGCAGCTCTGTCAGCAGCTCCTTGTCCTGCATAACCTTGATTCTGTCATGGCATCCAAATCGCGGCATGCATCGCACAATTACACGCGGCCGTATGAGTTGGAGTGGGCGATAAACAAGGTCGATATCGACCGTCATGTATATCATCCTACTTGTACCTTGCACACTAGCTCAGAGAAAGGAAGCTTGGGGTACCCCGCGACCAGTAATGTCGACTAACCACGCCCATGCACCCAGAGGAAACCATTTACCAGCAAGCGAATCAACAATATTCGTTCATCACCGTGCTGCAAGACACGTTTCTCACGCCGTACGAAAGCTGAAGCTTTCCACTCACTGGTTTTGCTGCAGGATGGCCACCACAATCGATACCGTCGGTATTCCACACAGATCCGACAGCGCCCGCTTAAGGTCGCTCAGCTGCGACGGAAGCAGGATGCGCAACCAAAAGGTCAAACACCAGGGGTGGGGAACAGCGGATGGGCATCGTGTCGACCAGAGCAGTATGCATTTTTTGTTACAAGAGTCACCCGAGCTCTCCAAGGAGGTGACACAGCAGAGCGGGTTAAAAGCATACAAGCGCACCACATGGCGTACTCGTCGCTGCTCATGGTAAAAGCTACAGAAGGTCAAAGATGTCCATGATCTATTATTCCCTTCACGCCCGCAGGAACTCCTCTCTAGCCAGCTACGCGAAAGTTGATGCCGTGAGAAGAAAACAAGGGCATTGGTGAAGCTCACCTCCCCCAGTCGCGGCAGCATCATCCCGTACTGCACCGGCACCAGCTGTCTTGGGTTGCTAAACTGGGCCCCTCCCCCATCTGCGGTGCGACGGAGCACAATTAGCAGCTCGCGGTAAGAATGGATGTGGTAGAGTCGACAGAGATACACTCAGAACAAAACGGAATTCCTAACGCAGGTGCAGGAGGGCAGTGAGGCGGTGTGGTAGATCCGCTGCTAGAGCGAGTGAGCGTTAATCAAGTCGGCACAAGCCCAATCATCGTCGGCTCTACGATACCACCTTCCTTGCGTGGGGCTTTCGGCAAGCTAAACACACGATATCACGTGCGGGTCACACTTGTGATGGGTGATCACACTTGTCATGGGTGACCGGGGAAGGGGAGGCAAGGCCTCAACACCAGCGGCCACCAGCTCAAATGCTTTATTTTTCCATGCTGAACTCGGGGAAAAAACGCAGTATGAGCCGACAACCAAAGTCTGCTTTCCCACGTGCCGGCTAGTACCGACATCTTACCGCTAGCCATCGCACCGTCTTCTCCGTTGAGCCCGCTAGAGCGCACGAGGTATCTTGTTCGGATCCTTGGGAGCATCACCACCGCAACCATCTTCTCGTTGCGGACAGGAATAGGTACCGACAGGTACATGAAGGGGTCGAAAGTGACCGACTGTGCAGACCACGCAAAGGCCAGACAAAACCAGGCAGCACAAATTGACGGAGGTCAGTCTAGCGGACTTCGTTTGTCATGGGTAACCACGCCCATCTTGCACTACAAGCGAAAAGAAAGCAGTAGGCTAGGGTGCATCTCGGTATTGCGTGCAAAAAGCGCTGGAGCGGTGCACGCTGTGTTGAGCCCCCCTTGCCCTGGCGACTTACTGCCGCCAAAGACGTCAAAATATTCAGGGAGACGTGGCAAATACGTAGCTTCATTTTCCTTCATGAAGTGCGGTGCGGTGAACCATACCGTGAACCACACCGTACCGCACCTTCTTGTTGCACACGGTGCACCGACACTCCATCTTGAGCTGCCCCTGGAACAGGTCAACGATGACACTCCTGTTCCTCTGCACGTGCCTGTCCCACGCCTCGTCGGCTAGGTCCTGGTCTGATCGACCTGACTCCGCGTCGTCGTCGTCGTCGGGGGCGGCTACGTAAGGCTTGTCGATCACCCTGTTCACGTCCTCGTGGAGGGCATCCAGCATCTCCGCCAGAAACTCCTGTTGAGTGTTGAGTGTTGAGTGTTGAGTTTTAGTGTGTGTAGTGTCGCACGGGAAACGAAACATGTGTCGTTGCAGCGCAGTCTCTCTTCATGCCACCTGGCTTTGTATGACCTAGAGACAATAACCACACGGAGTTTCTTTGCAAAAATGCAAAAACACAAAACCCGCAATATTGCTTCAAAGTTGACGAACGGAGTCTCGCGCACCTTCATGACATGTCTTCCCCAAAAACGAAAAACAAATGACAAGAAACAAAAAAAACAACATATCCCAACCCTGGGACTAAGCCGAGCTTCGAACTCACGACTCGACGCCAAAAGCTTGGGCATCCAAGAACACGAAAACATGCACGAGGTTTCAGAATACGAAAACATGCACGAGCGTTCATAGCAACACGGTACCTGAGAATCCTGCTGCTCGTTGCCGGCGAACTGCGGCTTGTACTTGATGAGACCTCTCTTGAACTTGCTGGGGAAGATGCACAGGTACTCTTGAGACCAAAGGGACTTCAACAGCGAAGCGAAGTCTTCCACGAGCTTGCCCTGGATGCACGACGGTGCCCAAACCGACCAAACGGATTATCAATTGTAGTGTACCGCGTGCGTGTTGGCGGGTTGGGCACCATGGCATGCGAGCAAAGGGGTGGGTGGGGAAGCCAAAAACGAAGCTATTGTTACTAATAGATCGCCACCGTGGGTCGTTCAAACATATCTCGCAGGCAACCAAACAAGACCGAACGCAAGGGGTCTGGGTCCTGTACAAGTATCTGCTTGCGGAGGCAGCATGATCGAGCGTCATCGCCACCCAGGTAGAAAAGGCCAGCAAATAAAAGCAGACAAGGTAGATCTGTACCAGCGCCGCTGACGACGGGTGCCAGAGGAGCATACAATATGACTGAAACAATGTGAAAAAAGAAGAAAATAGTAACCCCAAGGCCGTACCAGCAACGAGCACGGCACGATGCAGAGGTCGGCCAGCACGAGAATGAAGCCGCAATTTTCGTGCAATTAGAGGTGCCACACACAACGGTGTGGTGACACAACACACATCGGGTAGGGTAGCTTCTTTCTCGTCCACACCGCGGTTCTGCACAACGGACAGCAGTACTGTAGTGGAAATTACCTGAGTTCCCAGAGGGTTGTACTTGTTCACTTCCGCCGCCCACATGTCCGACAGCAGGTACGCCCGCACCAGCGGCGTGTGCGACAAGCACTGCACGGCAGAGTTCAAGTAGCACGTGTTGCCCACGTTCACCAACCCGCAAGCGCCCGGTACCGGTGGCTTTCCTGGCGTGTTGCTCCTTCTGTTCAACGCACCCCCTCCGTAGTTGGAAATCCCATCCGCGGTGCTGCCCGTCCCGTTTGTTCGTGGCATGCTCTGAGAGCGGGCGCCCCAGCCGTTTCCGTTTGAGGCATCGCCGGGGAAGCGCCCCACCGGTGGCGGGAATGTGTTTCCTCCAGGCTTGGAGGAGCTTGGAGCAGGTGCTCCGACTCCGCCCCTGATAGCCGTCGCATCCGGCGATGCCTCCTGCCAAACAAAAGGGGAACACGATTGGAAAGGTATCAGATTCACATCACGTCGGGCCGGCATGGGATGGACTGGCGTCCAACAACCAAAAGAAGTTACGGGCATTTTTTGACGGCGTTCATCAACCGCCCACAATCTCGACCGCGTCTGCTTTACACACGTCATCAGTGTAGCAGCCCAGGTCAATACGGCCGCGAACGACGCATGCCCACTTCGATGGTGATCAAGAGGTCCAGAGTCATAAGTGTATTGTAGCAGTACTGCTGTATGCATACCTCTTCCGCCTCCGTGTCGCCATTGCCCTCGTTGGTTGGTCTGAGTGCTGGTGGTGCGGGCACAGCGGGAGCAGTGTGGCTGAACTCCGGCGCTAGCTTCAAGCTCTTGCTGTCGTACCTGACGTGGCCAAGGGCAGACGGAGAGCGAACGAGAGAGAGAAAGAGAGAGAGAGAGAGAGAGAGAGAGAGAGAGAGAGAGAGAGAGAGGTCAGCGTCAACGCAAGGCGGAGTTTTGAACGGCATGAGCACGAGATCGTGGATCAGGGGGGCAAGCAACTCCTTTCCTGCGCGATCTCCAGGTGCACGGCTCTTTCCGTCTCGAATAAACAGTTTGACAAACCGCAACGCACAACCACAGCCCACGGCCGTAAACCAAAGATCGAACGCAAAAGAGACAAGAGAGTCTTGGACAACTCCCGTCGGAGATACTATTCATTGCCCGCTGGTGCCGGGAGATCTGACTTTCCGCATGAAGCCGAAAAAAATTCTAGCTCACCACTCATCCCACTGTGGCGCAAACCGATCGAAGTGCACCCTGACTCGCAGCCTCCTTCGAGAGGGGCCTCCTTGCCTCGGTCCTTCCTTCCCACCCACCCCACCATCTCTCTCTTTGCCGGAACTCCGGCGTTGGCGTTGGCTCTGAGAAGACCCAGACCTTCCTGCGCCCGCTTTCGCAGCCGATCTGCCCTCGTTTCTATCTGAGGCATCGCCAGGCTCGAGATGCTCGACCTCTTGGTTCGCGCCCTCCCGAACGGGCTCTTCCGTTGGCGGGTCAAGCTCAAGGCGTTGGCGTCGGTTCTGTCGAGAATAGACAAGGAAGGAGCAGTAGTATACATGACAGGCGAGAGAGAATATGTGGGCAAAGAGCGACAGCTTCAGGGCACCCTCTGGCTGCATTGTTCCGAAGGGTTGCGAGGGGAACAGTAAGGAATACACGGTAATAGCAGCAATGATTGGTGGTGCGTGGAAGCAGACGACCTTCCGAGAGCGCACAGCTTATAGCTGGTCAGCTCAATGTTCCTTCGGCGGCGGAGACTGGCAATGTTAAGTTGAAGTACATCCAGTGACAACAACCACGCGGTACCACGACCAAAAGCAGGGTCGCACCACAAGGCATAAAGAGGTGGCGTGTTGTTTCCGAGTGTTGCAGTGAACCGCGACGTCGACTGTGTCTGTGTTGTAAGGTTTGATAGGCCTTCCTTGGTCACACGGCGGTAGCACTCACGCTCTTCTTCCTCCCCACCGGCCCTTCGGAGTCCACGATCTTGGAGCTGCTTTTCGACCCGACCTCCACCACCTGAGAAAGAGACAACGATCACGGGTGCTTGGAACTCTCAGGACCGTAAGAGTGACGACCAGGGGCTGCTCTGAAATCGGGCAACAGCCAGCATGACGTACACCTTGCTCTATTGTGCTTTTTCGAAGCCCTTTCGCGTGGCGCGATTCGATCACGGCGAACCCGATGCACCCAAGCAAGAGGGGTCGGCAAAACGCCTCTTCCAACAATTGCAATGTCAAAGTCACTCTAGCCCACCTGTCCTCGGAACCAGCGGCCCTGGTAGTCCATGGCATCCACTCGGTCGTTTTCGCGGAACTGTCTGAAGCCCGGGCTCTCTATGTACTTCCGTCGTTGCCACTTTCCGTCCGGGTTTTTGTTCTCAACCATCACCTTCTCGCCGCCGATAAGGCCTAGTGCCGACAGCGTCATACCCTGTGCTCGCGCAACGACAAGGAGGGCGGCCACGTTACCAAAACGCACGGGGAGCGCAGCACGCGATCCTCCGACACTTCAACGTCCAAACAAACGTAGGAGCTACACCGTATCATCCCGCGGATGCCTGCCGCGACCTGGTACTCATTGCCTCCGCACACCAGTGGAAATAAACAGGATGTTCGTTACGCCAAACCAAACGGAGGAGAATAGCCCCTAGTCTAGCCTAGAGCAGTCAACGAAACTCCAGACGATCATTCGTGAGAGCAAAATGCGACGCGCGAAAACTGGGACGAGTATACTACATATCCTCAGACAACCTCGGTCTTCTCTTGCAGAAATAAACCCTCACCTCTTCTTCCGTCTTGACTAGCCTCCACCGATCAAGGCCGGACTGCGGGTCCACTCCCCCCAACTCCCGCCCCCCACCATAGCTAAAACGAGGCCGGCAAAACCCGGGTGCTGACGATGGCTGGTGAAAAATTTTCGGCGTCACGAGATACCACAGACAGGATGCCAATGTCGTAGAAACAGGAGAGAAGCGTGTGCACGAACAGGGAGAGCCAATTACAAAGTCGTACGGGGGAGCTGATTTCCACGCGTCTGACACACGGCGGAGTTTGCTGCTGGCATGCTGTCCCGGAGCCATCGCGGGGGTCCATGGTAGGGAGTATGACAACCAGGGGGTGGAGTAACAAGGGGTGCGATACATACCACAGCCTGCGGAAGAATAGGCACTATTGTATTTGCTAGGGGTGTGGCGATGAGGGTGTGTGATAACAAGGGCGTGGGACACCTGAAATCACAATGGATCCATACATATATTAGCATCGTTTGCAAGTCACTTGCTGGACCCGGAGTTGAACACATGAATGTCCACAAAACAAGGCGGGTCTCACCACTTGCCTCCACACGGGGTACACGAGTACACGACAGAAGCTCCCACACATGCACCGGTTGAAACATTTTTCGTTCATCTTTGGAGGTGCCTGTAAAGGAGCAGGGTCTGTACATTCCCGGCACGATGTGGTTCCCGGTGTTGCGTGTTCTCTGTATGTGCAAGATCATGTCCCTTGACTATCATGCCGAGGTGACAAGCGGGGCTTCGTGGTTGCAAGCGGGATACCCTCAGGAGGTAATAAAGCGACCCACGTGAAATTCGGTTGTCGATATAACGTACGTAACACCGGGTGTGGTATGCTATGCGAGGAGCGACAATGCCGCATCCTCTGTGTGTGCTGTAACAGGCGTTTTATCTCTTTAATGCCTCTTAAGTACTTCATTTCGGTTTGACTCAACAATCAAGTCAAGAGAGACGTGGGCTTTACTTCTCTCTTGGGTTGCCCTCGAAGGGTACTTGTTTTTCGGTATCTGTACGCGGAAGTCAACAACAAACAATCAAATCAGCAAAATGAACAACGTGTCTCCCGAACTCACCGCGTGCACGCGGGGAGTGTCGATCAGACCGCTTGTACTGATCTCCAGCACCCATAACCGAACTTGTCCCGTTCGATTTTGACTGGAAACGTCCCGCCTCAGCGGCGTCTCCCCGTCGCCAACAACATCTCCTTCCTCTGAGAGCCGCTGCTCTTGCACGACGTCCGCGTTTTCCAACACCGGATCCTGATATGCGCAACATGCAAACACGCGGAGAGACTGATCTCCACACCCTTCAACCTGCTGCTCTCAAATCTGCGACAAGGATTGGAACTATTAAAGCGCGACAATATTGCGCACAGACGCCGGAGCTGGCATGGTAAAGCACATGTGCACACGACTTCGAACAAGCGATGCAACCAAACACGTCGTTCACGAAGAGCGATAAAAGCAAAACAAGTCCCACCTCCTGCGGGATGGTGGCAGCGGTCATCGATAAGCCCCGGCTCATCCCTTGCAGACGTGAGCTGTCCAACACGTCGGCCAGCATGTCCCTGACGTGCACGTGGTGTGACGTGAGCACCAACCTCTCTCGCCCACCCGGTCTGCCCGCGGGGTCGCACATGCTCACGTGCAGGGCCAGAGGGTACAAGTCGACCGCAAGGCTGGTCGAGACAGCAGCATACGCCGGGCGAAACAAACGAAATAAACGGTCTGGGTGACACCACCATTCGCAGACAACGGAAAGCTTGGAAATCGAGACTGACATTTCACGATGATGGTGCACGATGACTTCTGCCACCACCTGCGTGCGGACACGCTGCTACGGGCTAACCACACGTTCAGTTCCATTCCAACGTGACAATACCATGATTACGCTAAACTCTCGCCAGCACAACGGAGAATCTGCGCTAAAAAGACGTTCAATCAAGCAGGTTTGAGACGATTTTTTCGCATATGGCCAAGGTGAACCGCGGTTGACATCCTACAGCAGTACTACGTGCATGGTGGACATGCGCACGTTGTGGCGACAGAGACAACGGGCGTCGTATTCCCACCGACGGCATGGGTCCCGCTTGGGGGGCATCGGTTTTCAGACGGAGGAATACGCAGGCGTCACGAGCAGCAAGCCCACAAGCCTCCCCCCCCCCCTCACCGTGCGGTCGATGGTTCAGCCTCAGCGTCGTCCCCCCCTCCTCTCGCCTTCTCCGGGAGCTCGAGGTTTGAAGACACGTTCACCACCTGTCGAGCAAACACGGGCCCTCCACCGTACCAGTCCACCATGACATCCCACAGCGACTTCGGCAACATGACGTAGTCCTCGCCAAGGTCTAGGTTTGGAGCAACTTCCCACTCAGCTCCACCCTGTGCGATTGGTGATTGGTTTTTCATTTGCGCCAGATGGTGCGTTGCATTACACGTTGTGAGATTCACCAGCACAAGACACATGGCAAGTTGTGGGCAGGGTACGTGGGCAAGGGACTTGGTGAGGATTGTGGAAGAAATTCAACGCAGAAGGTTTGCAAGTCTGAGTTAGCCAGCACGTCTTGAAAAACAGTGGTTCAGGCTGGAGGGTTCTCAGTCAAGGACCGTAACTATCTGCCGCTCAGAGCAGAGCAGATGCCATGAAGTTCAAGCAGTAAATCTACGAAACGGCACAGATATTTTCCGGGGGCGCCTCTTGGCTGTCTTCTTCAACGATGCAACTGGGACTTAACCGATCAACAGCGTTCCTCTGACCGTAACCTACGAACTCGCCACGGCGCCAACGCGTACAAGGTATTTTGATATTTCGGACCCCGTCTTAGTTCATCTCTCCAGCGCACTGCACAACGGCAGAGAACACCTGATTAAGCCACTAAGCCTCACGAACAGACCCACGCCTCACCTGCAAGCTACTGTTGTCTATTTCGTGTGGTCGCCGGGCAAGCGTGGTCGGCACTGCTCTTTCTTTGCCTGCTCCCGCTAACCTCTCCATCGCTGGCGATTCTCCTTGAGCGTGCCCGTTCCCGTTACCAACGCCCATAGAAGCAACCCCATCGCCCACGACATCCCCAGGGCGTACTGCGACGTCTCCCCCCTCTGCCCCCAGCGTCACAGCAGGCTCATCTGCGGGCCTTTGATCCAAGTATCCTGGGGTCTTGTCCAACCCTAAAGCCGTTCGCTCCGGCACGCGCAGCACGTCTTCCTTGGTGAGGGCAGCGTAGTTTGACCAGTACGACCACCATGGCGAAGCGACTAGGCACATGCACTGGGCCTCTTCAATGGCGTATTCCATCAGATGTGCCAGCACCTGCAACGTGTGTGGAAAATACGCCCACAAACCCACTATTACAAGAGAAAAGCACTTCCAATAATCCAGTGGCAAGAAAACCCGGATGTGTGGCGCATCTTGAAAGAAATACGAAAGGGATGCGCACGGATCGTGATAAATCAATGCCCCATGACCCTCGAACCAAGGTATCCCTCCGTAGCACTAACTACCGTGAGCACCGCGAGAAAGAAACTGCGTCCGACCAAACATGACTTTGACCCACGGAAAGCCCCTGAGGCAAACTCCTTCACGTCGAACGTGCAACACCGCCGAGTCAGTGCTCGCTAAAGCCGTCTCCACGACCAACGAGCTAACAAGCCGCGTAGAAGAACTGCATACCTTGTCCTTCTCCTGCTGCGGCGAGGGCAGAAGATAGAACGGCCGGAGAGCGCGGTCCAGCGCCTCGTCGGACGCATGAAGCTACACGAGGGCGTAGAAGGGCAACAGGAAGTGAGAGTGTAAGTGTATTATAGTAGTTTGGTGCACGAGGGAGCCTTCGTCAGAATAAAAAGGCTGCTCTGCTGTTCTTGTGAACGAACTGTGCAGTTTGCATATCGAGTCCTCATATGTTGCGTGCTTTGAAAAAAGCACGTGCCATTTCCGGCCGATACTTGGTGAGCACGAATCATCACATCAAAAGCACTGCTGAGATCTCTACCAATAAGTGGGCGTCGGACGTCTCAAGTCTAGGGCCTCATCAAATACTTTGCAAACTAATAATCCCAGGTATATTTGTGTATGACAAGGATCGGACTCACGCCGATGAGGACAAAACGACGTAGAACCACGTCGTTCTGTGAACGTGAACGCGCCGAGAAAGTAGCCCGCGCTCGGCAAATAAAACCATTTCAAGTCGGTTCTGCATACGACCACTCGCACCTCTGCCCACTCGAAATATTCGGACAGCAGCAGCCCGGAAACTCCAGAGGTCTTCTGGAAGTGCGCGTGGTTCGCATCCCCGGCAGATAGCCCTAACTGTTTCTTGAGGCCAACAAGTTCCGCCTGTTACATGGAGGAGAGGTGGTTCGTGTCCAAGAACCAGGTGAGAGGGGAGGGGGAGTGCCAGAGGTACGAATTGTGAAAATATGTCATTCGCTCAAGAAATGCCTCTGCGGCGCCTACACAACAATCAATACAGCACGCGCTAAGCCCGCATTCCCTCCTGCACGTACATCCGACAGGCGCGCCGTGGTTGCACCGGAAGCGGAACTCGCATCTCGAGCTCCTCCGTCCGCCCCTGTACCGTAGTGCTTAGGTTGGGAGGCCCCGGAGAAAAGGTCAAACAAAAACCGTAGACGTTCTTCTCTTGAGCCTCGGCAGCACAGCGCAAGGGCGCGACAGAAGTTCCGAAAGTCCAAGGAGCCTCGTCCGACGCAGTCGAACAGCAGGAAAGCCGACCTTTGGACCTCCACCGGTAGCCCCTAGAGAACGGAAAACCAAGTGTGGTACGATTTCGGTGGAACATCAGAAGAAGGTAGGCAACGCGTATGTCTGGCACCTGTGGAATCACACAGGCATGCAGCAAGTAACGACCCGCAAGATGCTCTGACAAATCAAGCCAAAGCTGCACTGCCGCAGACGTCGCAAAAGCTTAACCCCAGTCGCACCTGCACGTCAGGGAAGACCCTCAAAAACGCCTCCTTGTCCATGCCAGCACGCGCACCGCCGGAGTCCCCCAAAGACACCACCTGGCCGCCCTCACCGCTTCCCGCCCCAACCTTGAGCGGACCTCCCGTGGCACCGTCTCCCGGCTTCTTGCCGTCCAACTCTGCTGTCGCTGTCGCTGCTCCGTCACGGGACGCTGGAGAAGCGCTCCCATCTTCCCCGAAGCTGGCACTCCTGTCGCGGTTAGCGCTGGTTGCGGCCGACGTTGCCGTGCCCGAGTTGGAGGAAGGCGCCGCCAGGCTGCCGAACATCTTTGACGCGATGGTATGCTTCACGGCCTGTGCCCTCCCCAACCGGAAACTCCTTTGCAGGAGGTTCACCTCGCCGTGGCGCCACCGGTTGAGCAGCTCATTCATCTGGGCAGCGGGTTGACAGCGCACGTCGTCAGAATGATTGGTACATTGCAAGGATCATTGCTGGAATCCAAAAGCAGCGGCCAAGTTAAACGCCAGCCCACGTGCCGACGGCCCTAGACACGCAATACGCACACCTTGAACGCGAACTCGCGTTTCTACTATAGATAGTCCCGTTGTAAGGCTGACGTCTTTTCATAGGTCGGCAGCTTTGCTGTCGATGCCAGGTAGTCAATGTACGCAGTGCACATTCCGATATACGTGTAATCGTGGTGTTTAGCGATGTGCGATACGTGTGAAAATATCATCCGTGGGGTAGGACTCAAACGGGGAAAGCCGGTTGGGAGTGTATTCCAACAGTTTTAAGTCTGTAGAGTCGCATGTTTGATGCATTGCAGGCAGTTGCCTGGAATAGGCGGAGAGCCCCGAAATGGACAATGGCATGGCATTCTTCTGAGAGCAGCGCTTGCACCACCGGTTACTGCTGTGTTTGGAGGGAAATGCGCCCTCAATGAGGAACAGAGATGATATTTCTCTGCTGAAACGAACTCCAAACCACGAAGTACATTTGTGAAACAGCACAGAAAATCAGAGTAGCCTAGAAAGGCTGTGAGCTCGTCGAAAACAGCTACACAAAGAGGTCTGTCTGCAGTGAGAAAACAACGCGTGCTGCTCTGGAAGTGACGTGAACTTCAGCACCGCATGCCCCTCCTTGATTTATGGTATAGACTGTACTCCAACCACGATTACAGCGGTTTGTGAATCTTCCACGGATACCAACAAGGCGACACGTACGGCGAGATTCCAAAGCCAACCCTCACGTCCGTCAACTACGTATTGTACAGCATTGATACCTGTGTACATGCGTGGCAATCTAACACCCACGTCTTTGCTTAAAGCTGAGTGCAACAGAACTATGTAGGTAGATGACTTACGTTGTCTTGCATGGGCGCCGGCAACGGAGTAGGGAAGCCCCCAGAGGGCGGCTGGGCGGGTTGTGAGGAGCAACATCCCATCCTGCTAGCAGCGACAACACTTCGACAACCCTGTCGACCGGCTTCCCGCCTGCCTCAGCGCCAAGAACCTGGACTACTTGATTCAGTGAAGGGTAGGCGTGAGCCAGTGCACGATCAAGTCCGCCGTAGTTCTGTAGGAGCCAAGCTGAGCGGAGAGAAAGCAAAGGTTAAGGTTGTATGCTGCACGACAACGATTTGAAAGGGGTGCGGCATGTTACGGAGGAATACAGCAACGCGCCGTTATTATCAGCTAATGCACCATCGAATCCACCTCCATGCCCCTTTCTTCGCTTTGCCGCTTGGACGGACAATGCGCGCTTGCCGGTTAGCACTTCAACACCCATCTACTTCATAAACTTCTTGCGCACGTACACCACCTTCGAATTGAATCTCCGGGATCGATGTCTCCTTCTTGCTGCTGAAACCTGGTTCACCCGCGCGAGCTACTTCAATGGGAGCTATTTGCATCAGCACAACGGCCGTACTCTACTGTACCCGTACAAACTATGCTCGGAGCTACAGCAGGAGCCCCAGCACAGGCAGCTAGCGGACCAACAGGTTCGCTACGTGCTGCCCATGTTCACGGCAGGTGTGCGTGTGAGAGAGAAAGGGGGAGTTTCGTATTCTCGAGAGTATTGTAGTGCGGGAGGCTCTTATCTTATGAAGAGGCGTGAAGCTGCTGCTATAGCGGCGGAGTGATTCGCAGGCCGAAACGTGTGCATTGATGATGACAATTAGCCATCGCTTATCTCACCTCCTCAGTGGCGGTCTTGCGCTGCCGAAGCACCGACAGACAGCACCTGCCTGTGCAATAAAGTGTGTGTGTGCGCGGTGCGGGAGGTGTTGTCGTGCCCCCAGATATGTCAACACCCACCCCCGTTGTACGCCGGGTTGGAGTCCCCCCCCTCCGACGCCACGCTCGGTGGGGGGTATCACAATGGCGATATTCCACAGCTAGGAGAGGATTACGAGCGCCTTGGTGTGACAAGATCGTCACAATCTAAGTGGTGTGCAATAGAGGTACTCCACCATGGCGCACCGATGGGGGTTGGCTTGTGCGGCGGGATTACTTCTGGCTGCGGTAGGCAAAACGGATGCCTTTTACTTGCCTGGCAAGGCGCCGAACTCCTTCAGCAACGGAGAGAAGGTGTGTATCTACGTCGGGTGCTTGTGCGCAGAACGCGTTGTAGGTGTGCAAAAACGTGGGAGTTGCCTGATGTTCGTATTGATAGCAAGTGCTGACGTGCCAGTTTTGAGTGTGTGTCTTGCAGTTTTCTTCTCCGAGTGAACGGACATCAGCCAAGCCACCTGTGAATGTTCTGCCAGGTAGCATAGCACCCCAGGTGTGTTTCGTGGTTCGGAACTGCTGCGGCACATTAAAAACAACGCGTTTGCCGCAATGCTGCATCAAACCACACGGCACAAGACGACTGATTTTGTCGGGTGCTCTTGTCGAGAAAGAGCTTCACTATCACAAGACACAACGGGGTGTTATGCTCCCGATATTCTATGACGGGGGGCGTGATGCTGTTGCAATAACCTTGTAAGAACATTCCTGCAGCAGAATGTAAGCTACGCCAACATGTATTGTAGCTCCATTTGTCTGTCTGGGTGCCGGAACGAAGGTACTGAATCCTCAGTATGCACAACCATCACGTGGTGCCTACTTAGCCTACGGTTGATCAGCTGTTTCGCCTCTCTTATCCCAGATTGGGTAAAACGTAAAACACACCTGCCAAAAATGTAATCGTGAACAGCCCGTTTTTCGCCTGGAAAATGTGCACGTACAGCAGTTCAGCAGTAGATGATTGTTTGAGCGTGGCTCCTCTTCCTCAAACCTCCTCTACTCGGTCTATGTATGCATATCGCATTCTCTTCTGATGCTGTCCCAGGTGGAGCTGCAGGTGGTGTTGCTGACGTCCACCAAGACTCAGATCCCGTTCGACTACTACCGCGCGCCCTACTGCCGACCTAGCAAGATCACCAAGGAGGCAGAGAATCTCGGGGAGGTGAGTATCAGAATTTCTGCTGTGTGGCATCACGGCAAATCACGGGTGTTCAGCTTGAAAAGGGTACATACCTTACGTTTTTATCATAGTCTGAGAAAGGTCACGCTGTGGTCGGAGGAACTACAGTAGGCGACAGGCAGCCGTCTGGTGCGTCGACACCGGAGTCTTCTTGTTCCCTGGCGGATTGAGCAACACCACAGAGTTCCAACACACGTGCGTGTTCTTGAGCGCATCGCTCTTGCTTTTGCAATCTGCCCGCATGACCTCAACACAACCAGCTGCGAGTTGTATGGTCGGTTCATGTCGAAAAATTACGGAGGGCCTACCCTGTAAGTTTTTTTACACGATCTTAGATCGAAAACACAACCCCATAGTATCAAACGACAAATGGCCTGGGGCGATCGTTGGTGAATTGTGGCGGCACTGCTGTAAATGGCATCTGCAGGTGCTCATGGGGGACAAGATATCGTCGTCACCCTATGTGCTGGAGATGGCCCAAAACGCCTACTGCTCCGTCCTGTGCCATCAACAAATGAGCGATGTGAGTCGCGAAGTGCATGTGGTACACTTGCAGCGGCTGTGGCTAGGACAGCTGGCAGTCGGACTTGGCTAAAACTGGGCAACGCTTGCGGGGTTCACCATGTGGTAGCTGATGCCGTGTATATACGACGTGTCCGCCGTCAGCATTCCTTTCCAGTTGTACACCAGTGTACCATACACAGCAGTGGAGCGTACCACGAACGACTGGAGGGTGAGGACTGATTGCCTCTTGCCTGCTGGCTCGTCGACCGGTCGGTTAGTGTTGATGCACATGCGTGTTGCTGACCATTGTCAAAACTCGGGGCAGAAGGAAAGGCTACTATGCCGAGCGAGGGGCGTGTTTGCACGGACCGTCCTGCTTTGCCTTGAAGACCACATGTACATACGTAATGTTTTGCGAAAGTTTTATCACGCTGAGCGTCTCCGTCTTGGGTTCTCTGTCTCGTTGTCCTGCGGCATGGCGTGGCGGAACAGGGCGACATGAAACAACTCCGATCGTTGATTAGCAACGATTACAGGGTGCACATGCAGCTGGATAACCTCCCAGTCGCCATCGTCCGCGATGACAGGTGGGCCCGCCCTCCTGCCGACAAGAAGAGCGCACGTACCCATCCAGACACGCACACGTTTAGTATGGCACTGCGGTGTGCTAGCCTATAGTGGTTGTATCAGTCCTTTCGTGCCGGTGCGCTCAAGGGTTGCGTGTGGTGATGAGTAATGTTGAGGCGAGTGCTCGACCTGCCGTCTGAGAGAGCTTTGTTTTAGCGCTTCTACCTGTGTACCATCGTTTAGTTGAGAAGGTTGTTTCATGGCGGACGGCATTAATCCAAACTGCAAGAACTCGCGCTTGATGCCCATGGCAGAGGGCAGACGACGACTCATGGCTTCCCAGTGGGGTACCAGGAGGGCGAGGACCACTTCCTGTACAACCACTTGACGTTCATCGTCAAATACCACGAGGCAGACCACTTCCTGGGGAAGCGCGTGGTCGGGTTTGAGGTGATACCGTACTCCATCGCCCACCGTTGGGAAGAAACGTGAGTGCGGAAAGCACGGCAATCGAAACGTGTCAACACCTCGCGTACTGCTGTGGGGCTGTCACAAGCAGTAAAGAAAAGGGGGGGTCTGATATGATGGTTTCGTGGTTTCGAGAGAGACATCCGACGACCGTGGCCGTACCATTAGCACCTTTCACGTTTAGTATTTTCTTCGTTCCACGGCGAGTGTCATGGCACGTACGTATGACGTTGAGGTTTCTGCAGGTTTTGATGTGGTGGATTGGTTTGACCCAGCTGACCTACCCGCGGTGCGTTTCTGCGTTTTTCGCTGGTGGGTGGTCATGTCGATCATCCCACCGTACTTTCAGACACATTGAGGGTGGTGGCCAGCAGGAACCGCAGAGTGGCGATGCGGTAGAAGGAAACAGACGGCGAGACCGCAAACTGGGTGAGAATCTCGAGACTTGTCCAGAGAGGGGCATGGCGCCTCCCATTGACAGGCAGTCGGTGGAAGCAGCTGGAGAGGTGAGTAGTAGGTGGTGACGGTGAGTGTGGTTGATCCTTATCTTGTTGGGATTTTGCGTGTTGTATCGGAACAACCGAGCCCGCAGCTCGCTAATACTCCATGATCCTTCGAAAACGGCATATTTTTGTACGAGTACTGTTTTTTAAGGTCCCCGCTGATTTTCCGAGGTAGACACGGCGAGAACTTGGTTCCGTTTGTACAATCCTGGATATACATGTAGATATTTTCGCGGCATACCATTCGCGCGAGTCGTAGTGGTGTCTTCCTCTTTTTTTTCAATATTTGTTGTGATGGTGCGTTCCTTGATTTCTGTTTTACTGGGTTAGTCCTTGTCGATGGAGTTCCCACTCGTATCACACGATGTAACGGGCTGCCATGTGCGGACGGTATCCCGCAAAACGGTATCTGGCTCGTGCGTTTTCGCGACCGATACATTCCAAGTCAACGTCAGGGTGCTTTTTCAATTCCCAGGGCATTCCCTGAATAGACCCGTGACCAGTCAATACCCCGCACATGTCCTGCTGTTCGTGAGCATCGTTGCTATTCCCCTTGTCGTCTGTGCCACTTTATCGGCGAAGGTTATCTTCACGTACGATGTTGAGTGGGAACTAGACGCCAAAACCACCTGGTCGCGGAGATGGGAAAATTACCTCAAGGGCAACCCTGAGGTACGTGGCGCACCGTGCGATGTGTTCAACTGTGGGTGCACAGTCAATAGTAGCCAAGCAAGGACAAGCGGCTCATGCACGGACAAGCAGCGCAATACTGGGAGGGGTCCTGCTAGCGTCCGAAGTGATGCCTTGAGAGGTTTATGGACGTGGTGTTTCAAGATGTTTGAAGGCATGCAATGTTCTCTTGTACATCTATTCTCCTATTCTATACGAAGTACTTGCAAGAGCCGACTTGACATGAAAGAGGTAACTAACATTTGCGTCACTTTCACCGGAGCGCTCAGGTGCAAATGCGGGAACTCGGGGGTCTGTCTCTGTTGCAATATGAATGACTACGAAGAGATGTGTCTACTTCGTATAAGTTTACTGGGCCATGCTGCCATTACATATTGCAGAGTACAACAACTCTACCCGCAGTCAGTCATGACATCTACCTTAGGTATGCGGTTTTACCCCTCCTATTTACAGTAGTACATTCAGCGAATCCCCCCACCGCAACCCTGAGGACGGGGGGGCCGAAGGCCTATATATATTACGATGGTTTTCTTCTTCGTTGTTCTTCCTGCCGTGCAAAGTCGGGAAGCAGATCCAACGTCCTCGTTCACGGCGTGCAAAAGGTTTGGTAGGTGCAACGTGCCACCCGAAACGACGTTATGGTGCACAATGATGAGACCCTTGGCGCGTTGTCTCGAAACGTCCTGTGCAGCGCGTTGGTGCAACGCTCTGCTGTCCACGAGCTAAAGGCAAAGTGTGTGGGTGACTCTAGAGAGGCGAGCGCAGAGGACGCGGGACCCTTGCTCGGCAAAGCTGGCGTAGTGGGAGTCAGTTGGCAACGCTACTCTTTTTGTTTCGCTGCTTCGAGAAGTCCCTCCCCCCCGTGTTTAACTTGTCGCCCATCACGTGTTTCCCGTGCTCGTTCGGTGACTTGCAGAACGAGATCCACTACTTTTCTATCGTGAACTCCCTGATGATTACCCTGTTCTTGACTGGAGTGGTGGCCATGATCATGCTCAGGACGCTAAGGAAGGACATCACTAACTACAACGAGGTAGGGTTGGAACGGGTATCCAATCCTTGCGCCGGCTGTCCTCTTGCGATCGCTTTGCTTTCTGGGCTGGCAGCTACAGCACATGGATCATTTTGGGTACAGAACCCCCATTTTGGTTTGGTGTTAGATATGCTCAAATTGCTTGTTCATCCTGTTGAGTCACTTTGCCATATTGTGTAGCGGTGGCAGCTGGTTGCACGGGTCGTCCAGTTGGTGACCTCGCAATCCCCTTGATATTGGAGCGTGATGTCAGATCTCGGTGCAGTTACACGAATATTTCTTCTCACAGCAGTACGCCTAGCCAAGTTGACGAAACGATAAATTCCTGAGTACCGCAGTTTTTGAGTTGACGTTCGACGAGGAAAAGGAACAGCTGAGTCTTTCCGCGACAGACAGGGAAGGCAAGCACCAGAACAAGTGGAGAAAATAAAAAACGTCTTGTTTACCCTCGTCCGGTGCGATTCCCGCCCATGTATATCCAAAGTACGCCGAAACGAGTATCGAACTTGACATCCAGGGTAGATGAGATGACAACACACGCGTTTCACTGCTGCTGTTCGCTCGCTGAACCAACGACACCCTCGCTAAAGCCTGTGCTGTGCTTTTGCTTTTTCGTGGCGCGGTGCAGATGCAATCCGTTGAGGACGCTCAAGAGGAGAGCGGCTGGAAGCTCGTGCACGGAGACGTTTTCCGCCCGCCGTCCTTCAGCCCCATGCTGCTGTCCATCATGTGCGGTACCGGCATGCAGGTGTTGGCAATGACGCTGTCGACCATCACCTTCGCATTCTTGGGCTTCCTCAGCCCGGCCAACAGGTAAGCAATGCGTGACAGCTTGCACTCCAACCTGTTGTGGGATCTTTCTAACATAGTTGCTTTGTTTTCGATTCTCAACAAGTCTTGAGGTGGCAACTAACGCTGCTCAATTGTTTGCCGTTGGTGGCTTCGCAGGGGCGGCATGTTGACGGCGCTGCTGGTGCTCTTCGTGCTGATGGGGTCCTTCGCCGGCTACTGGTCTGCCACCATGTACAAGTTCTTCAACGGCAAGATGTGGAAGCGTTGCACGCTAGCCACGGCTCTACTGTTCCCCTCGATGATCTTCGCGATCTTCGCGGCTCTCGACATTATGGTGAGCGAGGGCGCGTGTGTTTCGGTTAGCACGAGTTACATCGCACGAGAAACACCGTATTCCGTGTTGTGTGATACACCACCTTGGGGGCGTCGTCTATGAAGCACGTGTACACCAGGAGGCACCCTCGCAAGATCGATGCCACAACACCCTGACTGTGAGCGGTGGTCTCGCGCTGCTCCCACCGAAGCTGCGGTGGGTGGATCGCACCGCTGCCTCTCGGACGCACACCGGAACTGTGCGCGGCTGCTGCTGTGGGTGTTGGCATGCAAGTGCCCGCTTGACCGTACGCACTCGCTCTACCCCACCCCCTCTCTATGCGAAGGTGTGGTCTCGAGGGTCGTCATCGAAGTTGCCGGTGTCGCTGCTGTTCTTGTGGTTCTTTGTCTGCGCGCCTTTGGTGTTCGTGGGGAGCTACTTTGGTTTCCGTGCGGAGACTTACACCATTCCCGTCAGGGTCAACCAAATCGCCAGGTGACTGCTGGTTGTGCAGGGCGCACTTTCGTGTTGTGTGCTTTTACCACGATAGTGCTTGATGCTGTACGTGTTGTTCCTCGTAAATCCCGGGCAACCCGCTCTCTTCCGTGTCAAGTCTGTGGAGCTGAACACCATCGAGAACCAATGACTTGAAAAAGCACCCCGTGTTGCGGGGCGGAAGTCGCGACATGACCTAAGAGGAGTCCACCAGTGACACGGCAACAGGAGTGCTTTGGTAGGGCTTTACGTTCCTTTTCGGTAGCACTGACACCCTGTCGATGACCCTGCCTGTCATGTGATTATTTGTCTTGGCGCGGGATGTGTTCTCCTTGTGTGCGTCCAGACATGTGCCGGGGCAGCTGTGGTACACCAACCCTATGTTTGCAATCGCTCTGGGTGGGGTCTTGCCTTTCGGCGCGGTGTGCATCGAGCTCTTCTTCATCATGAGCGCTCTCTGGCTGCACCAGGTTGGTGGCTCGTGTGATACAGAAGTTCGAAGTATCGGTAGAGAAGATCGATTGCTCGGCAGGTCTGTAAGTTCTGTTCAACTACAGGCCGTGGGCACAACAGCCGTATGCTGAAAAACGTTTGGATGCGGAAGTCTGACCTTCATCTGATTCGGACGTGTCAATGTCGCCCACACTTCCCAACCCCCCTTTCATGCTCTCTCCCGCGCCGGTTAGTTGATCATGCCATCTGCTTGTTCTGTGTTGTCTGACGAGTACATACCTCAGTTTCGAGGTTGTTTAGAATACCGTAGCAGAGGAATAGACTCGAATCAGAGTAGTCCCCTCCAGTGTCTGTTTCTGCTTGTGCACAACCTGCGGTGCGGTGCGTTCGGCCAAATGCGTCAGCCTTGTGCTTACAGGGTGCCTCCTCCTTCCTGTCGTGCTGCGTTTGAATCAGATCTATTACGTGTTTGGGTTCCTGTACGTGGTGTTTTTCATCCTCATCGCCACTTGTGCGGAAATCACGATGGTGATGTGCTACTTCCAGCTCTGTAATGAGGATTACCACTGGTGAGTATTATTTGTTTCTGCGTTACAAATGTTTCCAAGATACTGTTGGTTGACGTAATCTGTTGATTGGAGTGTTTCGTCAGGCATGTAGCCACCATGATAGAGTACGTCTGCAGGCACGCTCGACCATACGGCGACGGAACTAGAACGAAATGCTCTACGATTACATGTACATGACACTTCACATCCGGGCTATCCTGAAAGGAACCGTTCAAATGCGCCTTTTGGGGTATTTAGAACTGGTCCTGCTGTCTCAAAAGGTGCCATACTCAGGCACTGTTATTGTCTAATTCTCGGGCCGATAACCAACATCTTTGGCCATCTATTGTTACGTACTTCTTATCTTTTGACAATAGAGCGCCGAGGTGCTTGTATGCCGTGCTTGCCAAATGCTGTGTTGTCACGGTGCAGTGACACGAGTTCCATTGACAAGGCAAGCGGTCGTGTTCGCGACCTCCTCATGTGTGCGATCACGTGGTTGTTCCGCTTGGAAATTGTCTTGACGGCCTCAGGTGGTGGCGTGCCTTCTTGTCGGCGGGGTCGAGTGCCGGATATCTGTTCATGTACTCTGTGTGGTACTTCTACTCGAAGCTAGACATCAGCGGCTTTGTGTCGACCTCGGTCTACTTCGGCTACATGCTCGTGATTGCGCTAACCTTCTTCTTGCTGACGGGCAGCAGCGGATTCTTTGCGTGCTTCTGGTGAGCATGATACTGACGTTAAGCCATGGACGCTGGGCTGGTTGTTCTGTAGACACCCGTAGCGTGCGTGAGCGTAGTCGGTCGCGATACATGCTGTAGGTTGGAATGATCGTTTCACGCTCAACTCGTTTGACCACTATGATGAATTCCTGCGATACCCATCGGTCCGAGCGCATGACAGGCGCGTCCTCTCCTCTTCTTGCAGTTACAATTTGAAGCGATGAACGCTGTGACGCGGACTGGTATTTGTTCGACCCACGCGTTTCCCGTGCTCCTACTGAACCCTTTCTGTCTGCGGTGCAGGTTCGTCCGCAAGATCTACAGCGCCATCAAGGTCGACTGATACAGCAACACTTGGGCAAGCGGGCAACGGTTGTTGCTCGCGGGCCACGACACCGAAAATGATGGGGGAGTTGAAAGTACCCCGTAACCAAGTATTGTATGGTCGTCAGCACGGATCGGGCAATCGTGTTGCCTTGGTGTTTTATTTCGTTTTGTGTATGATGCTCTGGGCACGCAGTACGGCACGCGTGAGCTACAAGTGAATTTGATTCGGAAGGTGGATACATGTCAAGTCGTACGCCTGTGACTTGCGTATTCGATGCCGTTCATAATGTAGTAGCCGTCTCTGTAACAGTTGTGGCCCGATGGAAGATCCAAGCACTTGGGCTTTGCTGAGTTCGTCGGCGACAATAAATAGCTTGCCGGTGTACAAAAGACACCGATGTAACGGTAAAGTGGGCTGCTGCTGGGTGCCCTGCTCTTGGCTTCTTGGCAGGAGTGTGGCGCACCCTCGGGGCCTCGTGGGTGGATTGTTTTTTGTTGTTTGCTTTGTATTGTCAAAATTAATGCAAAAATGCTCTGATTGATGGCCACAATCAAGCCCACCATGTGATCAATGGGGTGGATTGTGGTTTATCGGGTGATGACATTTTATGTGTTCACGGCCAACCACCAACCAGGCGTTTGGCGGACAGGAGAGACGGACATTTTGATGGTTTGGCGGAACCACACAATGGGGGCCCCGTGTTCACGATTTTCGACGGAACCACCTGTCAAGCGTAAACCCGCCGCATTTCACCAGCAGCCACAGCTACTCCTCTCCTTGTACACAACAGCTAAATATACGCAGCATTGACACACCTGTTCACCTGTTGCTCCAACAACGATTGGAGATGAAGCTCAAGCACTTGGAATCACATCTGCAATCGGTGACAACTTACAGCGAGCTTGGCGCCGAGAAAGTCAACATCGAGCTCGAACAGTACAGGTGTGTGCCCTTTATTCAAATCCACTTTCCAATGTGAATACAACATTCAGACTTGAGACTGATGGACATATTCATCTGTCGTGCAGCACCTGATGCTGAACTGCCGTACAAGTTCCTTGTATCTGCAGACAACAGCAGACACATTTGTGTGAGGAGGGCACTTGTTATGGAGCAAGCTTGCTGGCATGTTATCCAACATGGAGTACTGCAAATAATGTATGCGTTCATACTCTGCTGAATCGACCGCGTACAAAGTATTGAGACTACAGCAGTACCATGGCGGCTTGTAGTCTACCCCCGTAGGCCCTTTTCTACTCAATGTGATTCTGTCGGCACTGATGTGCGCTGGTACTGCAGTATATTGGCTTTCCAGGTGGCGGCATCGTCTCTGTCCATGACTCCGCCCGAAGCACGCTATGTATTTTACCAACACGCTGCCCGATTCGGGTTGTGTGCACAGCAAGACGTAATCGAAGCTACAGTACAGCCGTACGCGTACCACGTTCACACGTCGAAGCTATTGCGACCGCTCTTTTGTGCACAAGCGCCAGTGAGTGTTTGCCCCTGGCTCGATTACAGCACGCTGGGGAGACCCTGGTGGCGGAGGCATCATGCGCTTGAAAGGAGAGAGTGAATGCGCGCCATGGTGTTGGATTTCGCGTGCGGTAGTACTTCTCCTGCTGTACCAGTAAACTATGTTGCTTGTTCCCGCTGCTGTAACGTGCTGTGTTCACCCAATTCATTGCCCTCTGTGTGCAGCACGTCAGCTCACTTGGCAGCAAGAATGGTCTATACGGCCGAATTCGAGTTTGGAGACATCGAAGACCGGAGCGTGCTCGATCTCGGTGAGAGGGTTGTTACATTAACTATGTATGTATTCGAATGTCATGTTTGGATCATTGAGGCTCTTCACATTTGGACCTGCCACAAGACGCCCCCACCCCCGTCTACTGCTGTAAGATATCCATTATTTTCTACTACATGTGTCCATCTTTACCACGTTTTTTTTTTTGTCCAGGTTGTGGAACGGGTATGCTTGGGATAGCCGCCGGCATTCTTGGAGCCGGTGCCGTTGTGGGGCTTGACGTCGATTCTGGGGCGCTGTCAGCTGCAGCTGAAAACGCCGAATCGATGGAAATCGGTATGGACTTCGTGTGCTGCGACGTCGCACGGAACCCGTGCATACCAGGTAAACCAGCACGCCTTTTTTCATGCTCGAAAGTTGGGTTGGATTGCAGTGCTGTGTGAAGAGTAGTATGAATTTGGCTGTGTCGTATGGCTTGCAGAAAGAAAGTGTTGTTTGCCGCCCATTCGACAGCACTGGAGTGCACTTTTTCCCCTCTCCATGGAGAAACGTGTGATGAAAGCTCATGAAGACTGCACATCTTTAGGTGGCCCTGGGCATGGGCAGCGAAGAGTCGTAAATGAATCCAACCGTGGCCGTGAGCACGCCGCAACTATTGGAACGCGAATTTTCTACCGCACGTTAGCAATAAATAGGACCAACATACCGCGGACTAAAATCCTAATCAGCCCTCTGCGTGTTGTCTGCCCAACAGAACGATTTGACACGGTGTTGATGAACCCTCCCTTTGGAACGCGAAGAGCTGGCATCGATGTCGTCTTCCTGGAGCGTGCTCTTGAGGTATCTGTCCCGTTCAGACGTATGTTGTGGCTGTACCTATTTCGTGCGGGTTACCCCCATGGTCTTGGAGTTGTTCTCGAAATTGGCTGTCGTACCTGGTACGATTTAGAATCCTTTCATTCGTGGGGTTAAAGTTTGGCTATGTTGTTGACAAGGGCGTGAATTGGGTGGTGAAACCTCCTTGCGGTACCTTTGAGGCCATGCAAGGGAGTAAAGCCTTACGCATGACCCGAGATCTACCAGAGTGGCGGAAGGAGAGATATTAGCCAGACGTAAGTTTCAGATGGGGCTGCGTGATGGAGGGGTTTCGTGCTATTGTGGTGCCTTGGCGAGCAAGATGCCTTTCCCAGACACGGCAACACCTTTCGGTTATGCCGTGTGTTATTTACTTCAAAAATATGTAACATGAACCACGTCTGCTTTAGCCCTACGCCTATTCTCGCGTTTTGGCGGGGTCATTCAGAAGACTCGGATCCACACAGCCCACACCAACCTCAGGTTTCGAGGCATACGCTGATATCGTCATCCTTGCTGTATTGCACGTGTTTGTCGACGGCGTTTTCATGCATGCGCTCCAGGCTGCACCGACGGTGTACTCCATGCACAAAACGTCAACCAGAAAGGTACGAAAGAGACACCATGCTTCCTCTGCAGGTGTTGAATACTGGCACGACAGACATAGGCAGGTCGCCCCAGTCTTTCGCTTTGTCAGGCCACTTCCCACCCAACATGCTGTAAGACGTACCCGGTAACGATTATGTCAGAACCATAGGGACCCAATGGTACTCCAAGCGACTCGTAGGGGCATATTGCTACTCTCGAAAAGCTGTACCTATGAAGAATCGCCGAACATACTTTCAAACGCGGTCGTCGAGGTTTCCTGCCGTAGGAGACAACCCTTTGCCATGTAAGATTGTGGGTTCAATATTCCCCAGAAAAGTGTGCACCGCCCCCTCGTTTGGGCAATGTAAGGGCTTCGATGTTGTCCACGGCACGAACTAACACAATCTGCATTTATTAGCGCTGCTGGGAGCGGCGCCGAATTTTTGGAGTACGGCAGCCGCACAGAGCTTCATAGCGAGTGCGTTGCTCATCAACGCTTTCGATCTTCCCTTGACGTCCGCCCGTTCCGCAGCACCTACTGAAGAAGGCGGAGGAATGGGGAGTGGACATTACGGTCCTGGCGCAGCTGCGCTTTGATATTCCTGCGACTTACAAGTTCCATAAGCGCAGATCCATGGACGTGGAGGTCGATCTTATCAGGCTGCAGAAGCGCTTGTCGCGTTCAGATAGCTGTAGTACTGAGAGCGGTTTGGATGCCAAAGGATGACGGGAAGGATGACGCTGGAGTTTGGTTTCGTGCTAAAAGAGCTTTCCCCACCTCGTGTAAATAGGACAGAAGATGCTTTTTTTTTTCGTGGGTAGCTTTTGTTAAAGGGTTACCTAAAAATAAAAACGCAACAAGCAGTGGCAAAGGTTGTGTGCCGCGTGTTGGATGTCTACATACATATACAGCAGTATGTTGCGACTTCCATGTTTTGGTCAGAGATTACCGGTATTTGTTGTGTGTCTGGCAACAAATGGATAGAAGATGGTCTTGTCGGGCAGCAAGTGGATGGTGTACGGCACGCTCGTCCGAATGTGTGTAACGTTGGGACGTCGGGCATGCGGCATTCATCTTCAAATACATGGGGGCAAATTGGTTGAATGCCCCATCTTGACTGGTATCAGAACATTTTCACCATTCATGCCAGAACGCGGGTCGTTTGTACCAGCTTTGCACTTCTTGCGATTCTTTCTAAGTTGTTTTCCTTGCGTTTCTGTGTTTCTGTGGTTTACGTGTGTTCGAAGGTACGTAAGTACACAGCAGCCGCAGCGTCACTTGGCGTCACCGGTTGAGACTACTATTATAGTGAGTGGTGCAACAAAAAAAAATTATAATAGTCAACATCATACGTGGTGTACAGCAGTATATATATATTTTCTAAAACTGTACGTCCAATACACCCACCCACGGTTCCCACGAAGTTCGAAAGCGATACACACATAGAGGTTTGTGTAATGTACGTATGCTGTACACGTTGAATTCATCGGAGGACAGAGTTATGATTGTATTTACCGAAGGAATTTTGTCGTTCGATAAAAAAATAAGGAAGATACACGCGCGCAGATTTCCTCTTGTACGAAAAAAAACGCCACCGGCGACATCGCCCTGCGCGCCCTGCAAGCGCCCACACGACAACACACACCTACCTTCTCTCCTCTTCCCTCTCCACGCCCGGCTCAGATCCCGAGCCTCCGCAAGCCTTAGCGTCGTGCATCAACGTACACGCGGCGGTTCCTCAACAAGAAACAAGCTTCGAGTATGGCGCTCAGGTCCTTGAGCCGAGCCGGGGTTGAAATGGGTGCGAGGGTAGTTGGAACGGGCAGCAAGTGTTGTCGGGTGCCTCACGCCACCAGGCACGTGGGTGGGGCTGAGCGGAAGATGTCATCCGTCGTCGGGCAGGGGCCAGGGCACCGAGCACCGTCTTTCCGACAAGGTGGGACCTCTATCTAGAGGTGCTTGATATCCTCTCCTGTAGAGAATGGAAACACCAAGAAGCTTCGTGGACTTGTGGACTTGAAAAAAATGGTCTTGGTTCGCTCGCCTCCGCTGTATGTAGCCCTCACCCTCGTCTTCGGTTTTCCCCTTGATCCTCTGGCAAATTGCCATTTCAAGAAACTCAATCAAGGCGGCCTGCTGCCTCGTTGCTAAGGTACTATCGTGTGTTATTTCGTGGCCAGTCAGTGCTTTTTTATTCGGTTCGCGTCCGTTTGCATCGGGACGGTTCACACGTCATCGCTCTACACAACAGCAGTATTATTATAATATTATAGTAGCAGCGAGGCAGCAGTGTACAAATACAACGTAGGCTAAGGAGCGAGCTGGCCTCGTTTGCAGTAGGTAGGTATAGGTTGTTCTCGGCCGGGATGTTTGGCAGTCTCACCAGTAAGGATTGAGTGAGACCTGCTGCGGCGGAGGGACATCTGCTAGACAATGTCTGCTGTTGCTTCTCCGTGTCACCGTGTCTCGTGTCGCAAAACGTCACCGGCTGTGTCGGCTCTGTACCCACGGTTGTAACCTTCGTCGACATGCCAGATTTTTTGGTTGGGCCGCACTCGGAGAACCCTTGATGAGGTCGATTGTTGCAGCGTTGCAGCGTTCAGCTCACACCAGTATTCCGACTTCACTTGAAGAAGGCAGAGATGACTCTCTACAAAGGCAGAGACAAGCACATATGACACATGTGGCCGTCAGGCATACATAGTTGACGTGAAGAAAAGTACGGGAGGTGGTCGTGTTTGACTCGTTTGGACGTTTGGACGATGAGCAATTTTTAATTTTCAATTTTTGAGACGGGAAGGAAGGGACGCGCAGACGCACCCCCATCAACGACTTGTAGTCTAGATGTTGTGAAAACGCGCAGCCCTACGAGAGGCACACAAATAATAATGACACACTGGCTGGTGTCGATGTACATTGCTGTCCATTGGTACGCGCTCATTCCACAGCGCCGACTAGCCGCCTGCCGACCTTCACGAAGTTCAACCTCTCGCCCTCCTGTGAACGGACGGCGTATGTATTTGTGTTTGTATTTGCTGTGCAACCAGTTTACTTGCCAATATCCCTCTGGCAATGTCGGGTTGAGCTTCTGTGCATACAGGAGCGCAACTATTTTTGCCAATTAGCTACGAAATCGGCATTTTTATTTCGTCGGTCCTCTATTCATATGTGCGTTGAATCTCTTGTTTGTGCTGGAGTGTGGGATTCACGCAGTGGTTACTGCTGTTGAGTGCATGCTCTCTCTCTCTCGCTTTCAGTGTTTTCCCTTATTCTAGGCATCAATTTTGCCGAAAAGTTCTCGACAAGTCCGTCGGCAACCGTGTGCATGTCGTTCATTTTTGGTACCCACCTCCCTGGCATTGCCGCCCACTTCCGTTTTTCGTCGTCACGCGACTTTTGCGCAGGGTCGTTGGGTGCCGGAACGCAGCTGTTCAAGCTGGTGGAGACGGACCTCATGTCTAAGGAGCTCACTCGCTACGGTCCTGCCGATGCCGAACATTTGGGGCTGCACTCTATCCAGGATGTGCTGTCCGACATCGCCGCCGCCACCCTCACGCCCCACAAGCTCGCCGCACCTGCCGTCACTGCGGTTGCTCCGTCTGCGGAAGTGGCGTCTGTGCCGGCTACGGAGGAGCCGGCAGCAGCGCCAGCTGTGCGAGAGGAAGAGGTGCTTGCCGCATGGGGGCTGGGACCTGTTGTAACAGACGGTTCCGAGGTTGAGGGCATACAGGCACCTCCTGTGGGAGAGGTCGGGGAAGAGGGAGGGGAGGTATCGAACGAGAAGGTGGCAATCAAGCGCACTTATCAGCCGAGCACTCTCAAGAGAAAGAGGAAGCATGGCTTCCTGTACCGCGCCAAGACGCGCCTGGGCAAGAAGATCCTGCGAAGGCGTCAAGACAAGGGTCGCTGGAGGCTGGGCATCTAAGGAAACCGACCAGTTTATTGCGTCCCCTGGCTCGGCGCTTGGGAGGCACATCGTTGTACATAGAGTTAAGTGATTTGGAACAAGTAGTAGAGATTTTTCGGAGGCAACGTGACAGTCTTCTCGGAAAGTTCCAAATGGTGGGAGAAAGTAGGCAGAAGGCGTAAAAGGACCGGGCAGGTCGACTGTTCCCTGCTCACACGGAAGCGGCCTTTTGCCCCCGGTTTAAGTTGTCTTGTGCGCGCACCTCTGGAGATGGGATGTCTTGTGCGCATCATACGTAGTTTGTCGAGTGTTCGTAGATTTTTGGTCCCATTGCAAGAACACATATGCATAAGTGCAACATAGACACGAAGCACCACGCAACAACGAGGAAGGAGATGGTATAGCACTCCAGGGGCGGCCGTTGTTTCTGAGTTGCGCCTTATTAAACTTTTCATTTTCGGAGCATCGGTGTACCTTGCGAACGAAAGTAGGAACCGTTCTTGTTATAGCTTGTAGACCTGAGGTGGAGTTCCGGTGTCTTCCGTGTCTCTCTTTTAGTAGGCGGGTGGGATTTGATTTGACTCAGGCGACAGTTTCTGGTTGAAACCGTGCTGAAGCTCACATGTTTTCACTCAATAGCACTCGGACAGATGAATGACATTGAATGGTGTGCCGGCAAGATCTTTTTGTTTTTGTCTGAAATCCTGGTAACCTTTCGAACATGGGCATGAACGCTTTGAATGCGGGCGACTTGATAACTCCAAGCTATGCTTTGTTCTGGGTGGCCAATATTTTCAGCATCACGGTCTTGTGTTCAGACCCAACCGTAGCTGTCGGAATCAAGAGCTCAAAAGGTTGTGGTTGATACTCCCTTACGATGCCTCAAACACCAACACGGAACACGTGCGCCCTTCAGACTCAAAAATGTCCTGCAAGTCCATGCACCGACAAAGGAACGGCCACCACCAGTTGAGCTCCCTAAGCGTTGCACCCCGTAGTTCACGCGAACAGGAGGGGTCATCTTTGATGGGAGGGTGCCTCACAGCGTACGCCGCTTGCCCCACCAAAAACTAACGCTGAAGCTTGTCTCCAGCGACTCGATGTGGTGCCAAAATAGCGGAGGAATGTACAACACCTCCCCTTTCCTCAGCTCGCATTCCATCAGCGGCATTATCTCCTTGAATCGAGGATATTTTGATAAGTCAGGGTTCGCGGCATCAACCTCACTGGTGTTGCTCATCAGGCCTGGCCTGGGGTAGACTGCGGCCGATAATTTTCGGTCCACCAGCAAAACCTGACGGCGCGCGAACGAACAAAGACGTGCCAAGAAAGGATGTCAGACTGAGAAACAACTTGCTTGATGGATGCATGACCTCTACAACACGTCGCCAACGACGGTTTGTGGTGAGTGTGGAGAGTCGTATATGTAAAGCACGGACACACTCGCCCGTTTGGTGCCGACCACTTGTGCCAGGAGGTTGTGGAACGGGTCGTTATGAAGCGGTGATACTGTCCCTGCTGGGCCGAACCATGCGTTTGTGGCGACGCTTTCCGCGTCTCCGTGGTCTTCCTCATCTTCGAGAAGAAGAGCACAGTAGTCCGGGGTCATGATGTCCCGCCTCAGTGCAGGAATCTGATCGAAAAGCTGGTGTTGTGCTAGGTAGGCCTTTTCCTTGCCCTTTTCTCCACATGACGTATTTTTGGCGACGCCGCCGGGAAAGGAGCCTTCTCCCCGTTCCCCTGTGTCCGAACAACCTTTCTTGTCAGTAGGGGACTCTTCCTGTGAGTGCGATTCGATGAAACGACCGATGAAATCACCGATGGTCATGAGCTCCTGCCGCCAGCCTTCTCCTGTGTATGATCCACCCAACTCAACAGGAACCGTGCGCCTCCCCGCTACCTTTTTAAGATACGATGGATTCGACCAGCTCCGTGACGCTCCCATGGCTGGCCAGCCATCCAAGACCTGCGTAGACATTACACGAAGCGAGTGGAGAAGGAAAGTCATCACCAGATGGCTCAGTAGAAGCACGTGTGTGCTGTGCTTCCTTTCCGTCGTTGCCGAAGAGGCGAGTCTTCGCCCCCGAAAACTCGGCACCTATCGCACCCGGCCATGGGACTACGCATAGACTTACAAACCTCTAAAAGCTTAAGGGCGCGAGGGGGATCGCAGTACCTTCTCTTCAAAAATTCAGGAAACGCCTGCATATCTCAGTTGTCCAAAGTCTAACTCCAGTACGAAACTACAATCGCAAATTAACAGTCCGCTGACCCCCCTCGTGCACAATGTTAGTCTCTGAGATTATAGCCCTTGCGATACACTACAGAATAATAACGGCCCGCGATTTTCCAAACGATCCCGTGTATCATCGAGATCGTTGAGTTACAAGCAGATTTTTTGAAGCTGCTGTGCGGTCTGCTTTTGAAACCCTTCAAGCACACAGTGACAGCGAATCACCGCTTATTTGAGTGTGTGGGGCCGCGAACTCAAGCGCAGCTCTTCCTTCACATATCCAGCTCGTCGCCTTTGTCTATTTGAATGCCTTGGGTCATGTATAAGCAGGTCTAGCCGTAACCAAAGGTGCTTGAAGCGTTTCAAAATCGGACCGCACAGTAGCTTCAAAACTCCTGCTTGTAGCTCACCGATCTCGATGATACAAGGGTCGTTGGCAAAATCGCGGACCGCTCATCTGTAGTGTATCGCAAAAGCTACAATCTCAGATACTAACATTGTGCACGAGGGGGGGTCAGCGGACGGTTTATTTTCGATTGTAGTTTCGTGCTGGAGTTAGACTTTGGAAAACCTGATTATACAGGTGTTTCCTGGATTTTCCAGAGGAGGTACTGCGATCCCCCCCGTGCCCTTGATACAAGTAAGAAATGGAAGCACACAGAATAAACAGCATGCATCACCTCCGAGAAATCTTTCGTTGATACTGCTCTGGAGCGAGAATGTTTCGCATAGACTTAACCAGACCGGATTCACAGGCACAACATGCTGCTTCTATTGGCGTCCATTCACTCACCCCTGAGAGTATGACGGGTGTTTCTGCCTGCATGTAGTCTCTTCGGAACACATCCAGCGGGGGCATTATAATACGGCGAATGCCTCCACCCGAGCCTGGCCGACCCGTGGCCATCGAACGGTCACGTTTGGCCTTCTTTGGGCGGACTCCATCCGGTACCGAAGCTGCGCGAGTAGCGACCGGCGCTACTCCAGAAGATGGTGACTGGGCTGCACCAACACGTGGTGGTGCCAGATCTGTCTTTGAAAACGAATCCGCCTCCATGGCCTCGACGAAGGTGTTTGCGACGCCCTGGAAACGTCCGCCGGCCATCATCGCCACAAGGTCGAGCGCGTATACTGCCTGCAGGCCGCGCGACATGAAAATGTTTGAATGGAAATATGCGGGCAATTGCTATAGAGCCATAAACGTTGCAAGGCATCAATATCCTAAACATCAAACGTACCGGTGATTTTCTGTCATGCATTGCTGTTTCAACGCGAGCCAGGATGTCACGGTTCCACGGAGACACGGAGACTCACATTGTCAAGGCTGTCCGCCTCTCCAGATATATACGTGGCTATAGCCACCAAGGTGCCAGACACTCCGTAGGCGTCTCTGTGCACTTTGGCCACCGTCTGCCAAGACTTGCCACTGAAAATCGCAAGCAACAGCAGCCATGAACACGGGAAAGCTGGTTACTGACAGAAGAACATCGGGGTCCACAACTTGGTGAGCAACAGGGATAGACTAACCAGGCAATTATTGTATTTTAGTCATGCCGCATGGATACTCCGCCTAAAAAAAGTATCATCTACTTGTACTGCTGTTTTTCTACTCGCTTTCTTGATGTACGTGAGGCTACACGAGGTGTAGCGTGACCACAAGGTTGGAGAGAGTTTGATGTAGTGACGTTCTCATCAACACGTTGGATCCACTAGTGCTTTTGGCAGATCTTGCCGTTAGGTCTTTCCATCTCCATTGTTGTATGCATACCTCCACAAAATACGCTGGTTGTGCCATTGTACAAAAGTTTATGCATATGTGCATCATGAATCATGAATGACTTTGTTCGTCCGGCCAATCTCATCCTCCCCCCTCATCCCTTGTCACCTGTGCAGTTGTTCCCACGCGTACTCCCTAGCTTTGAGAGCAACCTCATGACAACGCGTCCATCGTCCTTCTTCCAGATGTTGGATCGCGCGCTGCACAAGCAGGGAGCAGGGTCTGGAGCCTACCTCTTCCAATTCCAATGCGATACACTGGAAGAGAGCGGTAGAAATCTGTCGATCTGAGAGTAATTCGTCAATAACCCGTGATCTCTTCTCGGTGTCGCTTTCCATCTATCGTTGAAGGCGTTGTAGGGAAGCCAGAGATCCAGAGCAAAGAGAGAAATAGCGAGACACACAAGGAGCAGACGGAGTAAAGAGCAAAGGGCGCGGGGGGCACGCACACAGCGGCGAAAAAATGTGGGGCGGGGCTACAATAATTGACAGTCCCGTGGGCTGGTGCTACTTTTGGCTACTTTGGTGTGCGTGTGAGTGCGTGTCCTTGCCTTGCGCATCCTTCACAATACAGTAAATAGATAGAATGGGCATCTTGTACAGTGTAGAAGGTTGATGCCAGTTGCACTCGCGGGAAATTAGCTCGTTATGTTGAGGGTATTCCTCGATGGCAACGCCTACTATATATAGACTTTAGGCGCAACTATAACTACTGCTGTACCATCGAAGACCAATTTTCGCAACTATGTGCACATTAGTCTATGCAACAAGCGTGGATTAGAGACACCTGCGCCGGTCCCGGGGTTAAACGCGCTCCACATTCCGTTGCGTTTTGTGCCTAACCCGAAAGCACACGCCCTTCTTGCTAGCCTCGCAAAGTTCCTTGTGCAGCGCGAGTGGTGACAAAGAGGCAGGAGTTTTTTTTTACTCCACGTCACTGAGCCCCCCTACCCACCCCTCCTGCGGTGCTTGGAAACGAAGAATTCAACTTGGGGCATGGGGACCTCTCTCTGTAGAGAACAACAGTCTCGTGTCGGCTCATTCTACCCAGGGTGTCACGAAGCCATTCGCGAGAGGCGCGAAACTACACCCTAACATGTTTGCATACGGCTTTCTATGTCAAAGGAATCCGAACTTACATCCTTCCGGCGAGCGCACCACAGCAACAACAAGCAGTTTCAGGACGACAAGTGCAACAACGGTTAAAGTGAAGAATACATACGGCCAGTGCCCCCATCCCGCTCATAAGAAACATCGTCACAAATTGAGCCGCAGAATTTTGGAAAAACAAGAAGGGCGTAGAAAATGATGGCCTCATCCGCCGGCGCTACGCGAAATAACTCCTGCATCTTTGGAGAGTCTTGCTGAAAAAAGGGGATTTCTGGATATAAGCGGGCCGGCAATGTACATAAAAACCCCGCTACTCTTGCGCTTCCGAGGAAAACTCTACACATCACTTTGAAAGGTCTTTCCACAAACAGGCGAGATGATTGTCATCAAAACTGCTTTGCGGTGACAGCCGGCACAACTTGACGCGATGTTGACGCGATGTTCCGTAGAAAAACTACACAACAGTGCACGCACGCTCTACACCCCGACAAATGCGTTCAGGTCCTTCACACGAGCGCGGCGTCACAGCTTCTTCAATGCTGCTCGTAACACGCCTAGTTTTTCTACAACAGCTTTTCGAAGTGGCGACTCCATCTCACTATTTGTCCCCTCCCCGCAAGCGTAAAATACCTCACAAAACGCCGCCAAACTCTTCTCCAGATCGTTCGCTCTACCCAACAACTCCCCGCCATCTAAGGGAGGATACAACAGAATTCCGACTTCCCCAGCGCACTCGTTCGCGTCGTCCAGATGCGTCTGAACTGATTTCGCCCATTCCAGCTTTCCTTGTAACCACCCCTCTCCCACCGATCCAGCAGTCGCCCCAGACTCCTCTTGCGGCTCGGGCGAGTCCAGCGAGTTGAGGGAATCGTTTGCCGCCTTCAGACAACGTCGGAACACCCGCAAGACGTCAACGCTCGCCTCCACGCATGGCAGCTCCGCCGCCCCATAATTCTCGTCCATACCATCAAAATCAAAGTCGTCGAAAGTTCCTTCAGCTCCCTCCTCGCCTTCCCCGGCGCCGCCCACGGTTACCTTGGCAGCGAATTGTTCGTCAAGCCCGCCTTTGTCCCCAGCGGATTCCGACTTGCCGGCGTTAGCCATTGCGGCGGCCTTGGCTGCCTCGACAAACTCGTCGATTGTGTCCTTGACCGCGACACTCCACTGCGTGGAATCGGGCAAGATGTGTGGTGGACAATCAGGGGGAGGAGAGCAGCGGGGTGGGGGATGAAACGCGCCGACAAAGTGCACACAGATTCACGGCGTTACCGATGACACGAGCTAGCTAAATAGGTGGAGCCTGTGACGCAGGCAGAAGAAGGTCAGCACGATCGGGTTGATCAACTGTCGGGGCGACATTCTTGCTGATCGCGCTCACGTACGTGCTGCGTACATTATCAACGCTGATGTGCAACCATATGTACCAACCAACCGGTACTGGCATGCGTCTTTCACTAAAACCCCGCCAGCCAGTGTGAAAGGGTCGAGCGTGTTTTCGAGCCGGCGGATATTATACTACAAGCGCGATTTTCGCGAAAATACGTCAACTTGCGTAGGACACGTCGCGACCTATGGGAAATCGCGTGACCGTCTCACAGCAGAAAGAGCTAGCCTCGGACATGAGCACTACACAACACGACCCGTTACATGAATACGAGCCTCCAAACGCGGGCCGCATTCGTGAAGGATTTCAGCAACTGGATACATGCCGTTGCCCACCTGCATCATCTGACGCCGGCAGGCTAGCTTGTTCGTTTTTGGTGCCTGCTGGAGCTCTTTACACGATTGCCACACCTGGCGTCAGAGAAAGTGCGGATGTGATAAAGCCGGGATAGTTGTTCCAAACCATGCAAGATACGATGCAGCATGGTAGCATTGCAGCCAGGCACTTGGGAACATCAACTCAGGTCTGGGACGGGCATCGGGGAGGCATAGCACAGCTACACACACAGCAGTGCATCTTGCCGTGAAACATAGACATTCAACGAGCCTGTTCTTTCACCCGTCGCTTCACCCTGAAATCCAAGGAGCCTACCACATGAGCACATTCTGGATGCACTGCTCAAGGCAGAGCTTGGCCAAGATCAGCACTCTAAAGGGACCCAGATCCGACCCTGCTCTAGGTAAAACCCACCGCATCATATCTACACTGCTCCCTGAAACTCACCGTTCCTGTGAGGCCGTTGAGACGTGCGTGTCGGGACGGGTCAAGAAGTGCGCCTATCAAATCTTTCAGGGAGTGCAGAACCGCCCTTACTCCGGCCGAAAAGTACGCCACCATGGATTTTGAGGCCCCAACAGACGAAAGCAGCCTGCACAACACGAAGACAGGGACAGGACCGGCTCACAGTGCAATACTACGCGCACGGAACAGCAGACTGCTTACTCGGCTATGGGACCGGTACTATTGGCGCCGCCGTGATACAACGTAGCATGTGCCTAGTCATGCAGGGCTCTTGAAGGCACTGGGGAGAAGAAAACAAAGAGACGACGACACCCGAAGCAACCAGCATTGACTCACGTGAGAGACGCCACCATCTGCTGACAAAAGCCTCCCATCTCTCTCGACATGCTCTCCGAAGCCACCTCCGACGGGTTGGCCTTGTAGACCAGGTTCAACCGGGTCACGCCGTCGTGAATGGATTGGCTAGCCTGTGTGTGCGCGCGTGTGCAGAAAATGCTGAGAGGTACGTGCTATAGGGTGCTTGCTGGCCTGGCTGCATCCATTCGATGAAGGTCAGACTCAAGGTAAGACTGAACACAGCTGGCTGGGGGACTGATGTTCCAATACAACTGCCCCACCCTAACATTTCCCATCCATTTTTCTTTTCTCAGCCTCGCCAAGAAAAGTCGCTCTCCCGTAGACAGCTATGTTTTGTCGTATTGATGTACGTGCATTAATAGTAGGAAAAATAAATACAAAGACAGAAGGACTATTTACTGTACCCGTTCGAGATATAAATATAGCCACAGTCGAACCGGATGTGTTGGAGTCTTTGCAGTGAGTGGAGGGAAGCCGACATTGTTCAACTCCATCCAGTAGAAGAAGTCCAGCGGCAGGCTATAGTAAATAGTAAATATAGGCAGAACAATAAGGGGGAACGAGAACAGCACCACAAGTTAAGTACACTGTACTGACTGATAGTACTGCACCTCGAGATGTATCTGCATTCTGTCAGGCTGCGGGCTGCTGTGTGTGTGTGTGTGTTTAGAGCGGAAAAAAAAAGTACTTCGAAATGAGTCGGAAAAAAAAAAAACACGTCTGGGGTCCGAACGGCGATCTATCCACTCTCTAAGCTCTTAACCCGGTTTTGTAGTCACGACGCCAGCATACTCCGCTTATCCCGATAGAGGCCACCAATTTACACCTTTTAAACTGTTGACAGCCACGATCGAAGGAACACACTTCAACAAAAAATAGTGCAAATTTAGATGTAGATATGTAGACATGTACACCCCAATGTATTGGAAGAGGGTGGATTGCTCTCTGTCCCGATGCAAAATAGGCTGGTGGTGTACATCCGCCTGCAGTGAGTAGGTGTCGCTGTGTTCCTCGCAACCCATGCGGTTCACGAGCCAGGTTGTCATCGACCGATCTCGGCATGCTGCAAGAAGGAAAATATGTAACCTACAATAAAAGAAAGGTTTGTATTTGTGCTGCTGTAGACTTGACTGAATGTCAACTCCAAGGCCAACAATAGCGAGAAAAATCAACGAAGAGCTGACACCAACGTTTCCCACCGCCGCCTCGTTGGCTGCTTCAGCATTTGGACCTGTAACATCAAGGAGGACAGGAGGACCTACCGTATACGCATACCAGGTACGACACAAGATAACACACCCCCTGGACCCATTTTCAAAGCTCGATTACGCCACGACCAAGAGGATGCATAAACGAAACGATACGTTTTCGGAGAGCTCTCGACCAGAAGGCTTCAATGCCGCCGTTCTCGGCACCCCCATGTTTTCTGCTTTTGATAAGTCTAGCTTGGAAAATCGGGCCAGGGGGTGTGTTATCTTGTGTCGTATACTGTATGCACAACACAACTTTTTCAACTCTTTCAAAAAAACCACTAGCGCAGTGTCAGTACGAGTATAATGATCATATCAGCAAAGTAAAGTGTCTTGACACCCAACCGCACTAAAGCGTAAACAATGGCCGGCCATGAAACTACGGCAGGACATTACGACCACAATTTTTGTTGTCCACCTTCAAGAGCGCTACAAGTGTACTTGTACGGCTCGTCCATCCCATACATGTGATCGACATGGGCAGACAGCAGACAGATCTGCAGCACTGGCGGAGTTCAAAACGCCTGCTGTCCACAAAAGCAGTGGTCAGGACAGGGCAAGTGAACTTGTCATGTGGGGCATCCAGGCCGTTCTGCAATCGAACAAACACCGCATCTGCTCCTATTTCACACCGCCCATCCAACCTCGTGCTGAACTCACCGCTCCGATCACCCGAAGAGCAACATCAACGTCCTCGCTGTTCTTGCTCCAGCACGTTGGTGAAAAGGTGTCTCCCTTCCCATGCTTTGAATGTCCAATCAAGGTATCAATCTCTTTTCCCAGGCCCTCTAGGTGGCCCTTGACAGCCCCATTGAGCTCCATAACATTTGCGTGCCACAGATAAGAGAAGAGACGGAGAGCCGTGCGCAGCAGCAGCAGCCAGCCAGGACCACAATCAAATGGTACACAGCGAGCGGGCAACACCACAACATGAAGGGGTTCAACAGACAGCAATATAGACACGGGAGGGGGAGTGAGTGCGATCTGCTGCCTGCCGCACTGTGCGTCGCCACGTCGCGTGATCCCGCGATCCAATCTTCTCGTGCTTCCGTCCGAATGAGTGCTCTAGCTACGGGCGTTCGTGGCCGCTTGCACTCAGGGGGAGTAAAAGCTGTGTTTGTTGGGGCGTTCGCTGTGCTCCAGGCAAAGTCATTCAGCATCGGAACATCGCCACGCATGTCGGTGGGACCTCGGTTCATGATAGGTGATGGCATACAACATGCACCGCGCTGTGAGATTCCACACTCCTTGGGGCGGATTTTCAAAGCTGGAATACTCCACGACGACGAGGATGCGTATTCGAAAAATATGCACGCGTTTTCGGAAAGCTCTCGAACGAGAAGGATCAAACGCCGCCATTTTCGGCGCATCGTCAGTGTGTTCCGCGGCAGAGCTTTGAAAGTCGGTCCAGGGGGTATGGTATCTTACGCAACATTGTCAATGACACGTATTGTGCATATATGCACACCGGAACCAATCTATACTATGGCCTTTTCTACCAGTGGGAAGGACGAACAGCATTAATTCGAGGTGGGTAGAAACCTCATGGAAGGTCTGGACACAAAACAATATATTATACAGCAGTAGCTGCTGTAAGATTCAGAGGCATGCTTCTGGAACTGGGGTCTCCAGGCTCGGGTCTCACGTGCATATCTGCATATCTGGCGTTCGTTGTAGTCTAGAGGTCCTATGACACAATCTACGAAACAGTCTGAGGTGAAAGTGTTTCGGTGCGACAGCTTTGTCAGAGGCCGAAAGAGAAAGAAGACCTTCATTGCGTAGAGAGCGATAAGGCAAGACGATCCCCGCGCGGCATGATCATCAACACATATATCATCCGCGTAAAAACATTTTTTTCGCAGTCAAAAATAAGAATGCGTGCAACAAGGCAGCGGTCACCGAAGGCTCCTCCAGTACAGATTATGTCACAGGTCACCCGAGTGAGTGATGCCCTATAGAAAACTTCTTGTCGTAGACCGCACTTGCAGGCCCTTGCGTCGAACACATCAGCATCCTTCCAGTGGGCTCATTGATACCAGTGCTTTTTATCCTTGCATCAGATTCCCATCTGCATATTTGGGGGGAAGGGAAACCTCCATTTCCGTATGCCTCGGGCCAGGAACCACCGGAAAGGCTGCGTGAATCGTGCGGCCCCGAGACCCTAATCCAGGAGATGGACGACGCCGGCATCGGGGGTGCGTTAATTGTGCAGGTCAGCTTGAGTTTAGGAGTGACAAAGTACACCAGGCAGCAGCTAGTATGTGGGCTGTGATGAAAGCACACAAGCCGCACTACTGAGTGAGTAATCTCGGTCCCGTCTAGTCTCAAGGCAGCGCTTACGGTAGTTAGTAGTTGCGCTTGACGCTTTAGGCTGGTTTGCTGCTTCCCCCCCTGTTCATGGTCCATAACTCCAGCGTACGGTAGGCATTGAGCCCAGAAAAATAGTTTACACGTCAATGATGCCTGGAGCTTTCAGTCACCCAACTGTAACCGACACGGGTTACATGAACGCCATGTATTTTCCTTCGCTGTTAAGCCAAATCACCCAACCAAACAACGCACATCTGCATGTTTGTTTCTGGTTCCGATTCGCTCTGTCGTGCAGCCCATCAACTACAAGTTTGACCACTCGTACGTGTTGGACGCCATGAGCAAGTGGCCGGGCAAGGTGAGATACTGTAGGTTGAAGGTTATTGAACCCCGCCAATAATCTTTGCGGTGCCACGCTTGCACTGCTGTGTGTTCGAGATCGTCTGCGTACGATTGCCGCCACGAAGCTCCGGAGTACTGCTGGACGTTCTAGTGGAGAGGACTTGGTTTTGTAGCGTTTGCCTACGTGCACGTAGCGAATCCCCCTCGAGCCTCTTGAACGAATGTTGTCTTCCCCTCCAAAAGCTTCCAAATTCCATGTATTGGTCTGTCTGCCTATCTGAACTCTAGCACGACCTGTATTCTATCAGCCTGGCCAACCAACCAGAGCCCACGAGTGCGAACATGTCGGCATTTTGGTTGATTCCTTTCGGTCAGTTGAGCGACGTGGTCGTTCACTCTTTTCAAATGCAGCAAAGCCAGCTTTCTTTGCCGTCGTCGCTGCGTAGCGTACGCTTGGGTCATTGTGGTGCCATCTACCCTCCTTTTCTCCCAATCGCCTGTCTTGATGCTCCTCTCTCTCCACAGTTTAAGGGGATGTGCCTGGCAAACCCAAACTTGAGCCCCCACGATGCATGTGCTGAGCTGGAACGCCTGCATGACCAGGTGCGAGATACGGTAGTGCGACCCAATGTACGTGCGAGCAACGCTGCCAGTGAGGTCCATGCATAGACCTCAATTGTGGCATTAGTTGTTTTGCACAAGTCACAACAAGGCAAGAAACACGCGCTCCGTGGACTCGTTGACGATGTTTGTGTGCTGCAGGGAGCTTGATTCTCTCGCTCTTTGGTGCAATTGCTGTGGTGTGCAGGGTTTTTGTGGCGTGAGGTTCAATCCCTACCTTTGGCCGGAAGGAGGCGAGGGCATGAAGGATGACACAGGCGTGGCACTCTTTCGAAAGGCGGGCGAGTTAGGCCTTCCCGTCGGCGTGATGTGCTTCAAGGGGTTCGGACGTCACGTTGAAGAGATTGAGGCGTTGCTGCTCTCATCACCGCAAACCAAGGCAAGGTGTCCATGTATGCGGTGCTTTAGTCCCGGTGGTATGTATGGGTGCATGTAACGATTCTGTACATTCCCCGTCATGCTCTTGAGTCAGGTTCTGAGTGGAGACGTCGATGTTTTGCTCAGGGAAGCTGTGCGTCTGAAGAAGAACCGAAGAGGCCAACCGCGACGGCTGTGGTGTTCTTGTGCCTACTTACTTGCTTCCAACGCGCCTTCCCTTCACCGTCTCCAACTGTGAACTGTTGTCCTTTTTGGGTGTTTCCTACTGTAGCTGGTGGTGGATCACTTTGGGTTCTTCCTGCAGGATGGAGAGATCGACGAGACGGCATGGAAGCAAGTGCTAGCATTGTCCAAGTGAGTCAGTTGTTGTCGTGCGTCTCCCTGCTTAGTTTGGGACGTGGTCCATTCGAATGGACCCGGTGGGTCCTTCGATCATGACTGCGAACATGGTCAAGATCCCCAAGAGTACTTGCGCTGTTGTCTTGACCATGTCAGAGTTAACAATCACGGTTCGCCTGACACACCGACACCCCGCCTTGCTTGATTGACGGATATGTTGGCAGGTATCCATCAGTATTCATAAAGACCAGCGCTCTGTTTCGGGTCGCCAAGGTACGCTCGATTTTTCTCTGGGTGCATATGAGAGGCACTTTCCGAGACTTCTACGTGTGTCGCGGGTGCGGTTGCTTTCTGGACGACCAAAAAGCTGTGAAATCCTGTGTGTCGTTGCTGCGTTGATTTCTTCTATGCTGCACACGGCCTACATATATGCTGATTGCCTCGTACTCTGGGCTTGCGAATACGTAAGGTGCTATGCATGCGTTTTGTGGGACCCCTTGGTCTGGCTGGCAGTGCTCCTAGGCAGCCGTTATGCCTTTGCGTAAGGTGTAATTCTGTTCCTCGTGTTCAGTGTGTCGTTCTTCTCGCATCGGCCTCTGCAAGCAGCAAGCTTTCCCCACATCCGGTTGTTCTCTGGGCTCTGCGTTTGTCATGGGGTTGAACGGCCTTCATCATCACCTCTTGTCACCGTACGTTGAGTGCTGCCCTCCTTACCCGACGTGAACGTTCTCCAGTTGGTGTAATATTTCGCGCTTTCGCTTATGGCTTCTCCTCTTTGTGTTGTGACCTCAGGACCCTTATCCGTACGAGAGTCTTAAACCTCGATTCGCAGCGTTGATCGAGCACTTCGGCTCGAATAGGCTTTTGTGGGGAAGCGACTTCCCCTTCGTCTCGGACGGGCAGTGCGGGTGAGCAACCCGTTTCGTTCGTGTTCATGTTAATGTCAAACTTTCCGGTTCTGCTTGCTCGAGAAGTGGTCGAGTCGACCCTCGAGAAACTGCTTTGTTCGAGGTTGTTCCGAGGCGACCGCAAGGAATCGCGTGTTTGGTTTTGGAGTTGTATGCTGGTGCCTGGATGTTGCAGAGGAGACATTTTCGTTAAGCTTGACCTGCGCCATCCTCCTTCTTGACCCTGTCCCTCCTCGTTACCCCCCCCCCCCCGGAACGTTGTGTTGCTATGCCATTTTGTGTCATATCACCAGGTACGGCCCGGCAAAAGACGTTGTGTGCGATGCCATGGGCCTCAAAGAGGAGGATGTGCACAATATCACCGGCGGCACGGCACAAGCACTCTTTGGCTCTTGGGCGGATGACGCATAGCGCTAGACTGCTTTATTTTGATGTTTTTTCGGACGCAGTTCAGTATATATGGTAGGTGGCAACACGCTTCTTTTATTTTTCAGTTTTGGAGGGTTTCTATCGTGCTTCCTTGCAGCCGGTGCTGTCGCGGTATCCTCACCGCTTGCATTCGGGGCTGGGTGATTGTTCTGGAGAGGTACTCGAAGCAATGCTAGGCATGAGGCTAAATGCGAGGTTCTTTCCTACCGTCGCGCCGGTTGATATGTATTTCACGTGAAATATTGCCCACAAGTGACATCACAATGTAATTTGTGCAGGGGGGTTTCAAGGAACGACGGTGGAACGGGTCGGTACATAAGCAATGAAGCGGCTTGACCTGACCCCATCTAGACGTTCGGTGAAATATTTGCTTGAGCTGGACGTGTAGTCTAAGTGTCGACTCCAAGCACGGACGGGTGGACGGCAAAAATTGACGTCCGGTGCGTGATATTTTCGGGGTGGCATATCAAATGTATCGAGCTTGTCATCAGGTTGAGTTCTGTGCTCCGTACGATGTACTTCGAAGTACAGGGTTAGTCAGACCCCAATGCACGCCAGTCCACGGTGCTGTCTTGTCATTTCGAACCATGCGATCAACGAGAAAATGCCGTTGTCTTTCGCGGGTTTCTAGTGCTTTGCGCTGTCTGTTACTGCATCAAGATTCGGCAATGAACGTGCTGAAAGCGCTTCCATCTAAAAAAATGAAGAATATTATTTTGTGAGCCTTTTGGAGTTCCGTGCCGAGGCATTCGGCGATATCGTGTCCGGCCAAGCACATCGGTGGCAATGAGCACTTTCTCGTCCAAAGGTGTGCCGTTGCTGCGGATTCACAATCGTTTCGGCGCGTGTACTTGTAGCTGCCGCTTAGACTGCTAGCACGTGCAGCACGAAACTTCCATACGGGATCAAGCGGCACAATGGAGCATCACTGGAAGCAACACTGAGAGGATCGACGTTGTACATAGTGAAGCAAACTGAACAAACACTAGAGCATCTCGCTCAGATGATACAGAAGCGGACGCGGCTCTTCCAAGGCTACGGCAAATCTCCGTCGGCTCCTCGGTTTTGTGCTTGCTCGGCTTCTCCCCCACCCCCTTCGGCGGCCACGCCGTCCCCCGAGTTTATCGATTTGCTTATCAAGCCACCCGCCCGGAGGGACTCTTTAAGCTGTGCGGCGTGGTGTTCGAGCTGCCGAATCTGTTGCTCCTGCATTTCAATCTTTGTTTGCCAAACATGGATGAAATGGGCACGCGGGGGACAGCAATGGAGTGATTTAGGGTGGGCGCCAAAACGTCTGACGAGGAAGGCTTGACAGCAGGTTCGTTGCAGCAGCTCTTGACATTCAATTTGCAACGACAGAGAACAATTTCATCGCGTTGTCGGCAGTTGTCTGAATCTGGCGACTGTTGGCCTTGCCTGCCACTCTGCATAGTTTCATGTACTTTCCGACCCACAAGTCCTGGATGGATTGAGAACGGGCGGGCCCCCTCCACGTCTTTCTACCGTGTTTGAAGTCGACGAAACACAACCAAATCAACCAAAGGACAAAATATATCTCGCAGTTGTCTCCCCCTCCCAAAACCCAAGCCAGAACTGCTCCACACGTGCGATGAGCGTTTCTTTGGCGGCCCCGAGGGGACAGGATTTCGCTGAAAATAACCCCCAAATCACGTTCGGTGCCAAAACTGGGGCATCTGTAGGAAAAACCTCGATCCCGCCCACAGAAACGGACTGAAGTTGAAAACCCGCCTACTTACATACGTACTTGGAGTTTGTTTTCCAAACTGACCAGTAAAATGCGGACGTGAGCGACACTCCGTATCACAAGCTACATATGTATCAAACATACTCGAGGCGGGTCATCTCCAGAGTAAAAAACGCCGACGCCAAAGCAAGCAACGCCTTAACACCACCCGTCGAATCTCTATGCCTGGTCCTCGTCCTCACCTCCCTCCACATCTGTTGCTGCCCCAAAAGGTGTCCCTCGTTGCTCGTGCCGGTAGCAGCCAATCGTTGTTGCCCACCAACCCCCACTGCCTCCTTATTATTCTGCCGAACCGCTCCGGAAGGAGGCGTAGGGTGCGCCGCGGGGCCGACCAAGGCCATTGTGGAGGCGTTTGTTGAGCTCTCGGTTAACCGCTGCACCCTTCTCCCCTTGGACAGGTTCTTGCTGCTAGCACCCCCTTGCCCGCCTGGCATGACCTGTCCCTGTTTCAAGAGCGCGGTGTGTTGAAATAGGGGGAAGCGTGATCCAGTCAGACGTTCGGCAAGTGTTAGAAACGACACTGGGGTGGACGCAAGCGTCACGTTAAGTTAAAGGGGGGAGGGGGGGGGGGGGGGCGACCAAAGGGCTTGCACACACGTAAAATCTCAGGGATTCTGTTGTCCAAACAAATATAATATATCCAAGTCCCACGGGGCTAAAAAAAACACATAATATGCCAGCTTCACCCAAGCACCCAGGCTCCTAGGCCGCAAAGGTGTATTGTGGACAAGGTATGCAGGAAACACCACGGTGGA